CCCGGCGCCGGGTGACGTTCCTCCTCCTGAAGAGCCCAAAACGCGACACGCAGCACACAAGGCTGCAGGCATATCGCCGCAAAGTCGGTGTGCTCCGTTATGCAGCCCTCCGGGTGTGTCGCGACCGCAGGTGGGCATTCACGGCAGCAGACGCACTCCTTTGACGTCGGCATCACGTCGCACCGCTTACAAGAACACCTGTGATTTGAACGAGGGATGTGAGACAGAGGCTAGCTAAAAGCAGCACGAAAAGATACGAGGGAATGAAATGAGACGAGAGATTATTACCATGCCGTCGTGGTGAGCCGCCATGCATCTGGGTCTGGAGTCGGGCTAGGGCTAGGGCTGGGCGCAAGCGAGTCCTCTTCGCTGCAGGATACCCTCCGACGCTTCGACGGCGTGTCCGCGTAGGGAACAAGCCCCATCGACTGACTAAAATTGAGCATTCCGCGCTGGACATCGCTCAGGCTATCTCGCCAGGCCGCCATGTTCTTCGCGATATACATAGATACGAGATTTAGATACCAGAGCCACTCCACGGAAAACTGCAAAACCGGAAACTCCGATACTGCCCCGTTACGTCATTGAGCACGTGACCCGGAAGCCGGTGGATGAGTTGAGGGTGTTTGAGCGGTGCCAGAAACTCCAATATTTCGCTTTTTTTTACATAAAATCTAGGACACGCAAACGAAATCAGTTTCAGATCTTTAGTTTAGAAGTCTCTGAGAACAACTCTCATAAGCCTCATAAGTATTTGACCAAAGTCAGGAAATCATTGCACAGCCCCTTTAAAAGGGGTTCCTGCCTAGACGCCCTCAGGCGGCTTGGGCGGGGTTACCTGTGGTATCGGTTTCTTCTGGGATGACTTCTTTAGTTTTGAGTCATCAGGAGGAGCCAAACGGATGGGAGGAGACTCACTCACATCCATCCGCTCCTCTTCAGGTGAGACGGTGGAGCCAGCAGGAAGGGCCTGCTGCTCCTTAGATGTGGACGGCTCCTCGGGAGGCTTGGTGCGAGGGGCTCGCTCCTTCCTCCTAGGAGGAGACCGAGTTTTCAGGGCAGGCATGTCGTTTGACAGCCTGTCCCTCTGAGTGGGAGGGGCACCAGTGCCACCTCTCTGAGGTGGAGGGCACGCCGCCACCTCTGGTTTCTTGGTAGGTGGGGGCTGAGCGACGGCCTCCCGGTTCCCAGAGGGAACCTGGAAGGGTCGAGGCTCGGAGGGTGGTGAAAGCCCCCTACGCACCACCTCGACGAAGCCCCCCTTTGCCAAGAAGGCATAGCGCTTCTTGGCCTCGGGGTAAGGGAGGTTGTCCTTGGCTCTCAACGAAAGGATCTCTTTCTCCTGTTTCCATATGGGGCATGCGCGCGCGTAGGCGGGATGTTCACCATCGCAGTTAGCACACTTCACTTCATTCTTGCAGATGTCGGCAACGTGATCAGTGCTTCCACACTTTGCACAGATGTTCTTGCCTCGACAGCTCCGAGCGCCATGACCGAACCGCTGGCACCGAAAACACCGCAGCGGATTCGGTACATACAGTCGGACATGGCAGTGGAGGTATCCTGCCTTCACGAATGCTGGGAGAGTGTGTCTTTCGAACGTGAGAATAACATGCTCGCTTGGAGTTTCCACACCATCCCGTTTGAAAATGATCCGCTTTACAGCAACGACACCCGATGGTCGGAGGCCTTCGAGAATTTACTCTTCACTAGACTGTAGGAGGTCGCCCTCGGAGAGCACCCCTCGAATGGTATTCAGTGTGCGGTGTGGGGCAGCTGTTACTTGGACGTCCACGATGCGGGACAGTTTCTGGAGCGCCATGCTTTGATCCTTAGTGTTGACTTCGACAAGGAGATCACTGGAATGCATCTTCTTGGCTTTGTAGTCATAACCAATCAAGTTCTCAAGAACTTTTGCCACAATGAAAGGAGACATTTTTCCCACGGGGCGCTGTTCATCTTCAGAATGAATAACAAAGAATCTTGTGAAAGTTGCAGGTTCAACATATTTTACTTTGGTTAGTTCAGGATAAGGCCGCTTGGACGCTTGTCCTGAAGAGGTTTTGGTAGAGGACGCCATAGAAGGCAGATAAAATTCAGCATCCGTGGCGTACCGCCCACCACGGAGCCCAACATGGGGACAGGCAGCACCTCATAACAGTTGGAGCTTGTCTGAGAATGTTGCTCTGCCAGTACTACCAAGACGCTATAACCAAGTGTGGTTCAAGACAAGAGAATCTATTGCCACCCAAGGTTAGCCCTTGCCGCCAAAGTGGGTGAAAAGGAAGGAAGAGAAATGAGAAGGGTAAAAAGAAGGAGAAGAGAACGCTGAAAGAAAGGAGGGGATAGTAGAAGTGGCGACTGACTGAATCATCCTGGTCAGGCCAAGCCAGGACTCCCGTCTACGGGAAGCGGGGGCCGAAGTGGTGTATTGCCTCACCCGGGGGGCCCCGAAGGGTCCAAACCTACCCCGGGCTCGGCTCAACCACCAGGATGCCCTTTTCCCCGGACACGGGAAAGCCACGCACAGCCAGACGTGGGCAGGCGAACCCGCATGGCTCGGGGTCCGTGGAGACGCCACTCTCCAAACACCTGCTTTCACAGGTGCCCCCTGCGGGGCTGATCAAAAAAGAAAGCACACCACATAAACTTCCATACTCAAATGTCAATTGTCCAGTAATTCTAAGTTTCATTGTATTTTTCTTTAGATTCATATTTGTAACTTTTTTACCGTCCGAATTTTTCTTCATGAAGTACAGACTGTGTGCAATACTGGTCCGGAAATATCATCATTACGTACGATCGGGACGAAATGTCTTCGGAAGGCATTCCTCTAACGAAATTGGTACTGCATACCCGCGAGTGTGGGATGGCATTCCAGTTCGTTCAATCGGCGTTAACACATGTAGGCGTTACTGGTACGAAAACAAACGCAGAGCGCAAAGCGGCAGTGTAGAATATATCAGTCGTGCCGACACAGTGGCAGACATGATCGGGAGACCAAATTTCTCGCGTCGTACGGTACGGGTCCATCATTGTCGCTGTCCCACAAAACATCGGCGAGGTGAAAAACTGTGAAACTTTGGCCCCACGAGATACGACACATGACTATTGAAGCACTTAACGACACAGCACCAGCAGCCCTTCAAGAGCGGTGCAGCCGGAAAGTCCTCAGAATGACACGTAGCTTCCGCAAGCCGCCGCCCACTTTAGGAAAGGCCAAACTTATGCAGTTAGCGAACTCTTCTTTGTTGCACGTTCGGGGGTCGATGTTTACGGTTTAGCGATTCATTATTTGATAAGTTAAGTTTGTTGTGTGGAAGTTTGGACGACGGGAAATTAGTCTGCAGTAAGGAGCGCCTGGGGTCTTGTCTGTAGATGACAAACTTTCCCAGTGGCGATATTGGCGGTACAACTGCTGGCCTGGTGTCTTTAAATTGCATCACACTCATGATATATTTGGCGCTATATTTTTTCCTAAAACACCTTGAACGTCGCACAGGTATGTCAATATGCAATAGGGCAGATTTGGTCTTGCATGATTGATTTTTCACCCTCAACTACTACAACAAAGTTACCGGCTGGTCCCGCAGACTTCGTTATAAAAACTTTTGACAGTACAGTCGCCGACCGTTTTTTCGGACTCCGATAATTCAGACTTGTTCGATATTTCGGACTTAAAGGCGGAACTGTGACTTACGCCATAGAAATAGTGCATATTCACAACCAATGTTTCGAACAGCTTGAAGTCTGAAAGTTTGATAACTCAGACAAAACCGTAGCAAGCGATCAGCGGAAAACACCATCGAGAAGCGGCCACTTTGGATTTTATGTTGGCTGCAAATGGATTGGCTTGGTTTGGCAGCGCTACTTGAGTACTCCTGAGTCCTACCGCTAGGTGACGCTATGCTAGCCCTTTTTTCCAATTAACTGGACGTCATCATCATCATCATTATTATCATTTTGCTTTGTTTTCCCGTTCCTTCGCGTCGTCAGTCGCCATTTTGCGCTCGTGGATTTGCGCTTCTTATCTCGTTCGGAAGAGCTGGCTTGGACGTCATGGCCCCATCTGTTGTTCTGCCGCCGCGATGTATCGTTAGGAAGCGCAGAAAGTACTCGACCATAATGCTAGAAAAGAGGGCAGTGATTCTCAAGCTAACAGGAAGTTACCGAACGCAAACGGAGGCGTAACTTGAAACAAGGCACTATTTACCGCTTTTTTAAGCCCACTTGGAAGTAATAAAGGCAAGTTTTTCAATCTGCTGATTTTTCGGACTGCTCTATCATTCGGACGTTTCTTCGGTCCCTGCGAAGTCCGAATAATTAGTCGGCGACCGTAATTGTAAAAAAATAATTATACAAGCTCGATCATAATGACAAAGGCAAAGACTGATAAGCACGGAATGTGCAACAGGCCTTTCGGGGAAGAAAAGGGGCGTCCGAACAACACCGCCTACCAAAGGTTCACTCTCATTTCTGACACACACCAATAGATGATGGCCTCGCGTAACAGGAAAGGCCGCAAAGCGTGCGCCGTGATGCTTCTAAGACTTTGCTCTTACACGATCCGACCACCGGCCCGGATAGCTTGGTCGGCAAAGCACTTCAATCACAACCCCCAGGCGGCGAGTACAGATCCTCTCGGGGGACTAAAGTCTTTTTATACGGTTCCCTACGGGCGTAACACTTTCCAGTGTCGGTTTTTCGTTACAGCGAAATGTTACGGAACTGTGAAAATTGCCGACAAAACACATTCTGCGTTAAAAGAGCCGCAATGGTGGACGTGACAGAGCAGGCACCTGCCGCATCCACCACCGCTGCCACGACACCGCCAGGGTCGCGGCCGGCGACACTTTTGCAACGTCATTGGGCAGACGTAGAGGGACCACTGTTTGGGGCGCGGTAAACACATTAATCGGAGGCACAATGCCTGCACCGCCTGCCAAGCGCGCCATCGAGACCGCGCTTCATCAACGAATGACCCGTCCCCCTCCACTCACTCGAAGGAAGGCAGAAACCTCTCGACCTCTTGCCTCTCTGCTTCGGGTAGCGCGCTCATCTCCATGGCGAGCTTCGCCTTCAGGGCCTCGTACGCCTCCTTCGGCTGCCGGGCCCCAGAGTTGGAGAGCAACAGTCGATGCTCCCGCTCAAGGTGTTTTCCCACGACCTGCAAGAGAGTGACAGGCCATTCTTTTAACGCGGCTCGCTCTTAGCTACTTCCTGTGATACGCTCCCATAACACGTGGGTTCTCAAGCCAGATTCCTAGGAACCCGCAGGTCCGCCTAAGTGTACTAGGGGTACTTCGAGCCCCCCAATTTTCTAGGTTGTCCCCGCCCTCAGAGTAAAGGCTGGTTCATGCACATGCATTGGCTCACAACAGAGTCCTCGCTATCTCTTAAAAAGAAAAAAATGCAGTGGCACAATCTACGAGGTGGCCCCACAGCTGTATTTCACTAGGGCCAAGGTTTTGCAATACTTATGTACCGCATTTGCACAAATAAAACGAGTTTCTTTCCGAAATTACGTGCTTTAAAACGCACCTCGTGTTATATTCAGAATTGAGTTCAGCCACGAGGTGCATAAGTCGGGAGAAAGCCATCCCTCTGGCCGAACGCAAAAGATCGGGTGGGAGAAGAAAGGGGGGGTGTGGGAGGGAAAAACGTAAAAAGTAGGCGTGTGCGAATATTCAAAATTTTTAATACGAATTGAATATTTTCCTTATTTGAAACATATTCGATTTGAAAACTGCATATTGGGAAGTTCCTGAATATTCGGTCAACGCAGAATATTCGAGCAAGTAACGAATAACCTGCCTGCCGCGCATTCCCCATGAATATGTTTACAGTGTAGACCGCATATAACGTATGCCGCGGGAGTCACAAAAATCCGCACTATAAGCGGTACCGCGCTATAACCAAAACCTCAATTTTTCAGGCCAAAATACATGCCATCAGACAACTTACCTTTGTAAAAGAATTTATTTCTATGTTAGATGAAAAATAAAGCTTAGTTTGAGGAAAGTCTTTATTTCACCAGACTATTACACTTCTCTCTCAAGTGTGTCACACATTCTGAAAGAAATGAGCGACTTTTGCCTGGCGCAGCCTTTTAACGGCGTCGCGGGCTGCGGACGGACGTCGCGAGCGTTCGGGAATGCTAACCCTAATCACTTTTCTCCGGCGATGAGACGCGTGAAAATTCGCATCCTTTATACGGTACGCACCAGTAATACCTTCAACTTGAGCACAGGCACGAAATGCTCCAAATAAGAAATCTGGGCGATGGTCGAAAACACAAATGTTTAGAAAGCACCACTGTAGTCGAAGTAAACAAACACGACGACACGGGCGTTTCTGCCGTCTTTAGAATGCCGCCACAACATCGCCGCACGAGTAGGTGGATCTTCCTTTCTAGTATGTGCTTGGTTATCATAGCGACACACAACGAAAATTCACAGTCAAAGATAGCGCTTTTACGCGGAACGATGAACTTCCACCATGCCGTCTCCGACGACGATCACAACCGACGCCATGTTCACGGATAGAAGCTGGCCTGCGACCGGCATGCAACGCGCGCGAACACTTTTCGACCTGCAATTGGTTTGTCGTTGCGGTTGTTTCCAACACAGCGGAAGGACGCACGCACGCACGTGAACGACACGTGCATGCGTCCCTCCGTCGCTATGGCAACTGAAGCCTCCCTCTTCGCTTCTCCCGCTTTTTCGAGCAACCTCCTTGCCTTGCGAGTGCCGCTCGCGGCTAGCGCCGTTATCTAGTGTCGGCGCGGTCGGCGGGCTGTTCGAGAAACCGCACTATAACCGGTATTCCCCTTCGCGCGCCTGCATTTTAAGCGGTATATAAATACATGAAGTTCTATGGGAGGCGCACCGGTGGTTTAAAAAAGCCGCGTCATACCCGGTCCTGCACTATAAGCAGTTACGTTGTAAGTGGTCTATACTGTATTAGGGGCAAAGCACCTTAGGGTCTAGCCTTGTCCGTCCGTCCGGCTGGCGTCCGTGCTCACATAAAGATAAAAAATGTTTGCGCAGTCGACAGGATTCGAACCTGTGCGGGGAGACCCCAATGGATTTCTAGTTTATCTCTTTAACCACTCGGCCACTACTGCGGGACGAATAGGGGGCTCTGAGATGCGGTAGTAACTCAAGAGCTGGGGATGTCATGGATGAAACGTTGCATGTAGCCGCTCAATGTCTATACAGGAGAGGGCGCTGCGGTCAAATGCGTATATAATCGCGTTAAACTTCGCATGCATCGGCTCAACGTTTATAGACGAGAGGGCGCTGCGGTCAAATGCTCAAATGCGTATATAACCACGTTCCATACCACACATTCCCTTTCTGACATGGACCGTTGACTTAAGCGGTGGCGATGCGTTCCCACATCTTCTAGCGGATCCAAGCTGATCCGCTAGAAGAACCACTGGCTCTGCATTTCACCGACCATAAAGCAGTAATAATGAAGTCGAAACGCAACCCAAAACTCAGCACTACCCATGAGCAATAAAAATAAAAGCCGTTTACAACTCCCTGTGACGCCGAATTAGAGCGCAGCTCTTGAGGAGGGAAGGGTACTGGGGGGGTGGGTCAAGTGATCTCGGGGGGCAGGGGGGTCATGTGACCTTGTAGGAGTCACGTGACTTTGGGGTGTAACGTGACGTCGGGGGGGGGTGTCACGTGACGATGACGTCATCAGTGACGTCACTGATGACGATCACGATGTGGATACCAATGACGTCATCAGTGATGTCACTGATGACGTCATCAGTGATGATGATGATGATGATGCGGTGCGGATGCCGGTGACGCCATCAGTGATGATGACAATGACGATGCGGATGCCGGTGACGTCATCAGTGACGTCACTGATGACGTCATCAGTGATGATGCCGATGACGATCAGGATGCCGGTGACGTCAATGGGGGGGTCACGTGACCTCGGGGGGGGGGGGGGGGGGGGGGGGGGGTTATCCCCAGGTCACGTGACCTGGGTAACCACCGTGACCCTCGTGAGGGTAACCCTAGTAACCCTTTTGAGGGCAACTCTCGTGACCCTCGTGAGGGTAACTCTCATAACCCTCGTGAGGGTAACTAACCCTCGTAACATTCGTGAGGGTAACCCTCGTGAGATTCACCCTCGTAACCCACATGAGGGTTACGAGGGTTACTTGCGGTTACGCCGACGGCGACGCCGACAGTGACGCCGCTCAAGCCGGGAACGAGCACCTAAGAGCTGCGTTCTAAAAAAAAATTAGCACCATCGGCACTACCTATGAACAATAAAATCAGTGTCATCAGCACAACCAGAGCTTCGCCCCAATCAACATCATTCACCCCGTGTGGACATGAGGTCATTTTTCCACTGAGAAAGGCCTCTGATGCGTGCATCATCAGTCTGCTCCGTCTCTATACGTCCGATGGCAGCAAGACAGGATCAGTTTCGGTTTCTGCTACACCAAGCCCTTTGTTATGTGGCACTTTTATAACAAATATGTGATGTAATTGCACGTTCTATAAATTGATACAACAAAATAAACCTTGAGAGTGAAATATAAATATAAGATAAGTCTTGAGAATGTTATCTAACAAAAATGTTTGACAAGTAAAAAAAAAAAAAAAGCTAGGTGCGAGCAGAACATTCAATTGCCATTGACAACAACTCCTGCCACTCCCACGCAGTCAAAACTAGGAATGTCGCGAACTTGCCCAGGTTCGAGTTCGACCCCAGTTTGACTTTTTTCAACCTTCAACGTGATGTTCGACACAGGTTCGACTAAAGTTAGACTTTTGTGCGCACGCGCGATAATTAAAAAAAACAAGTTGACTCCACCTGGCGGAGGAAAAGTGCAATATTTTTTGGGTTTATTGGCATCACTGGTTCACATTAATAACTAATGAAAGCGTTAAAAACGCATATTTTCGCTTTTATATGGTGTAAACATTGGTAAACAGTTGATGAAATATAAAATAAAGTACTTTCTAAAATATTTGTTTCCCAACATTCGAAATATTCGCGTGGCAGCCCGGCAAAACTGTCGATAAGTCAAACTTCTTCGAACTTTAGTAAACTTTTGCAGGTTTCCTGAGTGAAAAGGTCTTTCTACTGGCGGAAATGTTGTGATGGCGCGTAGGGAGCGCTTACTCTCTGAGCACGTTGAGCAGTTAATTTTCCTACACAGTGATTTGTAATGAGTGCATAACTAGAAGTATCTTTAGCCCAGTAAAATGCAGTTGCGTCGATTTATTTTAAAAAGGCAGTAAAACCTGCTCTTACGTCTTGTGTTGAAATTTTTTTTATTACTAGACACATATTCAATATTCTATTCGATATTCGAAGCCCGTTTTTCGTCTTATTCGTATTCAATTCGTATTCGAAAATTTCAAAATTCGCACACCCCTAATAAAAAAACATATTTATCGCTTTTGTGTTTGCACAACACAAACCGAAAAACATGCCACAGAAATGCCGTGCACCAGACGGGAATACACTGGTCAATTCAAGTGAAGTCAGGCTAGGCCAAGTCATGTCAATACAAGCCGAACCAAGACCATCCACCGTGTTTACACGTGCAACACAAGTGTTTGTTTGTGCATAGGGACCAGAACAAGAATGAGAGTAATCGTGTATCAGGTCCAGCAGTCTTCTTTCTGCCTGTGCATGTTTTAGTTTCTGCTCCAGAGTGGTTTGGTGTTTTTGTTGGTGATTCTGCTTTGTGCCAGAGAGTTGCTTTGCTTGCGGGGCTTGGCCAGCCACCCAGCTCACGCTTAAGAAAAAGGCACTCTTAGACAAGCCGCCGTGTGCTGCCGCATATTTGCGAAGTTGCCAAGTGAATTGCAAACGCGACAGTCAGAAGGACCTAAGCAGTGAGAATGAGTGCAGTCAAAACATAAATTGACCATTTCTTTGCTTCCCATTCCCTTTTCACTTCTGCTATGCCTCTGAGCACGATATCTTTACGCGTTATAATACAGTTGAACCTCGATTTAACGAAACCCAATTTTACAAATTTCCTGATTTAACGAACAAATTGGGATTCCCCGCGCAGCTTATGCGCGAGGTCTCCCTTCCTCGACTTTACGAAGTTCCCAACTTAACGAAATAATTAGTGGGTCCCGGTGACTTTGTTAAATCAAAGCTCAACTGTAGTAATAATATTTTTTTTTTTCGTGACGGCATCAAAGCTCGCTTTCTGGTTATATTCGTGGTCGCATTATATTCACACAAATATGGTACTATCCCTTGTCTGGTTCAGCCGGTCAAGATATTTATTTACGAGAAGCAGAATCTAAGCATGTCCGGCCAGCAGGACATCTAGTTCCAAACACTCGAGTCGTGAGACAGGCGAGCCCATGCTCATAGCTTGATGGCGAGATTGATACGAGAAAGAAATAGGAAAAAAATACGGAAACCGCAAGCGTTCCGCGCCAACCCGACAGATGGCGCCGGAGTTTCCCCCTGTCGTGAGTGATCGCAAGATGCGCGGTTGTAAGCTGTCCTGAGTGCGCGAACGAGCCTCAAGGTGCTCTTCCACGTCGAGCACTATTTCAGTGGAACCATGTGCTAGACAATTCCTACTATGTGCGTCGTTCTTTACAACGTCCGCAGGATTATGCGCCGCTTTATCGTGCTAATGCCAAGAACGGGAGGGGTCCCTCGGTTATCGGCGAAGAGAAATGAGCGTTTCCCACGATAAAAAAGTTCGACAACACCCGCTGTAACGGAAGAGTGTCGTGCTGGCCTCCAGCGAGCGACACAGAGAATCTAGTGCTGTGGCTTGATCATCTAGGGGGAGTTGAGAGAGTGCTCGCATGTATGATGGGAGGGTGTCGGAGGCGTGTAGGGAGGGAACAAGCGTGTACCTCGGTAGAAATAAGGAGACGCAAATGGGTGGAACGTGGGGTGGGGCAAGAGATGTAAGCCGCACGCTCTACTTCCATTGGAGCGCTAGCTTCGACGGAACTTCCTTCTTCGGAGGCGCCATGCACGACGACGTTTGCGCTGACAAAGCACAAAATGCTAGTTCGTCCATGCAACATCGCCGCAAAGCGACACGCGATGCATTCCGCGTTACCACAGTCTCTATTGCGGCAGCACAGTAAAAGGGGCAATCTTTTTACCCCCCCCCCCCTTCCCTAGGGAACCAACAATTGATCGGAAAGGCCAAATAATGCCTTCACAATAACAACCTCTCACCAAAAAGAGAAAAGGGAAGAGCCGAAAATTCTAGACACCAGCATGCACAATTGCCACAGTGCCAACGCAGCCCTCACCTGGGCCATGGTGAGGGAAGAGCAGAGGTGTGGAGCGTTCCTCATGTCGAACACCTTTCCGTCTTCCAACACCTTCATCCTGGGCAGGGGCTGGCTTGGTAGCGTGTTTATCTCCATCTCCTTACGGCAGCCCCGGCACACGTAGTACTTCACCAGGGGAGTGCCGTCCCTGCCATACTTGGAGCTGAAGCAATATTCCCTCGCCGAGCCGTCCTCCCCCTTCACCACCAATAGGGGGTTCCCTCGTAGTGTCTGCCTCCAGAAAAAGTCCCGAACCGGCACGCCACTGCGTAGAGAGATGGTGCTCCGTTCTAGTCAATGGGCACTCACGATCTGTAGTCGCAGGGGGCTCTAGAACCTTGTACTCTTGGAAACCCTTAGATACTTCTGAGCGAGAATTGGGAATGTGATTTATTTTCAAAAATAGGTAGACCCGTTTATGAAAGGAGTCTGCGTAGATCATGGCAAGTTATGAAAGAAGTATGGCAAGTGATGAGACAGAGATGATGTTTGGATCCAGACCGCGAACTATACTCAAATGTTGTGCAAGACATCCAAATGCCTGGAAGCCCAACACAAATCCTATTGATGACTACCAACAGGTGCCTGTTTGCTCGCTGAACTCTTTTTATAAATCGTGGCTATTCTTTCTTCTGTGGGCTTTGGGAAAAGTGCCTTCCCGTGGGCGTTTTAATATAAAAAATTGCGCGGACGATATCACAATGCGATGCCATTGGCCAACATCAGCTGGTGTGACATTTCGATGATACTGCATCAAAATTGAGTGAAAATTTCAGTGATGCTCTGTCGCGAGGTAATGTGACATTTCATTACTTCTTTTACTTATTCTTTACGTCGCAGAGTAATCGCTGCGTGTGTGCTACGTGTGTGATACGTGCCCAAGCACAAACAATCCGTAGGCCCGTAGTTCACACCTTGAAGGCACTCGGGTCACTGCCCTGATACGACGACTGAAGAACCTTATGGCAAGCCGCCAACAAAGACGACAGGTCTTGCGTAAATCACAACCGATCGCACACAGAATAGCTAGCATCAAACACGTTCTCCTGGACGAGCTGCACAAATTGGTCGATTGCCCCGGTGTGTCCATTCTTCGCTTGGTAATATTCTCTTCTGTGTGCCGTTTCACGTTCACGCACAGCATGATCCTGACGTCGAATGTGTTCAATCTTAACACCCAGGGTAAAACAGTCGCTGCCTACACATCAACGACGTTTTCTCTCACGGCTTAGAGTGCCGAGGTGATGGGTAATCACAGATGAGAAAGAGCAGGTGACAAGGGGGTGATCACGTGACCCTCAGCGGAATTGCGCCTCAACCACGACTATTATCAGCGAAAGGGCAAGGATATCTTTGCTGTACTTGCTCTCTCCCGGTGCCAAAGTCATCTGCAATAAACATGCGTATGCTCCGTTTGTTTTCGCAAACACGACACTCGTCCAGTACAACAACCCCAGTACAGCTGACGCTGTAAAATGCCGACCTAGCTTTGCATAAATATGGTATTTGTTTTCCTGGTCAAAACCTTCTTTGGCTGCACCTTATAGACCGACACGCGGGCTTGACATCACGGAGCTGCGGTGGCGCTGCGATCGCGCCGGAGCTGGGTGGTGTGGGCAAAAGTGGGCACGTTTCGCATGGGCATCATAGCATTTCAGCATGCCGCAAAGCCGTGTTGCCATTAATTGCACCGAAAGGTACAAGAAAAGTAGCAGAGTGAGTTTCCACAAGTTCCCGGCAGACTCTGAAAGGCATAAAGGTAGACAATATCTGTGGATCGAAAAGATGGTCGCCTCGCGCGAACGATTGTTTGTGCGGCAAGCACTTTCTTAAAGGCAAGTGCGGCTTCCATTCCATTTCAATCTCCTTCCCAAGGCTTGCATATGTGCAGGGAAACGGTTGTCTGATCGAGACCACCCGGATTTGGTTCCCACGGTGTTTGCGCACAAAGCACCGGCCAAGCACTCGTCGGAGGCTCGCTACGCCCGTGCCAGCAGAAGGGGATCGGCGACAGAACGGCAGTGTTGTAGGCGTTACAGAAAAAAAGTAATGAAATACGTTACTCGTTACTTGCGAATAAAAGGTATGCGTTACTGAGCTACGTTACCTCCAAATAAAAGAAATGCGTTACCGTTACTGATACTTCTGCATTACTTTTTAAATTATGATTTAACACGTTTTACGGTTTTGACGTACAGGTATGCATAAGCTCATATATCAAGAGACATTATGTTCATGCGGAAACTGAACATAATTACTTTACAGTATAGACCACTTACAACGTAACCGCTTATAGCGCAGGACCGGGTATAACGCGGTTTTTTTAAACCACCGGTTCGCCTCCCATAGAACTCCATGTAATCACATACCGCTTAAAATGCAGGCGCGCGAAGGGAAATACCGGTTATAGTGCGGTTTCTGGCACAGCCCGCCGATCGCGCCGACGACCGGAGCAGCGAGCACGCTTCCCTGTGCGACACTAGATAACGGCGCTGACGGCGCAAGCGGCATTCGCGGGGCAAGGAGGTTGCTCGAAGGAGCGGGGAGAAGCGAAGAGAGAGGCTTCAGTTGCCATAGCAACGAAGGGACGCACGCACGTGTCGTTCACGTGCGTGCGTCCCTCCGCTGCGTTGGAAACAAACCGCAACGACAGACCAATGGAAGGTCGGGGAGAAGTGTTCGCGCGCGTTGCATGCCGGTCGCGGGCCGGCTGCTTCTATCCGCAAACATGGCGTCTGTTGTGACCGTCGTCGTAGACGGCGTTCACCTCGTCGTTCCGCGTAAAAGCGCTATCCTTGACTGTGAATTTTCGTTGTGTGTCTCTATGATAACCCAGCACATACTAGAAGGGAAGATCCACCTACTCGTGCGGCGATGTCGTGGCGGCGCTTTCAAGACGGCAGAAACGCCCGTGTCGTCGTGTTTGTTTACTTCGACTACAGTGGTGATTTCTAAGCATTTGTGTCCTCGAACAATGCCCGAATTTCTAATTGGCGCATTTCATGCGTGTGCTCAAGTTCAAGGTATTACTGGCGCGTACCGTATGAAGGATGCAAATTTTTACGTGTTTTCATCTCCGGAGAAAAGTGATTAGGGTTACCAATACTGAACGCTCACAACGTCCGTCCGCAACCCGCGACGCCAATAAAAGGCTGCGCCAGGCAAAAGCCGCTCATTTCTTTGAAAATGTGCGACACACTTGAGACAGAACTGTACTAGTCTGGTGAAATAAAGACTTTCCTCAAACTAAGCTTTCTTTTTCATCTAACCTAAAATAAATTCTTTTACAAAGGTAAGTTGTCTCATGGCATGTATTTTGGCCTGAAAAATTTATGTTTTGGTTATAGCGCGGTACCGCTTATAGTGCGGATTTTCGCGACTCCCGCGACATACGTTATATGCGGTCTACACTGTATCTTTTTTTTTTTTTTTGGTTTCACCTAAATACTTACGAGAAAAAAAGCAAAGAAAAACATGGCTTAACACCAAAAAACACTGAAAATATTGAAGCATAATTTCTTTAAGACTTAGGAAGTAGTAACGAGTAACATTACTATGTTACTTGAAATAGTAACGTAAGTATGTTTCCCGTTACTGTGTCGAAAAAGTAATGAGTAGGTTATTACGTTACTGGAGAAAGCAGCACGTTCCTGGTAAAGCTGTTACTTGTAACCTGTTACCGCCAAGACTGCAGAATGGACAAAGCATTAATGCTTGTCATTCCTTGTGATCATGAGGGTAGGAAAAATATCATACCTTGACTTCAAGACGCTCTGTGTATTTATTTAATTAATAAATACACTCGATCCCACCGACAGTGCGGAAACTGACTCGAATTAATCGTAGGCCTCGAGAGACTTGAACGCCTGCACCGTGTCGGCCGTGAACTGGCTTGGCAAAAAAACTAAATAAACGACGACGTGCACAGTCGACTTCGGTGGCAGCAACTTCGCGTCGAAAGTCCAGCAGGCCTTGTTTACGGCGCAGGGATCCTCGTCGTTGACGCCGTCCACGCACAGTTTGTTCGGATACCGCCGCCGTTCAGGCTCGGGTAGCGAGCTCAAATAGTCGGGCATAGCATACGACATACGTTGTCAGGAAATACAAATCACAAATGAAGCTAGAGGCGTCCCTACAACGTCAACAACAAGCGCACGCCACACAACACAATGGCAAAAACAGAGAGCCGGGGCGCTTTTGCCCACATAGCTGCCACGCATGCGCGGCCTTCCGGCCGTGTTGGTAAACAGAGCTGCTCCGCATGTCGGTCTATAGGAGAATGATGCACAACCTAATCGGCACAGCAAGACCCTTTCTACATTAAAGCGACTGAACTCTGTTATAACTCGGATTTTGTGTTAGCTGAGTAACTTTGTGTGAAATTCGGAGGGTGCTCTTTGGAGTCTATTTTTCGCTGGAAGATCGGGATTTATCGGAGTTTATTTTTGTCCAATTTTCTATTTTTGAAAATTCAGAGTGCAATTTTCCTCTTTTCTTATTTTTCTATATAAGAATAAATAATGTCCAGACAAATACATACACAAAATATGTATAAAAAATTCGTAAGAAAAATCACCTGCATCGAGAGATATTTCAGCAGCTGCATTTGACATAGGCGCCCTTGCGATTGGCAGCACTAACTGTCCCACGACAAATCTTGAAGACAAGTATTCAATAAACGTCGGTACTTTGAAATAACCAAATTCCAAGACGTATAAAACCTTCAGCTGCCCTCACCATCTCATGATATCTACGGGTCGACACCTTTCACTGTTACGCAAACACAACCCCTCCTCCCTCTCAAGCACAAAGAGTATATCGTCCAAACTGGAATCCGGAACAGTGGCTTTTTGTCGTAGACCGTGGTGCAGAAGTACATTGGCCCATATCATAACGAACGAACATTGAAGAGGTAAACAGGGACCTATTTTTAGTAAATTGTCTAAAATAAAAAGCTAAAAAAAAAAAATCTGAATTAGCCTTTTCTCGGGACCACTAGCCCCAGACTCTGACAAACGTTATTTGTAAAATACTGTCTTTTTTGGCTTTTTATTTGGCCAGCGTGAACTTCAAATTCGGAGTTATTAAGATAGACAAGAATTGTCAAACATCTAGCCAACGGATATTTTTCGGAGTTTATCAGATTTATCCGAAAACACGGAATCCTAATGATGACGAAGCCAAAGGGAATCAGAAATATGGTCGCTAAATTCGGGCTCAACGACAGTCGAGAGGGCTCTTATAACTAAAACATTACTCCAACCAGCAAAAAATTTTTGTCTTTTAGCGGAGCGTGGGCTGCCAGCCGCTGGCAGGTGACGTATTTGGGACATCTACTCAACCCCCCCCCCCCCCCCCTTGAAAAGTGAAACTACCCAGTTCCCAATGTGCTCACTTGGGGGGCTTCAGTCGCTGCTCTTCTCGGTCGCAGCGGTCAGTTACGCCCTCCCCCTGCCTGGACTCAGCTTCGGCAGCGTCTCCCGCAGCAGATGTAAAGTCGTCACGAGGCTTCTCAGGTGCTTCGTGCTGAGGAGAGTTCAGCGCCGCCGCTGGTGGCCAATAACCGGGCGACAAAGGGTAGGCGCTGCTGAGATCTGGCCCATCGGTCGTGCTCGCTTCCTTCCTTTCCCCAGCCACGGCTTCCTCGACGCCTGCATGGCACAAAGCTCACCGTGAATTTCTCACCTGAGCACGCAAAGTTTTAAGAAGTAACGCGAACCTTGAAAAACGAAGAATTGTGAAAAAACTTACTACCTCCCTTTCAATTGTCAGCCCCTAATTCATTGAGAAAATGTTAGAACAATTAATTACGAGGCCACTATAGCTTCCGAATGGTGGTCAAAATGCAATATCAAGCCCACCTTACTGCAATCCACGCTCCTGTTCCTTTCGGCTGACGGCCGCCAGCTTGGTCTTGTTATGGAGCTGAATTTTTTCTTCGCATTTTTCCGGCTTTCAAAATGGTGGCGTCCATGTGGTTGCAGCGTGGTCGGTAGTTCCACCTTTTGCGATTGTGAAACCGTAATTGTCCAAGCGCGCATTCCTTGAAATTCATGAATGCCACTGGCCGCGACGCGTGTTCCCCCCTCCCCTCTGCTAAGTCCGAATAATCAGTCGCCGACCGATTATTCAGACTTAGCAGGGACCGAAAAAACATCCGAATAATAAAGCAGTCGGAAAAATCAACAGATTGAAAAACTTGCCTTTATTACTTCCAAGTGGGCTTAAAAAAGCTGTAATAGTGCCGTGGTTCAGGTTTCGTGGCAGGTTTCGCGGCGGCAAAAGAACAGATGGGGCTATGACGTCCAAGCCAGCGTTGTGCGAACGAGATAAGAGGCGCAAAACCACGAGCACAAAATGGCGACTGGCGACACGAAGAAACGGAAAAAGCAAAATGATAAGAAAGATGATGATGATGACGTGCAGCTAAATGGAAAAAAAAAAAAGGGCTAGCATAGCGTTACCTCGCGGTAGGACTCAGCAGTACTCAAGTAGTGCCAGTAGCGCTGCCAAACCAAGCCAATCCATGTGCATCCAACAAAGAATTCAAAATGGCCACTTCTCGATGGTTTTTTCCGCTGATCGCTCGCAACTATTTTGTCAGAATAATCTAACTTTCGGACTTCAAGTTGTCCAAAACATTGACCGTGAATATACACTATTTTTATGGGGTAAGTCACGATTCCACCTTTAGGTCCGAAATATCGAACAAATCCAAATTATCCAAGTAAAAAAAAAAAATGAAGATTGCGGCGGAGCGAGTTTGTTAAATCAAGGTTATCTAGTGCGAGCGCTTCGTTATTCATTACATGAAGTTCACAAATACAAGCGCTTCTATGAGGATCGCGTCGGGGAATTGAAACAACATTAAATAGAGGATTTCGTTGTATACAGGTTAGTTACATCCAGGTTTAACTGTAGAGGTCTTTTGCAGATCTGTCCTCCACATCAAAAACTACCACTTTTCACAGCCTTCACTAGTTGTTCCACAAGTGCCTTACTGATGGGGTAGTGTACATCACCTTGTCACCCTCTAAAACTGCCAAAAAAAGTTCCGGCTCATCACAACAGTCTCAAACAGTCTAAATGTTAAGAGCCCTAGTTGGCTTCTTACATGGTTCGCACGTTCTTGACGAGTCTGACTGCTCCCTGCTGGATTCTTGTGAGGCAGGCTCCGTTTCGGCGCCAGACACAGGTTTCGTCGGCTCGGAATATGGCGCCCACCGTCTGCCGGTCCTACGCATCCTGCGGTGGTACATCGACCTCACTCTCCTGTAACAAGAAAGACATTTCGCAGTGTGAGTTACGCCGGTCGAGCACTCTATCAATTCCCAATAAATTTCGGCACCTCACAATCAAGGCTGGTTCACACACTAGCGACAGCTTACAACCGAGTGCCTTAAAACCTCTTTTACGACCAGAGAACCCACTAGCACCATTTAGTGGGCAGCCGTGGAACACGGCATTTCTGTATATTGCCTTTTTTTTTACACATCTTTTTTCTTTTTTTTTTCCTTTTCTCGAAAATTTTTTTGACATTTAATTTAACAAATACTGCGAAAACCTTTGCCCTCTTAAAATGCAGTTCTAGGGTCACCTCATAGACGGCACCAACATGCCAGTATGTTCTTTCGTCGTAATGGATTGCAAGAACTCCGTCAGAAGCAAACTCAAGCGTGAGAGGCAACCTTTGAAGCTTGGCTTAGTTGCACAGATGCTTCCGGGCTTTTTTGGTAAAACTGCCCCTCCCGTTGCCCAACCCCTTCCAAAAAACTGACCATTTTTTTTTTTAGAGAACAGAAGCGCGAGTTGTGCAGGTGGCTACCAAAGGAGCGAAGTAAAGCTGATGGATTTCGCCTTCGGTTTTATTGGCTGGAATGCATCGACGGGGCTCCCATTGGCAGCTGCGTTCACCAGTTTCCATGACCGCTCACCCCATGGCGCTGCAGGTTGATCAGCGCGCCGTTAACACGAAGCGTCCAAGGTCAGCATGCCCAGGAGAGCACGCGCGCTGACCGGTGACGAAAAGTACAAAGCAGACGAAAAAGAAAGCGGAGGAGCGGCTTGCATGCTTTGCATTCACAACTCATAAGAAGTGCTTAGGTGTAACTCAAGCTTTTTTCTGCTTCACTAAAACACACAACCGCCTCCGAGGAATACAACCGCATAGCAAGCTGTGAATGGATGCAAACTAATTAAGAATTCCTACGGTAGATATTAAAGCCTTTTTTGGTTCCTTTGCCGCAAGTGCAAACGCTCCTCCGTAACTGCACTCGAGGCATCATGGCAGAGGACCCCACTTCTCGACTGCACTGCTGGAAGCCACCCAAAAAAAAGTTGCAACTCTAGCAAGCCAAAACAAAAAGTGCCAATCTTTTAACGTGCGCACAATCAAACGGAGACGACTCACTCGAAGGACGGCAGAGACCGCTCTATGTCCTCTCTTTCCTCCGCAGGGTGTTCGTTTAGGAAGTCCGTGAGGTTGGCCCTCATCGCCTCGTAGGCCTCTCTCGCTCGTCGAGCTCCGCAGTTTGGCAAAGACAGTCGATGGTCCCTCTCAAAGTGCTTTCCGACAACCTGAGTAAGCAAAGGGAAGCACCATGTGAATGAGGATTGAAACAACTTTGAAAAACCTAGAACCTGTCTAGAATCGAATTAACCGAAGGACAAGTGCAATTTGCCCATACATTTGTGCCCCCCCCCCCCCAACGGTACAACATAAACAATATGGCGCACTGTTGATGGTTCCAGTTCATTCCTCAAACAAGCGCACTGGAACCGTTCTTATGTTTGTGCACGAAACAAGCTCGGAAATACTGAAGTAGTTTTTTCAAACAGCATGCTATTTGATAGTCACTAGGGATGCCACAAACTTTTTTCGAACCAAAGTTTTGATGATTGAATCAAGCGGTTCGAAAGGTTCGTACATTCTACATAGAAAAATTCAAAGGAAGTTGAATTTTAGAACTTGTTAAACTAAAAAGTTCGACGCTTTTCGAAATTTCAAACTTTGCACGTTCAAAAATGCAATGTTTTTCGAACCTTCGAGCCTACCGTATTTGCACGAAAATAATGCAAGTTTTTTTTTTGGAATCACATGCTCAAAAAAGCACTTTGCGTCGCATTCGGAACCGAGTTCAGCCCCGAGCCGCACCAGTCTAGAGAAAGCCAAAGGAGAAAGCCATCCCTCTGGCTCAATGCCGGAGATTGGGCGGGAAAAGAAGTTGGGGTGTGGGTGAGAATTTATAAGCTATTGGGCCACGTGAAGGGGCGAATAGAAAACAAAAAGCATTTCTATCGCTTTTGTGTTTCATGCTTTCGTGTTAGCACAACGTGCGCACACAGCAAAAAACGCAGCGCGCCGTGCGGGAATGCGGGCACTGGCCAATTCAAACCAAGCCAAGCCAAGTCAAGTCAACACAAGCCAAGCCAAGACCACCAACCATGCCTACGCAATCAAGCAACACGAGGTGTTTATGGGGAGGGACCAGAACGAGAATGAGTGGGATCGTGTTTCGAGTTCAGCAGTCTTTTTTCTGCCTGTGCATTGTCCTGTCCTGTCCTGTTTCCCTTCGTGCATTGTCCTGTCCTTGTCCTGTTTCCCTTCGTCTGTGTCCCTGTATATTTTTTCTGCGCTTTTTTGCTTGCATTTTTTAGTTTCTGCTCCAGAGCGGTCTGGTGTTTGTGCTGCTTCCTGCCTTGCTTTGCTTGTGGGCTGCCGAGGAGCTCACGCTTAAGGGGGGACACTGGCTAGAGGTCAAACTTTTGGACTACTCAAGTGATCGGAATGAAATTTGCTGGGGAGATTTAGCTTCAGATGTAGGTGTACTGTGCAAACTTTCAGCTCTCTAGGACAAATTTACATACCTGCATAAGATGATGTGTCACTCTTCATTAAGAAATCTATGATATGCAAATGAAGGTATTAAGCATTATTCTGACTGCTTAAATATAAAGTGGGGGATATGGGACCTCGGGCTATCTAGTTTTAACAACTTAAATGTAAATATTTCAGGAAGAGTTTTTACCTCAAACTATAAGATGCATATCTGTCCTATGTCAATTTCTGAAAACTTAGTTTTTTATCACTGAGGACTTCAACTTAAAACAAAATAAAGTAGATAGCCCGATTCCCCAGAAAATTTCAGTTCAGAAACATCTTGATTGTGGTATCAGAATACTTTTACCTTCGAACAAAAGATTCCTTCGTACGAAATTTGCAGCAAAAAGTGGAACTGAGAAAAATGCATTCAAACATTGAACTCCTTTACTTTGTTACTGCCTCACAATGTGTTGAAAACATTTTATATCAACGTAACTATTTGGCGTATGGTTATCAAATTTGGTGTAAGGGTGTATAATTAGTTTCTAAAACTGAAAACCTCAAAATTAAAAAATAAATTTTTTTAAAAAAAATTTAAAATTTAGGTTTATGTCCCTTCTTAAGAAAAAAAGGTCCCAGACAAGCGGTGCCCTGTTCCTTCTGCGTAGTCGCCCAAGTCGATTGTAAACGGAAGGACCTGAGCAGTGAGGATGAGTGCAGTCAAAACATAAACTGATGATTCAGTTTATGTTAATGGACAATTTCGGAGTCCCCTCCAAGTCTGAAAAATCAGTCAACGACTGTAGTTCCTTTTTCCTCGGCTCTGGCAGTTCCTTTTTCTTTGGTGTGAGCTCCTTGGAAGCCCACAAGCAAAGCGAGGCACAAAGCAGAAGCACCAACACTCAAACACCAGGCCACTATGGAACAGAAACTAAAAAATGAGCAGGCAGAAAAAAGACTGCTAGCCGGACCCGATACACGATCACTCTCATTCTTGTTCTGGTCCCTCCGCATAAACGAACGCCTCGTGTTGCATGAGGTCGATAATCTCGGCTTGGCTTGTGTTGACTTGGCCTGGCTTGACTTGGCTTGAATTGGCCAGTTGCCTCATTCCTGCATGGCGTGCTGCATTTCTGCGGCATGCTTTCTGACGTGCGGTGTACAAAAAGAGAAGCGATAAAAATGCTTTATGTTTTCCATTCCCCCCTTCACGTGGCCCAATGGATAATAAGTTCCCTCCCACACCCCATCTTCTTTCCCTGCCCGATCTCATGCATTGAGCCGGAGGGATGACTTTCTCCAGACTCGAGCGCCTTGTGGCTAAACTCGATTCCTAATATAACGCAAGGCATGTTTTAAAGCACGTAATTCTGAAAAAAAAAAAAAAAAAATACTCTCCTTATATTTGTGCAAATACGGTATCTAGTTAATCAATTTGAGCAGGGGCAACTCATAAAAACTTCTTAATTTACTCTTTTACATCTATGACATTGACAGTTCCTCACCTGGGCCATGGTGAGAGGAGAACAGAGGTGCGGGGCGTTCCTCATGTCGAACACCTTCCCGTCTCCCAGCACCTTCATTCTAGGCAGGGCCACGCTCGGCAGTGCGTTCGTCTCCCTCTCCTTCCGGCACCCCCGGCACACATAGTACTTCACCGGGGGGGCTTCAGGCCTGCCGTACTTGGAACTGAAGCAGAATTCCCTTGCCAAGCCGTTCTCCCCCTTCACCACCAGCAGGGGGTTGCCTCGCAGTGTCTGCCGCCAGGAGAAGTCCCAAACCGGCACGCCGCTGCGTAGAGAGATGGTGCTTTGTTCTAGCCGGCAGACGCTCAAGATCCTGGGCCCCGGAAACTCTAGAACCTCGTAGTCTCGAGAAAGTCTTGGATGCTTGGAGTGAGAATTGAAAATGTAGTACAGTCTAAGCTCATTACTACAGACATTTGGATATAACATACCGATTTGTGAAGCTCAATTGATTTTCCTCCACATACCATTGGCTCAACTTCATATCTGCATACAACATACTCCTTTTACAACAGACCAAAATCTTGGTCAAAATCAAGGTGCGTTATAACAAGCTTAGACTGTATACACTATCATGCTGTTTACAAACTATCCCATGTTTGCCCAAACCAGATTGAGTGAGAGGAAGCATTTGCGCATGCGCAGTACCGACGGCAGTGCCATGGCAGCAGTGCGACGTCAAGGAGTTAAGTTGGTGCATAATGGGTCAACCCTCTCTATGAAGGAAGCCTCCACAGACAATTGGGAGTTACGAAGTAACTCCCAATCGTCTCTGCCGGCTCCTTTTATGATGAGCGCCCTCGACATGCCGCAACTGAACAGAAAGTTGCATAATTCGGAATCGCCACCAACTTTCTGAGGTCTAGCCATACAGCACGCACGTTCTTTCGCCCGTATGGCCGTGCGCGTGCGTCGGCACGACGAGGTGTCGACCGCGGCCAACGCCTCCCACGGTCACTGTCAAGGCAAAAACAGCAAGACATCCCTTTCAAACGCCCAGCCTCCGGCACGCACTTGTTGCCTTTCGCCGCGCTCTGGCCAGACGCACATGCTCGAGGCTCTTGAGACGTGTTAGCATTACGGAAGGTAGAAAGAAATAGAATGTATGCTGCTCCTACTTCGCCGAAATTTGTTCCGTCGATAGCTCGGCCGGTAGGGCGGTAAAACGTAGACGAAACGATGGGTGTCATTTATAGGTCGCCGATTCGAATCCGGCTAGACAACGGAAATTTTCACCTTAAATTAAATTCGGCAGCGGCGGCGGGTGCACCCGAGAGCAATCGCGCAATCGACGACGTCGCGGGAGGTTTCGCGAAAGACAGCCACGCAATTCCCCAGGGAGGTTCCCCCAACGGCCCTCGCCGTACGAAAACCCGGTTCCCAGCACGCTTACTTGGGGGGCTTCTGCTGCCGCTCCTCTCCGTCACCGGGATCGGCCGTGCCCTCCTCCCGCCTCGGCTCCCACTCGGCTGCGTCTTCCACGACAGACGTCAGGTCGTCGCGACGAAGGGTAGGCGCAGGCGACAAAGGGTAGGCGCCGCTTGGATCCTGTCCATCGGGCGTGCCCACTCCATGCCTTTCCCCGATCGCGGCTCGCTCGGCGCCTGCACGGCGCAGTGTCTACTGTGAAACTCCTAATCCGAACGCAAAGCTTTAGTCTAGTCATTGCACCTGTGCCGTGAACGCAGTACGGTGCCTGGGGCATGTCTTTGACTAATTCATTTGCCCTCCCAAGCTGCCCACGCGCCGAAAGCAATCCCGAAGTACCGGCAAATGATGTCGCGGAAGCCGGTGTGTCGTGTCGTCGGACGTCGCAATCCTGGCAGTTGGTGCTAGAAGTGTCGTCAACACGTACGAGCGAATGCGAGTGTCGCGGAGTCCCGACTCCTGGACTCCCGACTCGCAATTGAGCAGGCGTCTGCCGCATTCGTCGCCGCCACTGCGACGCCGCCAGGATCGCGTCAGGCGACAATGTGAAACCTCTACGTCGTCATTGGGCAGAAATCGAGGGTCCACATTGTGGGACGCGTAAACACACTGGTCGGAGGTGCAGTGATGTGATTTGTCCAAGTCAATTTGGAGCACCTTTTGGATCAGCCAAAACGGTGTTTTGGAGCAGCAAAAGTGGCTTTTGGAGCAGGCAAAACAGTGTTTTGGAGCAGCAAAAGTTGCTTTTGAAGCAGTCAAAACAGTGTGTCGGAGCAGCAAAAGTGGCTTTTGGAGCAGATATTCTTAGAAAAATAAAGGTATTCGCTTTAAGTGCTGGGAGTCCTTCAACATGTAACTGAAATGCCAATGACATGACACATTTTGCAATGCTTCAGTTAAGTTATAGATATATATATATGTACCGTTATAGATAAATAAGAACCAAACTGCACATATTAAAATTTATTTGAAAATGACCAGCTTATTAGTAAATATCACAGCATTAGGTTGACTACCGCACTTATATAATATAGTAAATGGAAGCTGTCTCCGACTGAGGAAACACGCAACTACTGCAGTGCAATGCGAAAATGTACACAAGACAAAGTTGCATTAAGACTAGCGGGTGCTTTTCTTTTTGCTTTTCGAAACTTTCTACAAGGCTGCTGCAAGCCTCGCTTTGCCTTTGGCTAGTACTGAATTCCCACTTCCAATGTCTCCAAAGAGACATTGAGACGTCCCACAAGTGAACAGTGCTGTGGGCGTTGCCGAGCAATTCCGAAAAACCGCTTGCCACCGTTTTACTGGTTCCCGACGTACCAGATTTTCGTCAAAAGTAAGCAAACGTTAAAAAAAAATGGGTTACAAGCGTCCCGGCTTGTGCCTCTGTCGTGCAGCCTCTGTTGTGCAGTTACGGTACTCAGTTCAGTTTCGCTTTTGAAAGACGACCAAAATTGGTCTTTTGGCGCAGGCTTGGCGCAGATTACCCATACTTTGGCAAAATGTAGCAGGATGTAGCAGGGTTAGCCCCTTGGCGCAGTTTGGCGCGATTGGCGCAGCAATCACATCACTGGAGGTGCGATCCAGGCACTGTAACAACAGACGGAACACTCATCAGGAAAAATAAAATGAGCTGTGTCCCTTGCCATTTTCCAAAGATGCTCCAAATGCAGAAAGTTTAGAACGCCTGCTCTCACGGCCTAGTACTCTCATTTTGCAGCCACACCCCTCGACTGTCTCCCTTAACCCCGCTCCGCCGCTGTTTTCGCTCCCGCACCGCTTTGGGGGTACATAAAGCAAGCAAGCAAGAGCCTTCACGGTATGGTGGTACACCTTGCTGCTGCTAAGACGACACCAAAGCGGACTGCACAAAATAGGAAAGAGAATTTGTCTTCGCTAAAATGGCAGCAATTGCTAAAACAGAGTGCTCAGAAACAAGATGAAACTATCTCCTAACTGTGCTGGTGAGTGATTGTTATTACTTCTAACTAGGCTGTAGATTCTCCAATTTTAACTGAAAAGCAGCGATAAACATCAGTCGGTACAAAAAATACAAAATCGGTTAAAGCCCGACCTACAAAATGTTTTTCAGCAAGGTAGGAAAATTTTTCTCGCCACCCTTCCCATTTCCCTCACTCCCAGTGATATCTTGGCGGCAGGGGGGAGGGGGGATACCTTCTGTTCCTGCATCTTTAAGCTGGGTAAGCTGGGATAAGATTCCGGCTTATCCAGCCCCAAGATGCAGCGACAGGAGTTCACCCGCAGCCAAGATGCCAGTGGGGGAGGAGGAATCGGGAAGGGTGGCAAGGAGGATTTTTCTACCCCACGGCAAATGATATTGTAGGTTGACCTTCAAGACCAAGACACACCGATTTCTAGAAACGTTCGCTCGTAAAGAGGACCAACTACCGTATTTATTCGAATATAAGGCGAGGTTTTTTTCCAAAATCCGTAGTCTCAAAGTCATACCCCGCCTTATATTCGAAGCTCAGTATAGCAATATGACGATTTTTTTTCTTTTTCTTGGGTCCTTCAACTGCCCCCTTGCCTCATAATCGTGACCACCTTATATTCGAATAAATACGGTATGCACTGGCGGTCGTTATCGGTTAAATCTTGCAAGAAGCAAAAGCACCTTGCCTTCCCCGTGAAACAAACATTTCGCTCGAGAACAATTTCATTTGCGTCATCACATAGAGAAGGTAGCGGAAAAAAAGAAAATGAAAAGCTCCAGATGATTATGTGAAAAACTACTCCGACCATGGTGCATGTTCGAACTCGTTGTGTGTGGTTTGCAACTACTGTCGCATTACAATAAGCATGAAGTTATAAAGGCTTACACAATTTGTAAACTAAATTCGAGCTCTTAACTCTTCGCTAGTTTTTTTTGCACTGCGTATCCCCGAACGACAATACAAAACAAATCGTCAAAATAAACCCATTTCTGAAAAAAATAAGTAAACACCGAAAAAAAATTTGCAATTTTCCTTTTAAATGATTGCTGAAAAGTCTATGGCTTGCTTATAACCACTGGTCATGCATGGCAAATGTTTCTAAATCTATCACATCACAAACGTTATTGCATTTAATTATTTGTGAACTCGTTGCAAGTTACAGAGCAAATTAGAAGTCCTTTGCCGATTTCTCCACATCAGAACCACCCTTTCTCAGAGCCGTCCCTAGTTGCTCAAAAGCTTTTCCACTGGTGAGGTACTGGGCATCACCTTAACACAGACAAAAATTGTGGATGAAATTTGGGATCCAGAAGAACAGTCTTACGTAAAATACCGGAGAAGCTCCCACCCCACTTCCACTGAAAACTGGGTTAACCTAAACATGGGCTTGTCCCACCAAATCGGGCGTTTAATGTATAATTTGCAGAATTCCCAGGGTTGGGAAATGTTAATAGTGGGCGCTTGAACCAAGTGGGCGCTTCCGCGGTATTTCGCGGTAAAGTTGGGAGCCCTATTTAACTTACGAGGTTTGCATGTTGTCGAAAAGTCCGATGTCTCCCTGCAAGATTCTTCCGAGGCAGGCTCTGTTTCGGCACCAGACACCTGTTTTGTCGGCTCGGAATATGGTGCCCACCGTCTACCGGACTCGCGCATCCTGCGGTAGTACATCGACTTCACGCTCCTGTAAGGAGGAAGACACATCGAAGTTCAAGTTACAACAGTCGAGCAATTGATCAATCCCCAACTACTTTTGGCATCTCACACCAGTCGATGACCGGTTCAGAGTTCGGGAAAAACTCCTCCCCCCTCTTTCCACTGTAACAGACCAGACACTGAAGAGGAGGCAACCCTCCTCCTCTCCTGCAACCAATCCGCTAAAGTGGAAAAAGGTGGGAGGAGTTTCCCCTGAACTCTTAACCGGTCAAGGACTATAGGTGGCTACAACGTGCTAGTTCCACTTTGCTACGCAACGCGGCCGCGTCTGAAGTACGCCACTGTGTAGCAGACTGCGATCGGTGCAAACCACACTCAAATCTCGTTATTGCAAATGTCAGACTAAACAATTTTTCAGGTTCACAAAAATTTCCCAAATACCCTTCCAATTTTTTTATGGTTTCTACGTAAAAATGTTTTAGTAGCATGAATTTGAAAACACCGGGCATTTTGGAACAATGTACTTGATTTGATCGCTCTTGTAAGTAGTAAACACCTCAATATTTAAAATTTATTTCGTAACGAATAAATGAAAGGTTCTGTGTGCTCCTGCTACTTGGCGGCTTCTGCAACTATGCGGCCCCAAGACTGACAGCCATCACCATCAGCAAACATTGGCCAGTAGGAAATGTGCACTAACCGCTAGTCCTAGTTATCATGTCATACTCATTACGGTACATTGTCGAATGAGGCTTCTCGCCAACTTCCTGGTGCCACGAGCTTTTGTTTGATTTGCTCGCAACGAGTTCCCTTTCTGAAAACGGGGCTTCTGAAAATGCCAGTTCAACCAGAAGGTGGCGAGTACCCTGACGAAAGCAATGCAAGCAAACTGTGGAGCAAAAATATTGAGAAACTTGCCGTGGACCCCTCGGTGGAGTTTAAGGGGGGACATGGTTTTTTGGAGCCAAAAACTTCCTATAACTGCATTCTTTTTAAAAAGGCGATGGCTGTTGTTCTCCTAAATCTACCAGGCTCCTAATTTTGTGGACGAATATTTGAGCTATTAATCAATTTATGTCTATGCGGGCTGAACGTGCATTAAAGCTGACTCTAAAACATTGTTTTCACAAAACACAGCTTGTGGACATGTAGAAAATTTGCAGGAGGGATATCTCAGCATCTAGGGCAGACAGATATATAACCTTTCCTGAAATGTATTGCTAAATGTGTGAAGCATACAATGTTGAGAGCACATTTTTTAACGCAAGTCTAGAAAATTTTCAATTTGATTTTTTGTTTTATTACTTGTTAGCCATGCATTGAGCACTAAACTTCAATGTGTAATAAAATGACTAATAATGGGTTTATCTTAAAAGTGTTCCCAACATTGTATTCTCTATGCTTTGTAGTACCTGGCCATGTGTTAAAAGGGACATTTTGTTGAGCAGTTTTTTCGCTATCGTTCCTCCAACAAAGGCAGGCAAGTTTTAATTATCTTGAGCACAATTCTACTGACAGAGAAAATAACCAGATATATGAAATCAGCACAAAAAGCAGACCAAGCTTATGCAGTTTCATTGGGCTTGGTCATAAAATAAGAAAAAAAGCTCCAAGACCAGTGTTCCCCCTTAAGGATTACGTGCAACGTGACAATGCAGCCTGGACGTCGCAAGAGCAGATGACCGACAGCCTTCTAAACAACTTCCATGAATAAAACGACTGCAGTCGTGAGGACACCCAGAACAACGAAGGCGCAGAGGCAGCACTTGCAGATCGACAAAAAGAATCCATCTCCACCCCCATGTTGCAAGTGCTATCGGTAACACGCTTCACAAGAACATGGACGACATGGAATCACCTCTTCTACAGCGTTTGTGCTGCACCTACCAGAAAAATAAATTACAGATTTTATCTAACAAATGTGCGGTGCTTCATCGTGCGTAGTGCTTTTTGATCGGAATTGACCAAGTGGCATCTCATTGCAGGAGCAGGTTATTTCTTTCATCCAATTTATTTGTTACAGTGACAATGGGCTTTACGCTAGAGCGATAGTTCAGAATAACTAACAATTATGGTAGTCTCGCGAAATATGTTACATCAAGATTTGACTGCAGTGAGGAATTTCAGTTGCAGATCTCGAGAGCTTTTCTCGTTTTTTGGCTCTTCCCCTCAACCACGCTCAAATGCAACAGGAAAGGGCCCTACTTCTCAACCGCATTGCAGGAAGCCATACAAAGAGGGCTTAAAACTCTTGCAGGATAAACAAAAAAGCCAATGGCTAGTGCGGGCTTTAGCGTGCGCACAATCAAATGGAGCTGACTCACTTGAAGGAAGGCAGAGACCGCTCTATGTCCTCCCTTTCCTCCGCAGGGTGCTCATTTAAAAAGTCTGCGAGCTTCACCCTCATCTCCTCATAGGCGTCCTTCGCTCGTCGAGCTCTGCTGTTTGGCAGAGACAGTCGATGGTCCCTCTCAAAGTGCTTCCCGGCAACCTGAGTAAACGAAGAAGAGCACCACATAGTCAGGGACTTCAAAAAAAGTCATAATTCCTTGCAATTTGTCTACATACTTGAGGCAAAGAGCAGTGGTGCACCCATTAAACAAGTGTGCCAGAACTTTCTTGCATTTGCACGAAACAAATTCAAAATGTCAGTGTTTTACAAATATTCAAATAGCAATATTTAACTCGATATTCGCTCAAGATGTGTCGCATTCCAAAGTGTTGGCGCATGTCGTGGTTGTAATAGACTGCCCCACTCATATGTTATCCAAAACAGTCAGAAAAATATCGGTAATGACCGCATTTATATTTCCAGCCCGCACTGCACGTAACTGTCACGTAGCATCATGTTTTACTTGCTCTGCTCTCGCCGTTCTTTGCTTCATTAAAGAAGGAGGAGACGTTGATTTCTGTTCCACCTCCCGCAATTCACACTCGCACTCGGTCATCCCAGAGAAAACGACGTAGTGCAGGCGGTGCGTGCACACACGCACGTCAAAGAGTTACAGTTCAAGAAATTTCTGTGAAACTTGGCAAGTATCTGTAAGTGTTCAATTTGTAATTATGGCAACTCAGTCACTTTTAATTCACTCGTTTACACCTATGACATTGTCTAGTTACAAATTGGTGATACAGTGCACAATATACAAGGATGGGGATAGGCAGCAAACAAGACAAACTCTGAATTTCAATTAACCATTTATTGAAACTATGTCCAACAAAGAAACCAACCACACAACAATCGCGTCAACACGTGCTCAGAGGCAAACTCCTTTTTTTTTTTTTTTTTGCATAAATAAACCGGAGACTGGTTCGTATATTTAACCTCCGCCTTTTATCTTATCTCGTATGCTTCCAAAAGTTCTCTGGCAGTCTTATTGGCTCCTCCCTCGTCTTGTCTACTAATTATCTCTGCCCTTGTTTATTGCACACAGCATCATCAATTTGTAAGAACAAACTCGCCTGCATCGCCACTTTGACCGACAAGTTCCTCACCTGAGCCATGGAGAGGGGAGTGCAGAAGTGTGGGGTGTTGCTCATATCGAAGACCCTCCCGTCTTCCAGCACCTTCATCCTGGCGAGGGGCCCACCGGGAAGTGCCTTTGCCTCCCTCTCCTTCCGGCATCCCAGGCAGACGTAGTACTTCACCATGGGGGCTCCGGGCCTGCCGTACTTGGAATTGAAGATGTACTCTCGCACCGTGCTGTCTTCCCCCTTCACCATAAGCAAGGGGTTCCCTCGGAGCGTCTGCTTCCAGAAGAACTCGCGCACCGACACACCACTGCAACGGGAACAACGACGAACAGGAGCTTAGGGGGGGGCTAATCCAACACTACACTCTGTTCAACCCTCTACTGACAGTAAAAACTCGTTCACGCACCTGCGACTGACTAAGACTGACTGCCTTAAAGACTCTTAAAATCCCTTACGACGAGGAATCACACTGGCGCCATCTATTGGGTAGCCGTGGAACACTATAAGTTTCCGCATGTTTCCCCTTTTGTTTGCGTATCCATTTCTTCTTGCCTCGAAAAACTTTTGACAGTGTCCTAAATAAACGTTTCCTCTAGTACATACATTTTACCTCTCAAATACCACAAAAACCTTTGCTCTAGAAAAATGCAGTTCCAAGGTCACCTCAAAGATGGTGCCAGCATGTTTTCTCATAAAAAGTCACAAGACTTCGGTCCTAAACAAATGCAAGTGTGTGAACGGGCCTGAAGGTGGAAGCTACGAGCTTGCTGGACCAGTTGTGCACCCATCTACCACGTGATCATGCTCCCGCCCAAACCAACACGCAGAGAGCACCACAAGGTGATGAAAGGTGGGCAACTAGTTGGTTTAGCGTGCGCACAACTCCCACTGCACAGTTAGCACAGGGGTGAATAAAGTATGGTTTGCAATAGTACATAAACGCTAGTATTAGTCGCGTTGTTTATGAACCAAGCCAACAAATTCACTTTTCTGCGGAGGATACGGATAGCCAGATATTGCAATCAACAGGAGTGGAATGAATCAGAGAACAGAAATGACGTTCCCGTGCATAAATGCTATCTGCACTTCACACTGAGCATGACGGTTTATGTGTTTTCGTGAAGAGGCAACATCCTCAAATACAATGATTGGCTCCATGTGAACTCTGCAGGGCAGTAGATAAACAGGTCTTATTCATATACAATGCAGCTATGCCTTGAGAAAATATTGTACTGCATGGTTGTGCATTGCAATCAGCTTCAACGATACCCGATATAACAATGTACTGTTCATAAAGATCAGTTCCTAGAGTTTCAAGACTAGAAACACTCAGTTTCTGGTCTAGATGATAATCAGTTATAACAATTGAACTTTCGGGTTTTTTCATTATCGTTAGAAGTGGATTGCACTGCACTGAGCGCTTTTCAGTTTAACAAACAAAAACTCCAATAAACAATGGGAATGACAGAATGCGGGCACGGAACAACTGAAGCAGACATTCGAGGAGGGAAAGTATGGAGGTCAGGAAACATCATTGAAAGAAAACCTAAAACTGGGACAAATAAAACACCATTTTTTTATTTGTCCCAGTCTCAGCTTTTTTTTTTCCAAAGGACAGACACTCAAGTTATTTGTTATGGACCTTGGATGCTGTGCGACATAGAAACTATGGGAAACTGGACAAGCCCCAAGCTGACATTGTGCCAACATGGATGAAATGCCTTCTGCTCCACAACCTGTCATTTTAAAATGCTGTATCGCCTTTCAACAAAACAATGATCGTACAGAGCGCGACACTGTTAGCGCGGACAAGCGATCGCCGGTTTTCCCAGTTTTTCTATTTGAAACCAAGGGATGTCATCCAAGTTATTATTGCTACGGAAAGAGCTCATTTAGTTCTATAATGTAAGCGATAAAATTTCATGCTCACTATTACTATTTAGAAGTAAAATGCGAAAATGCGCCGATGTCGTGTTCGCGCTAACAGTGTCGCGATGTGTACCATTTTTCAATTAGAGAAATTCTCTCTCAATCTCGGGCACACAAACCCAAATGCACGCTCTATTCTCGGTTGAAACAACACAACGGCACATGGCAATGAACCAATGCCAGAATGTTACACAGTCCGTGATGCTTACTTGGGGGGCTTCTGCTTTTCCTGCAAGTCACAGTGGCTAGCGGCTGGAGCTTCTCGACTCGCGTCGACTTCCGAGGAGTCATCTGCAACGAGCTCTGCGTCGTCTGTGGCACCCTCCCGCAATCCGTACTGGAAAGGATCCTGCGCTTCAACTTTCCACACGCACGTGGGAGCCAAAGGATAGGCACTGCTGGGGTCTGATTTGTCCGATTCGCAATGGAGAGAATCCTGCACTGCAGCTTGCACCAGTTGGCTGCTAACTTCAAGCTCGTCTGATCCACGTCGGGGAGGATCTTGTGACGTGGACTCGGAAGTCGAAGGATTTTTGCCCGATTTGCAATGGAGAGAATCCTGCACTGCAGCTTGCACCAGTTCGCTGCTAACTTCGAGCTCGTCTGATCCACGTTGGGGAGGATCTTGTGACGTGGACTCGGAAGTCGAAGGATTGCTGATGCTGACGTCCAGCTTGTCCGGTCCACACTGGAGGTCTTGCTCCGCAACTTCCAGCACACACTTGGGAGCCAAAGAATAGGCAGCGCCAAGGACAAGGTCCTTGAAAGCGTTCGGTTCGGGACAATCCGTGTTGAACATGTCACTGATGACTGCATGTAAAATAAGGCAACCACTAAGGACGATTACAATGACAAAGGGATAAACTAAGAAAACAAAATGCATGCAAAAAAGTCACCTTTGAAGCTCTGAAATGAGGAGTAATCAACCCAGCTCACTCGGTGCATATGGTCTGCTCTTTTTAGATTTGCGGGATAGTCGGCACTAATATAAAGAGAAGTTTTATTGCTCGGCCTGATTGACGGTTGGGAGCTTCCGGGATCCCAAGGACTTCAAGACCCCAAAGGGTCCATAGACTCCCTTTTGAGAACAACTGCCACAGGCATTCAATCAGATTTGCATTTGTGAATGTAAGAGCCAGAAAACGTATCAACCGAATGCATTTCAATGAAGCTCAACAGCAGGGGTCTCAAACACGCAACCCAAAGGCTGCATGCGGCCCGCCACTTGCTGGGAAGCGGACCGCAGGCAACCGGCTCCGAGCCCCCATTCCCATGTCTCGAGAGCTACAAATGACGCTCGCCATAATCTTCTCATGTCGTCGATTCATTTCCGCTCGGAACATAGCTTTGCTCTTACAGTTCTCATTTGCCTTGTGTCCGGCCTATTTTTGCTTTCCAGCTTTTTGCGATGGTAATCATATATACGGCAATCCTTCTACTATTCTCGCCTTCAGAAAACATCAGGCCAATTGCTGCTATCAAATTCATCACAAAAAAAAAATTGGCATATGAAGAACATTTTTTTTTCTAGACATTACTTTCTGAGGGAATTGTGCAACGGGAATGACAGTGTGATTGATTGCTCTCTTGTTCTATTAAAAATGCCAGCTCGTTGGAGGGGCGGCACCATTCCAGCTTTCGTTATCACATCAGGTAAGGGCCCAAACTAGTCCTATAAACAAATCAAAGTTAGAGACGTCATTGGCAAAACTGCGAGTCTACAAAAAGCAAAGAAAACGAGGTTCCCTCTTTATAAAATCTTTTAATTTCCCCCCCCCCCCCCCCCCCCCTCCTCCACTTCCCCCCTCCCTTCCACCTTACGTTGGCCCTTGACTCTTCGGGGTGTGGGCTATCTGGACCTCACACTCAAGTGAGTTTGAGACCCCTGCTCTACAGTATAACAATGGTCTTAATGTTGACAACATTGAAACAGTGCCACTGGCCCCTCACATGGCACATCCGTCGTTGACACGACCGGTGCCTCCCCGGGAGTGTCCGTAGCCGGCTCCAATCCAGCGCGTGGCGCAAGCGGCTGTAGCTCTCCGTACGGCACCCACCGCTTGCCGGACTGGCGCATCTTGCGGTAGTACATCGAGCTCACGCTTCTGGCGGCCAGAGAGGGAAAAACAGCAGTGAGAAGGTGCCGACGCTAAAATCGCAAGCGTCCAGCAGTCACAATTGCACCAAAACGCCCTATTAAATGCCCCCGTAGGAAGACTTGCACGTAGCAGGTCCTATAGTCAGTGACAGGTTAAGAATTTAGTAGTGTTGAGACCGGTTATAATGAAGTCGGTTATAACGAAATAGCGGCAACAACGAAGCGATCACGATTTCCCCGTTTCCTTTTGCACTTCGTTATAACCGAAGTTGGTAATCACTTTGCTATATCCGCTATTTTGTTATAACAAAATAGCGGATATAGCAAAGTGATTACCGATTCCTGTTGATTTCATTATAACCGGCCTCGACAGTTGATCAGTGATAAGATTGGCCTAAGTCATTTTAAAGCACCTTCTGGCGCAGCCAAAACAGTGTTTTGGGGCAACAAAAGTGGCTTTTTGAGCAGCCAGAACAGTGTTTTGAAGAAGCAAAAGTGGCTTTTGGAGCAGGCAATCTTAGAATAAAAATACAGTATAGACCACTTACAACGTAACCACTTATAGTGCAGGACCGGGTATAATGCGGTTTTTTTAAACCATCGGTTCGCCTCCCATAGAACTCCATGTAATTACATACCGCTTAGAATGCCGGCGTGCGAAAGGAAATACCGGTTATAGTGCGGTTTCTGGCACAGCCCGCCGACCGCGCCGACGACCCGAGCAGCGAGCACGCTTCCCTGTGCGACTCTAGTAGTCTTGTGCGAATAGTGGATTTTGAGTTCGAAGCGAATACGAAGCGAATAGTGGTTTTGCCCGAATATTTTCGATTCGAATATCGAATAGTTTTTTCACGCCTTTCTCTACCATTGCAAAATACTTAAACAAAAACCCAGCAGAACTTGTGAAGGTTGTTCCACCTGTTTATTTATAGACTAAGTTTAATCTATCTATATCAACTCTGACCTCAGAAGGTCTGGGTGTTATACTCTTGCATAACAGTTTAATTTTGAAAGTTTTACCACAATGTAGATACACACATTCACAAACTTTTCATTTATTTTCAAATACAGTCGGCACAGGTGCACCATCCCGCTTTGAATGTATGCTTTACATACTTTTTCCAGTGTTTGTCGCGGCGGGTTACCCCATTGAGTGCGCTTCTTACCAAGCGCCGGTGCGCTGCGGAGAAGCAACACCCGCGGAGCTCGCTTTCGCGGGTATTGCTTCTCCGCAGCGCACCGGTGCTTGGTGAGAAGCGCACTCAACGGGGCTAACCCGCCGCAATTAACACTTCGAAAAACGCGAATAGTGCAGTTCTTCTCGAAGCGAATATCGAATAGTGTATTATTCGGAACTACTATTCGAAATTTCGAATATTCGCACAACCCTAGACTCTAGATAACGGCGCTGACGGCGCGAGCCGCAAGCGGCACTTGCGGGGCAAGGAGGTTGCTCGAAAAAGCGGGGAGAAGCGAAGAGAGAGGCTTCAGTTGCCATAGCGACGGAGGGACGCACGCACGTGTCGTTCACGTGCGTGCGTCCGTCCGCTGCGTTGGAAACAGACAACCACAACGACGAACCAATCGCAGGTCGAGGACAAGTGTTCGCGCGCGTTGCATACCGGTCACGGGCCAGCTGCTTCTATCCGCAAACATGGCGTCGGTTGTGATCGTCCTCGTAGACGGCGTTCATCTCATCGTTTCGCGTAAAAGCGCTATGCTTGACTGTGAATTTTCGTAGTGTGTCGCTATGATAACCCAGCACGTACTAGAAGGGAAAATCCACCTACTAGTGCGGCAATGTCGTGGCGGCGCTCCCAAGACGGCAGAAACGCCCCTGTCGTCGTATTTGTTTACTTTGACTACAGTGGTGATTTCTAAGCATTTGTGTCCTCAAACATCGCCCGGATTTCTTATTTGGCACATTTCATGCATGTGCTCAAGTTCAAGGTATTACTGGCGCGTACCGTATGAAGGATGCAAATTTTCACACGTTTTCATCTCCGGAGAAAAGTGATTAGGGTTAGCAATCCTGAACGCTCGCAACGTCCGTTCGCAACCCGCAACGCCGTTAAAAGGCTGCGCCAGGCAAAAGCCGCTCATTTTTTTCAAAATATGTGACACACTTGAGACGGAACTGTACTAGTCTGGTGAAATAAAGACTTTCCTCAAACTAAGCCTTATTTTTCACCTAACATAAAATAAATTCTTTTACAAAGGTAAGTTGTCTCATGGCATGTATTTTGGCCTGAAAAATTGATGTTTTGGTTATAACGCGGTACCGCTTATAGTGCGGATTTTCGCGACTCCCGCGACATACGTTATATGCGGCCTACACTGTAATTGTTTTAAGTGCTAAACAAACGAAGGGCACTTTGTGCTGTGTTGTGACAGAACTCGCTGTTTGTGTTTTTAATGCCGAGACATCCCACAAGCCTACAGTGCTGTAGGCGTTGCCGAGCAACTCCGAAAATAACGCTTGCCATTGTTTTACTGGTTCCCGACGTGTTAGATTCCCGTCAAAAGTAAGCAAACGTAAAACAATGAATTGCAAGCGTCCCGGCTGGTGCCTCTGTCGTGCAGTCATGCTCACATGCACGTGAGGGCAACTTCAGCAGGCTTGCAGTGGCAGGTGCTTCGTCGTGCGAGCGGAGACAACGGCTCTTCAATCGAAACAATGCCACTCCACTCCGCCGCCAAATAGTTCCCCAGATAGTATGCAAAATGTAACTCTCCAGCATACGACAAAAAAAAACAAAAAAAAAAACAGTCCAGCAGCGCGAGCTTGCCAGGCTGGCAGGCAAGGCAGAAGCTAAACAAAACACCTGAGCGCATTGATGCATGACATCGCAAGCCATGGTCAAACATTTCTTGGAGCGCTTCGTGCAACGACTTAAATCGAGACAAACAAGCGCGATGTGCGGGTTCAGCGTGCAGACATTGCCTTCTTTGCATTAGCTCACTTCTCTTCACCAACTTTCTTTTGCAGCAAATTTTTCACATGCTGGGGTCCCTCTCGAAAGAAAACCTACCGTGAGAAACCCAGGTAATCAATACTTCAACACAGCAGTCTTTGAGTTAAAGAGGGATTTTTGTAGTAGAGTATGGTTTAAACAAGGACAGGAATGTCGATGAACAAGTTTAGAAAGCGCCGTACCTGCAGCGACGTGGGGACGGTAACACCCGACGTCGCGCGACCCCAAGGTGATTGTGGTCGCGTGAGTGTTTCAGCTCAAAAAGTAACTCTCGCCGCGCAAAAACATGGTTTTGTTTCACAGCATGACGAAATGGCTGCTACCCGGCACATTAGCGTCCGAGCGTCCGCAGACGCCCGCATCTATCATTGAAAACTTTTAAAAAAGACGCAAGACGAGATTACGGAGACCACATATACGGCTTGGCCGAGACGAGGAGGGCGCGAAACGCGAGACGGTGGGAAAAACCATGCAAGGGAGGGGAGGGGGGGTCCGGATGGACGATTGATGGAGTGTACTTTGTGTCGGGCGGCCGCTTGCGTCACCTAGCTCACACACGCTCAATTGCGGTTCTCATTTTAGTTTCAGTTTTGACAGACGACCGAAATTGGTCCTCTGGTGCAGGCCTGGCGCAGATTACCCATATTTTGGCAAAATGTAGCAGGATGTAGCAGGGTTAGCCCCTTGGCGCAGTTTGGCGCAGTTGGCGCAGCAATCACATCACTGCAGTAGATGCTCAGCATCCAGCGCAAGCTTTCCTGCCTCTGACAAAGCCAAAACCAAAATAAAAAAAAATAAAAAAATCTTACTCACCTCTACGACATCTGCCCCCGGCAAAATGCAACGAGTGTGTTTTCAATATATCACCGACTATAGAGGCACACCGTGCTAAACTTAATGTCACCACACCGTGGACCACGGCCAAAACCAGGGGCCGCCCCCTTTAATCACGGGCCAGTCAGGGATTATGCGGCATACTGCTCCAACATTCACCTCAGAGCAGCGCACAGACATGCCCGTCGGAGCGACGAACCACACGGTTTGGACCCAACTTGCAATTTGATGCGGCGGCCCGTAGCTCTGGCTGTGGTCTGTCGTAGGGTGGGACAGAGTATGACAGCCAATTGCGAAGATTCGTAACAGCATCCGACTCACTTGAAGGATGGCAGGAACCGCTCAATGTCCTGCCTCTCCTCTTCGGGGTGCTTGCTCAGCTGCTCCGAGAGGTTTGCCCTCATTGCTTCGTACGCATCCTTTGCTCGCCGGGCACTGCAGTTCGGAAGTGAGAGCCGGTGGTCCCTCTCGAAATGCTTGCCGGCGACCTGGACGCAGCGGAAAAGCAAAGGTCCTCCCACAATTATTTCTGCAGAGCCACCCAACTAAGGTAGAAACTTACATACAAAGCACAACACTGCAAATTCAAACAAGCAATCGCTTTTTTTTTTTTTTTTTTTTTATTTAGAATTGAATTGCTCTCATCAAATCTATTAGTGACGAAGAGGGCTTATTTCGGGCTCCAGGCTAAGGGGTGAAATTCCGTGCTCTTCAATATTCTTGTCTCATAAAGCATGAAAAAGCATCCATGTCATGTTTGTCTTAACTGTGTCACGCAGTGAACAGTTGCCAACCGACTGGGAGACAAGGTTTAGTCCACCAAGCTCACTTGAATACTAAGTCTATCGGCAAAAAACCCTTGCGCTCAGAGACCACAAGAACGGCAGACAGCCGCTCTTTTCGCTGTTGCACCTGAAAAACGTGCACCACGAGAACAACTGGAAGAACCATAAGAGTGGGCAGACGGCGGCCGTGTTGGCTATAACAGAACCGGAAAACCTGACTACAGCCTCAACCCAGCTTGTTTATTGTGCAGGACATGGTATCGAGGCTACAGGACAAAATCAAAACCCAAATTGCGGCGACTAAACTCACGGCGGCTGTTTTGTGGCTGTAAACTAAGGAAATCACGCTAATTATGTCCGAAATATCGAGCAATAAGCTCTATGGCGTCCAAAAATACAGCCAATGTTATACATTAACTCTATGGGGTGAATGACGGTTCGGTAAAAACATTAATAAACTCCATGGGGTGAATGACGGTTCGGTAAAACCGTACGAATAAACAAATGTGTCCGAAATATCGGCGTCCGAAAAATTGGTCGGCGACAGTATGTTTCTTTTTCGGGTACCTCAGGTGGAATTTCCGGTAACCTGTAACTATGAGAAACATCTTTTCAGCAGGCAATTTTCAGCTACTTTCAAGCAAAACGAGAAAGGGTTAGTCTCTGCACAAGATGGCTCACTCTAAAAAGGCGGAACAGTGTCAGAACACTGAGGTCTCTATTAGGGGCGAAACTCCTTAGGGTCTTATCTTGTCCGTCCGGCGTCTGTGCTCACATTGATCTTACTGGTGCTCGCACTCGTGAGCTCACGTGCTCCTGTAAAACAAAAATTTTTTAAAAAATTATGACAAAAAAATGTTTGTGCAGTTGACAGGATTCGAATCTGTGTGGGGAGACCCCAATGAATTTCTAGTGCATCGCCTTAACCACTCGGCCATGACTGTGGGACGAGTAGGGGGGCTCTGAGATGTGGTAGTAACTCAAGAGCTGGGGATGTCATGGATGAAATGTTGCATGTAGCCGCTCGACGTCTATACAGGAGAGAGCGCTGCGGTCAAATGCGTATATAATCGCGTTAAACTTGGCATGCATTGGCTCAACGTTTATAGGCGAGAGGGCACTCCGGTCAAATTCTCAAACGCATATATACCCACATTCCATACCACATTCTTTCTTACATGGATGAAAACGAAGGTCATCAGCACCACCAGAGCATCGCCCCAATCAACATCATTCACCACGTGGAGATGCGGTTATTTTTTTTTTTTTTTGGGGGGGGGGGGGGGGGGGGGGGGCTCGTTGATGTGCATTGGTGCATGCCTCAGCCATGCTGAAATATCGCGTTAACCGAGAAAACAGTTTACTTCAGGTAGAGACGACTGAAAGAACTTGCTCCCAGCTTCCAGCACATTAATGTTTTTTCTATATAAAGTAAATTGGGGGACTTCCATTTCAAACTAACGAAGAGCACCTGGCATGCACCAGCGGACAGCGGAGTGTTAATTGACACCCCCGTGGGTATCGACATACAACTGTAATCTCAGCTACATGGCGATTTGCATGCGTCTGCATCAGGGTGGTGACATCCAATCATTTTGTGTCGTTCTGCTTTTCTTTCCCTAGAAGCGGATAAAACAATGCCTCCCACCTTAAAGGCCGGCCCGCAAGCAGAGAGAAGGAACTTGACCCTCACTTTCCTTCTCGCCACTGGGAAAGGAGGAAATCGCCTCTCGTTTCCTCCTCGCCATTTTTGATTTTTTTGTTTTCGTTTTTTTTTGCCGACTGCCTGATTTTTTTTGGGGCAAGTTTGGGGTGGGGAAAATGAAAGCTTGAAGGATTTGAAAAGATTATCCAGAAGCCAGCCGGCACACCTGCGACAAGGAGCTGAACCAACCGAGGAGCTGTTCTGACCTTTGAGCGAGCTTGGCACTTGCTCTTCCCAACCAGTTGGATTGACTTTTTTCAGCATTGGCTTGGAGGACGATTCTCGCTGTTGTGAGAGCACAAATAACTTCTTCTGTTCAAAGAAGTAGTCATTGAAGTATGAATTTTAATATAAATATATAGTTTGGCATCTTTCGTTGTTTAGGCGAATTCATGGCGACAACGAGAAGTACGAGCGGCGTTTTTCGGTATCTCAGGGATGACGGAAGATTCCATCCGTGGTGGATCTAGCACTTTTCGGTGTAGAGCATTTTGCTGTAGAGAATTTCGGTGCGGACGTTTTGGTGCACAGACATTTCAGTGTACGGACTTTTTGCTGCAAAGACTTTTCGGTGTGGGACTTTTCGTTGCGCGGATATTTTGGTGCACGGAGATTTTGATGCCTGGACATTCGACGCTATCGTTCGCTCGCCGGTATCTCTTTTCCAACGTACGCACTACACGCTTGACATCGTGTTTGCGCGTTGAGTCGACAGAGATGGTCTCCTCTATAAGGTTTTGGCTTTATTATTGGTACTGCGTGTAGGAAAGACCCCGAACAGCAAGAAGCTTGAGAAGTTAATTGTTTGTGTACTCAGAACAATTTTGAATATCTTCAAGTGCGCCTCGGGTAATTGTATAGCTCCGATCGTTAATAATTTGTTAATAATAAATTGTTAATAACCTTACACGACGAAAAACAATGTAAGTTATCACTTGTAACTCAATAGGGAATAAAGTAGACGTGTGGCGGGTACAAAATAAGTGTAATCAAATCAAAAATCGATTTGAATCAAGTAAACACGGCGAATTTGGTCAATGCTAAATCTATTTTATTTGGTATCAAATGTTTGCTCATTCTCGTACGAAAAGAACAGTGGCTGTGGATAATCCGTGGTCAACGTCTCCTTCCGTGCCGTAATGATGTCGCCGGCTGTAAAAACCTGCCTTACAATCGTGTTTATAGAGGGTGATTTTTTTAACAACTAGACATTTTTCTAAAAAAAATGTCAAAGTTACGCAATTGCAGTTTGTGCCTTATCTGTAGCCAGTCTTGTACACGTTACTAAAAAAAAGTAATCGATTACAATTACTATTACTCTTGGCTAAAAAGTATTCGATTAGATTACTTGATTACTCGACGGCAAAAGTAATTGGACATTACTCAAAGAAGTAATTGTTACTTTTCCGATTACTTTATTGTGTGAAGACACATCTTTAGCGCTCATAACAATGAACTACTTCCAACCTATATTTCACATTTGCACAAGTATTGAAGAAAAACTGACTCCCTCTTCGTGGTCGTTGCACCTTCACAATGCGGACACAAGCATAGAATTCGTTTGAAGACGTTTAATGATTTGGCCGTTCGCCAGTGCGTGCGTGTGTGTGTGTGTGTGTGGGGGGGGGGGGGGGGGAGCGGAGGGGGTTCAAGGTTGTCGCTCAAAGTTTGCGTCGCTCATTTTATTATTCACATGTGGATGAGCTCGCATGTTATACAAAAGAGCAGCAGCTCAAGGATTAAAAACGGATTACGTGTAGTATCCATTAGCGGAAGAGATCGCCCCGACCACTTCTCAACTCGAAACATTGCTTGTCACAAAGACCACGTAGGGAAAATGGGGAAATATTTCAACTGCCTTTGTTATATTTTGCATCCGCTTTAGGCATTCTTCGGTTCTGGTTCTCCTACAGGATGCGAGTAGGTACCCTAAGCAGGATTTTTTTTTTAATTTTTTTTATTTGTGTGTGTGTTTACGTAAGGGGTCTAGTTTGAACGAAGGACTCACAAAGCTACAATCTGCTTCCTCAAACTTCGCCCTGAATGGCCTTTGCCACGCATTGTAGCTTCCCTGCGGCTTCCCACTCCTCGTCCCAGCTCGAAAAAAAAAAACAAAAAAAAAAACGGACATTCCACAGAAACTGTACATAGAAAGAGATTGACCTCGTTTCCTACAGCTCCGAAAAAATCTTTCTTTTTTTCCGTTCGAAAAAAAAAAAAGCAAATTTTATTTTTTTCATTTCATAAAAAAAAAGGCGTGTGCCCGGGCCCGGGGGGGGGGGGGGGGGGGGGGGTACCGTGGACAAATTGTAACGGTTACAAGTAATTTAATTACTTCAAAAAGTAATCAGATTACTCTTGTGATTACTGCCTAATAAAAGTAATCAACTGATTACAAAATTACTCCAAAAAGTAATCAATTACAAATAATTTGATTACTTGTAATGCGTACGGTACAAGTCTGTCTGTAGCCATCAAAAATACCCAATCATTCATTTTTAGAGAGATGTAACGCACGTGAAGTAGTTCACGGCGTCCTAAAAAAACAAATTTGGACGCGAATCGTGTTACCGCAATCTTTTCGGCCGCCGCGCTCCTCGCCCCTTCTACAGTGGCGTTGTCACAGCATGGCGCATGATTATCCCTTTGGCTTCATGGCGTTGAGCTCTGCCAGGCGGAGATGGTGACATCAAATCAGAACTATATTTTCGCGCCCATTTGAGGAGGACGCCTTATCAGGACACCGTATATTAGTGTACGCGCGTTGGTATAGTGGCTTTCGATTATGGCCAACAACTTTCTAAATACACTATGCCGTTTTCTTTCCTAATTAAAAGGTTAATTATCGAATTTTAGGCAATCAGTAAATTTTTAGTTGCGTTCTTTCTTAAACCTAATCCTTGCCTGGCCGTATAGCTCACATCCACAAAGCGCAATTGCGTTAATTTTCACGTTTTTTCCCCCTAATATCTAGTAGGTGAAAAAAGAAACAACAAAAAAAGTTGTATATAAAACAGAGCGCAGTCATTTTCTGATATAAATAAAGCGTAGGGCACGTGTTTTGCCATGCTTTTTTTTTTCGCCTATAAAAAGAAATCCCTTGACATTCCAAATTGAGTTTACGATGGGGCGGGCGCTTTATCACTGGGTATTTTGTCATGTTTTAGAAGCTTTATTACTGGTCAGAAGAAAGCCACTCGTGCCGTATCACGTTGCAAACAGCTAATTCGGGTGTTTCTCAAGGAGCTCTACAACTTTCCAATTGACATTTCGATTCATAACACATTTAAAAAGTTGGGTAATTAGTCCTATACATTTAATTTTTTAGGCATAATTAAAAATACTGCAACTCTCGCAAGATGTTTGCTAACAACATAAAGTTGGTTTCATTGGTGTAAAGTGGCTGCGCTCTAATTTCTCGTTACAGAGATTTGTAAACGTCTTTCATTTTTATGCTTGGTCTTTAAAGATTCGTGAAAAGCATTCGCGACCTTATCTGTCAAGCCGCGTCCGCGGACAGCGCGGCCTCCTCGGCAAGTTGTCCCCTCATCGAAGACGACAATGAATAAAAGGTACGATCAAAACTAAATGCCTGAATAGAGTGAAAGTTTAAAATAATTCTAAGAGTGTTATTTGATTTTATTTGTACCATATTCAAGATTCAACACTCGTCGCAGGCAGCATGAAAGGCAGCACTGCACTCTTGGCGCAAACGAGTGCCCAGTCAACGGTCCTACACTCAAACACGCATCACCACCCGACCTGTTTGAAAAATAAATAATTTCCAGTATTTTTGATGGAAAAGGCGAATGTTCTACTGAGCGTGACTTTTCGTAGACCCAAAAGTCCTCTAGCCGAGATCGGTGGTTGACAGCTTCTGAAAGACGAGGAACGACGGATTCATAATTTCCCGCGGAAGTACTGTTTTGACGTTGAATTCCACCTAAAATTGTATTTGCACAAATTATGGCACGATGCCGAACTTGCTTGATTACTTTTCTTTTAAAGTCAACATAACCAGGCATAATCTACAGATATTGCAGATTTTATTTTAATTGGCGCGAAAGACAAGTTGGGACATAAAGAACACAATACAGCTCTCCTTTCTACTGCATTTCTTTCTTTCTGTACTTGTGGGCAGTTAGCCCGCATGTATATATTCAAAAATTGCTAAATTGTTTAAGCCTCCCTCTTTTTATAGTTTGTTTCATAGATTTATTAGCAATTGTGGCGAATCCCGGCTGGGTTCAGGTACAGATCTCGCACATGTTCAAGGACACATTTCGGCATGATTTCCCGTTTGGTGATGACGTTCAGCTGGCCGCTGTTTAGCTTCTTTTCTAAGTAGGCCGGGCAACGCCAAGCGCCTAAATTAGCCAAGCAGCCCCAAAACTTGCGGTAGTACACCTTACGAACTCCTGAGTTTTTTGGAGATGGTCGCTGGCCTTTGCCCACCCTGACAGAGCCCCGAACAATTATGCAAGGGCTGCAGAGGCTATCTGGGCATTCCATTTCCCAATCTGCGAACGAATGGGAACAGAACAGAATGAAAACTTCGTTATACCTGCTATCTTTTAATAAATGGCATAATATGCTACTATTGCTAGTTGCACTATTTTACGCGAAGAAAATTGTGATTTTGCGGTTCATTCTCCGTGTTTCCCACTCTCTTTGCTGATACGCCAGGTATTTGTCTGCTGTCGACTTTTCAGTTGCATTTGTTGACAGAAACTAAATGCACGCTTGGCCACGAAGAATTTTTTTTTCAAAATCTGAAGATACATGAAATATATCATAAACCGTTTCACTTTTTATGGAAGTTTGTTTTTTACTCTTCTTATTTGCTTCAACGAGGCGGCCGTCACTCTAGAAAACACCTGTAGTACGAACCTATATATGCGCCAAGAATGGTCAGACTGTTTTCATTTGGATAGATGACTATATATTGTCAAAATGCAACTAATTTTACATGCTTCGCCCTCTTACTGCAATATTTTTGACTTGTATTTATTTACTCGCGATTATTATTTTGAACAAAAAAAAAACACACAAAATACTAATACAATCACTCTTCAGCGTGCCGTTGTTAGAACGACCAATTTTCAGCTCTCTGGGTATAAAAATACCCACCTTTTTTTTTCCTTCTGCTGTGATGTTCATGTTCCGTTCACTCGAGATAAATATGCGGTATTCTAGCGTATGTGGCTGCATGCGGAAGTGTCTGAGCATGTTTTAAAGCTGCAAAAAGAAGTAAAAAAAAAAAAAAAAAAAGGAGAAAAGCGAGTTAGCCCGAACCCTTCCGAGCTCATATCGAGCCTGCCGAACTAATCCCCGATGTTTGGGTTCGAAGCAGAGAACCTTGAAGGGTGACAGAGATTTTGTCGGGGGGCCGGTAAGCCCATTAGCACTCGTGCGAGAAGGCCGTAAAAAGCGAAGAGGAAAATGGAGGAGGAAGGGGGAGGAGGAAAAAAAGAAAAGAGGGGGAATCTTCTGCCACGCTGAAGAAAATTTTGAGTGCCCGCCTTTAAGAAAAAAAAAAATTAAAAGAAAGAGAAAGAGTGAAAGAGAGAGAAAAAAAAAACTTAATTTCAGTCAAAAATTGCTTTTTAATCCTCTGCCGAGGTCCGAGCTCTCGGCATAGAACGTGCACCAGCAGCATTTTCTTTTCTGGTGTCTTTTTTTTTTTTTTTTTTATTCTCCCTAGAATTATTTGTTGTCGACATTGGGTACCGTGTACACCGCAATCAAAAGAATGGGGTGCCTCCAGTACGGTGCCTCGAATGCTTCTCTAAATAGTGTGTTTAGCACCATATTTTGCCTATGCATCAAAAGTGGCCCCAAAGTGGCAACAAATAATTTCACAAAAGCCGGAGTGTCATACTGTCGAATGTCCCTATTCTAACAGTTAAACAAAGTTCTAGAAAGAATATGGCTGCAGAAATTATTATTGTTGACTGTCTATGAATTGCGATAGCATTCGTCTAGGACAACCTCTCCAAAGCGATCACAAGGATGTCTGAAACGACCTCTAGGGCGACCTTAAGAATGACCTCTAGGACAACATCCTAGAGGGCAACCTCTAGGACGACCTCAAGGACGACGTCAAGGTTGTCTGGTCCTAAGAAGAGGGTGCGAATGTGAAGAAGTGTGAGAATGTGAGCTGGAATGGTCTACCTCACATACCTTATGCACATTAGGAGGCCAGAAAGTCCAAAAAATCTGGGAAGGGGGGGGGGGGGGTATCGCATTAAAAAACGAGAGGCTGCGAGTGTTGTCGTCATCACAGCATCCAACCTCCTGGCTGCAGAAGCTTCAGTAAACCGTAAAGCTGGAGAGAGGCCTGCACCAGAAAGAGCATCTGCCACATCCACCACCGCCAGTGCGACGCCACCAGGATCGCGTTCGGCAACAACGTGACACCTTTACGACAACGTCAGGCAGAAATCGAGAGACCGCCTTTTAGGATGCCGTTAGTGCACCACTCAGACACTTTTCAGGCACCGCAACCGCCAGAGTGAATATAATAATCTGCAGTTAAAAGTCCCATGCATTTCGGCCACTTTGGAAAGGCGGGGCATAGACGCGGACGTCGGAGCTCCCAGTGGATGGTCCAGATAGGCCCATATCGCTGGCAACGCCTTGATATACACAAAGAAGCAGGAAGGCATCACCTGTAAGACCTCTGCCTAGTTATTTTCTACTTTACCACACAGAAAAACACTGCATCGCATATTGTATAAAAACAAAGTTGACAAGCACTCAAACCACTTCTGCTCGCAGCAGCAAAACGAACATGCCTAACGTACAACCTGCTTTGTTTCTCGGAATTTTGTCTCTTTCTCATTCTTTCTTTAAGGATCGCCGATGAGGAGCTCAAGATTTGCCATGCTCTGCTCCCGTCTTTAACCCACCCCCGATGCCCCCTCATCGAGCGAGGTGCCAAGGTGAGCCCCGCATAAAGCGAGCCCTCACCTGTGCCATGGTGAGGGGAGAGCAGAGGTGCGGGGCAGTCACCATGTCGAACACCCGGCCGTCCTCCAGCACCTTGATCCGGGGTAGGGACCTCCCGGGCAGGGCCTTGCCCTCCCTCTCCCTCCGGCAGCCCAGGCAGACGTAGTACCTCACCGGGGGCAGCCCCGGCCGGCCGTACCTGGAGCTGAAGGTGTATTCCCTCGCAGACGCCCCGCCTTCCTTCACCACCAGCAGGGGATTCCCGTTCTGGGTGTGCTTCCAGAAGAACCGCCGCACCGGAACCCCACTGCACGGTGGAAATCGCAGGGTCAGAATGGATTCAAGTGGTGCGTCGGCGGCCAAGGATATGGTGTGACCAACGCTACGGCAATAACGAAACAACTTGTCGCGTAATTGACAGAAGAAATGTCATTTACGATGTTAAAATTACGAGTTTGCACATAAAATCATCCTAAATTAGGGATATGAGGAATTGACTACATGCAGTGTTGTTGACACAGCCAACTCTGTGGCATGTTTTCTCGAGCAAGCCTGTAGCGGGGACGAGTCGTTGACCTTTTTTGGAGTGAGGAGAGTTTTAACCGATATGAAAATACAGTCGAACCCGGATATATCAAATTCAAAGGGGATCGTAAAATAGTTCGATATATCAATAATTTGATATACAAAAATATGTTAATTTAAGCTCCAGTTTAAATTTCTGCGCAGCGCCTCTGCTAATACCGAAGGCCTTACCTTACCTTACCAAATAGGGCCTCTAAAAGCTGCTTAATACAGTTGAGCTTAATTGGTGAAGATCACAAACACCACCGCATTTATGCGACGGTGTGTGCAATCGTTTACGCTTGGCCACGACCTCCACATAGTGCCGGCAACAAAACACTAAAATAAGTTAAAAAATTAAAAAATGGAAACAGCGAGCCGCATAAAAAAAAAACTCTCGATCCACAAAATAAAGTTAAGCAAGCAACAAAAAATACACCCACTAAATTCAGGCAGCAAAAAAAGAAAGGCAAAAAAAGAAAAAACGGGCAAAGCAAGAACAGCGAAAGAAAAAGGAAAACAAAGATAAGGTGTTCAAAGTGCGATAGCTCAAACTGTTCTTGTCGACACACTCTACCTGTTGAAGACTTTTTTTTTATTGTTTGGGTGCTTATTTCATTTGGGGCCAAGGAGTCGCGCAGCGACAGCGGTGTTGGGGGAAAGAGCGCACGCTGCAGTTCCAACAGCGGGCAACCCCTTCCCTCCTACGCGCGTGTGCCCTTCCCCTTGCTTTGGCCATCCTCCACTTTTTTTTTTTTTTTTTTTTTTACATTTGTTTTTTTACATTTGTTTTTTGCTGGGTATTTTTGTGTGGTATGCTGGCTTAGCAGTCTTCCAGCCCCGCCCCGCAATGCGAGCTGTGTGCTTGCCACCGGCGCAGTCCGACCGCGGGAGAAGCCACGGGCGGCAGTGGGGCCGTACTTAATTCACCATATCGAGTGTCCCCGCCATGGGAGTTCAATACAGAAAAACAACGCTCCTATGCTACTACATGTGAAAGGGGATGTTTGGACTGTTCGATATAAACAATAATTCGAAATACCCAGGTGTGATATAACCGGGCTCGACTGTACTCGCGTTGTATCGAAGGCCTAGCAATTTGAGTATGCGAGAGGTACTGATGAAGGATGGGATACACGCGTATCAGGAGGCACGAAGGCTGCTCTCAGGCTTGCTGGGAGAGAAGTGAGCTGCAATGATGAGCTTCATGTTATGCGAAGTACACAACCAACAACATCTACTCCTCTCCCCCTCCACTTCTTTGATGGGGGAAGAGAACCACCTCAAGTGAGAAAGGCCAATTGACAAATCAAGTTCAGAATGATATCGCAGGCTATTTTACGGGTCAAAAAACTTGCGAGTGGCAAAGAGTGTTTCCACAAGGACCAGCTAGCTTTATACTTTTATTGCATGTTCTTCATAGTCAAGAAGATGTTTCTACAGAACAGTCATCGCCCTTAGGGCATGAAGCCAGGACATTTTCCTAAGGCGCTTTAGCTGTCATTGTTCCAAAATGATGGAGGTCTTTTTTTTGCCCCTGCTGCGAAAACCTGCGCACACCCTGTCTACGGAGGGTTTCCACTAGAGAGCCTAGATTGAAAAAAGGGAGAAACCGAAATGATGAAGAGCATTTGCAGTTTAATGGCAAATGCCTACTGCACAAATTGGTTGCAAGTGTGCATCTGTTGCATTGTCGCAGGGCAATGCGAGGAGGAAAGAGGGTGGAGAGGCAGAGATGCTTGCAGGCGATCAATGCTTTCATCACATTCTCAGCTCGTATTGCTAACATGGCCTAGACTAGTGACCTTGATCAAACAGTTAGAAACTCTCTACAATCTAGGCAGACTGGGTTCCACCCATCACACACCCTTAGAGCTATGGAACTTAAGCAGGTAAAAGCCTACTTACAGGATAGACTTTGGTTTCCCCCCTGTTTTGCCACTGGTGGCAGACGCTTGAGGAGTGTCCACAGCTTCTTCAACTGCCTGCTCGACGCACGAAGTGGCCTCCAGGCATTCCTCCTTCACAGCCGGTTTCGCAACACACAAAGTGGCCTGCAGGCCTTCCTCCTCCTCCATGGCCGATTTCGCAGCACACGAAGTGCCTTGTAGGCCTTCCTCCTCCTCCATGGCCGGTTTTGCAGCGCACGAAGTGGCTTGCAGGCCTTCCTCGGAGGAAGGCGAGCTGAGAGGCACGCTTGGCACGGCTGCCTGCAGAATGCTCTCAGCAGCCAGAGAACTGGCCGTGCTTGGTTCCATCTCCGCGGAAGCTGGGGGAGAGTTTGCATTTGTCGCTCGTTGAAATGATGAACAGAGGACTACACGCTCTGTACGAGATCAACAACACTTAAAAGGGCACTAAAGTGTGTTTTGGGATTTTTGTTTTGTGGCCATAACTCCATCTACGAGCACTAAGCACCTCAAAAAAAAAAAAAAAAAAGAAATTACATTCGATTTGCCAATTTGCACATTAAAAATGTGATAGAAGTCCCCACAGCTACCGTTGGCGCTCAACGACAGATAATGCTACCAAACCTTGCTAAATATGGTAGAATGACGAATGGCGCTTGTCAGCCACTCGCGAGTGATGTGTTCCTGCGTAGACGAGCGGCCAACCGGTCCCGCTCTTCCACACCCATCACTCGAGAGCGGCTGACAAGCGCCGTCCGTCGTTCGACCATATTAAGCAAGTTCAGGTAGCACCATCTGTCATTCTGCTCCATCGGTAAGTGTCAGGACTTTCTATCACTTTTTTAATATGCAGCGAATCGGCCATGCATGAATGTAATTTCGGGTTTCTTAGGGTGCTTAGAGCTTGTAGATTTGAGTCATGACCATAAAAAGAGGATCTCAAAACGCACTTTAGTGCCCCTTTAACACTGCTCACAAGGCATTTACGCATGCCTCGATTTGACTGGGACATGACCTGCAAGAGCTAAGCAACTCAAGGAAGGTTTGATATTTTTCTTTCAGCAAGGATACAACTGGCCAAGAACAGACTGGTCTGGGTTTCCCTCAATTTTGTTTTCTGAATGTTTTGTTTTCTGAATGTTTGAGAAGTAATAGTAGGCTGAAACATAATTTCTAAGAACAGTAAAACACCTAGTTTGCAATTAAGAACTCTAAATCTAAATTTAATAACCAGAATTCAGACGTTTCGGGACCAGATTGGTGTTAACTAAAACACCCAAAACATGCCAATGTTTTGGGTGTTTAGGTCGAAAAGTAGAGTTTATATTTCAGACATTAGCGCCCTCTCACGGCGCAAATCAGAAATGGAAATGAACCTTCAGTACATTGTTCAGACACCCTTCTCTTCTTCCCTGGAAGGCCTATCACATATTCTTTGCTAACCAGTCTTTGTCAGCATGATCAACCTTGTATAAATTTTTTGCAATGCTTTTTCATGACTTTAAGCTCCCGACATTGCCTGGAATTTTAGACGATGTTGGCGATCAACTGGCCAGCACGGTTGACGAGCAATCTCTCTATTTCTTCTTAAAGGGGCCCTGCAATGATATTTAAGCGTCCACCTTTTTTGCGGTTTCCACGTCTCTTGGGGTTCGGGACAGCCAGAAGGCACGGAAAGAGTAACTAATTATCAGTGCGTCATATTTTAACCGTACGACGCGGAAACCTCCTCCACCGACGAGGGCGACCCGTGGTACTGAAAGCGCGCAAAATGTGACGTCTTTGGTCCTGGGCTTACTACTGGTCAGAGCCGCTCAAAGCTTCTTTTTAGTCGAAATACAAAATATAAGTAAAGCGAACCGTTTCAATTATGTATAAAAGTAGTTTTTGTTCAGTATTTTAGATCAAAAAAGAAACGAACGCAGTTTAGAAAGTACGGAAACAAGAAATGACCCACCGATATACCCGCCACCAAGCGGTGGAAAAAGCGGCGCATACTAGAAAGGAATAGTGGGATCAGGCGCCGACACGGAAAGGTCCCGGATGTACGCGGCGGCGCTGCAGTCATATACCGGCTTGAGGATCCGACCGGTTCCGAGCGTTCCCAAGGCTCTCGGCACGGGCTTGGCTGGCGATTTAGCCTTTTGGCAGTATGGCAGCGCGAAGTGGCTCCCGTTCTGAACTGATCTTTACCCCGTGTTTGCTGTCGTTTGTGGCCAATGAAGTGTCATGCCGAATTAGTATTTAATCGCGCAGCAAATGCAATGAGAGCCGCTCTGGCTGCCCGCTGCATACAGCCTATCCAGAACACGCTTCAATGGCGCCCTCTCGCGCTGTCGACTCGGAGTGCGGCAACCGTGAGAGCTCAATGAGCTCACTACTTCTCCTCTAGTTCACGGCCACTCTCAAGCAAACAAGGACGTCATGAGGAAGGTTGTTTTTTGCTTGTTTTTGTAATTTTAGTTTGCCTATAACTTTTAAAATAAAGGCAATTTCAAGAAAAGAAAAGTTTCACTAAGCTACTACGTTCAGTGCGCTCAGGCTCAGTGCAAATTAAAAATTAGTAAAAAAGTCATTGCAGGGCCCCTTTAAGTGAAAGCACAGCCAACGCTACGAGCCAATGAGATCAAACAAACAGCGCCAAAGCGCGACATCATGTAATTCATCATATTCCTGTACATACTCGTTCACTGGCCTAACCAATCAAGTGCAGTGAACGTCTTGTTGTACTTTTGTTTTGTGTGTTCATGGTTGTAGTGTCCGAGCCTTCGACCGTGCTCTCACCCAACGTGAAACAAACTATACGGTGACTAGAGATGCTGTGAAATGCATATTGCACCATACTCCTTTCCTCCTACTTCTCTAAATATTAATGTCACCTAATAATACAATTTTTATATTGTTATCTGTTTAAGCCTATCTCGGCACAGGTGTGGCATAATTCTTAGCAAAGATGGCGTTTTGGCATAAGATGTAGCAGACTATAATTCATGATGCATTTTGACACAAATGATGCAGCACTTCAATCACAGTTTAATGTTTACAATTGTTCGATTCAGCGTCTCGTGTCATGCCTGTCATGTGACTAATGGTTGATCTGTATGTGCCAGTCAGTCTGCTTCTTCATCGCTGTTGCTCCTACAGAATAAATATAAAAACCAAGTTTTCATTATTGTTCTGGCTCTTTGAGGGCTTCAATAAGGTTTCGGCTCACCAGAGTAGAACTGCCTGAAACCAGTTTTTCGAGAAACAATCTTCACTACGTCAATATCTGCAGACTACCGGTACCTTAGATGCAAGTATGAATGCTACAATTTTACTTCCAACTTTGCTTCGATATATTCATATCATGACCATATACGTCTTTACTATGAACAAATTTAAGCCTATTGGCAAACCTAGTCGGTCATATTTTGCTCACAGAACCTTCCATGTCACCTCCAATTCGAAGCGGACACAGTAAAATTATCACGTAATTAGCTTCGCTGACCACCGATGTACCTCAATCCCAACCGTTTCGGAAGAAGGCTCACTGCACATTCGTCACTCAGCAGCATGCACCAAATGGAATGGAAGGTAGATGCACCGTCACACCTGGTCTCAAACTTCTTGAGTGACTCACAAGGTAGTCCTAGCATGCGCCAAGAAGTCCCTCAAACTGTTTTCGTGGATGCGCTTGTGTTCAGGAAGCTGCCGAAGCGTTGCAGAAGTGAATCTCCCTCACCTTGCTCGGATTGCATTGCCGCAGAGAATCGCAGGCCTCGGACGCCTCCGGGACGGATCTTGCGGTAGTAGAGTGCCTTGACGCTCCTAAAAGCAGACAGACAGGACCGCAACAAAAGTTTTACTTCCATTTCCGAGCAAAACCCCGAAACAGGCTTTTTACGGAACCGACCCGCAGCTCGGAACTCACTTGTACGACGGCAGCCGCCTCTGAATGTCTTCCCTCTCCTCAACCGGACACAAGCTGAGCTCCTTCTTGAAGTTGTTCTGGACCACCTCATACACTTCCTTGGGACACAGGGCAGAGCAGTTGAGCAGCGACAGACGCTGGTCCCTTTCATAGTGCTTTCCAGTCACCTAGGAAAACAACAGAGTTCGGCATCCCTTTACCTAAATTCACGTCTCCACGTCTAGCGATATGCAAAGCACACTGGCAAAGATGCCTACAACTTGACAAGGCTTACTGCAGTGCAAATACCATACAAGTATGACTCAGTTTTCTCGGTGTTCACCTAGAAATGCTGAAAAGTGACTGCCAAATTATTCTGTCTAAATTGCATTGAAATGGTGAGCGTCGGAAGCCTTACACAACATTTTAAAAACTTGCATTTCCGACTTTATTTAAGGAGCGCGCAATGTGCTGTGCTGGTCCGACAAAAAAAGACTATAGTTTTTTGTGCTGAGACCAAAGGGACCACTACTTTAATGAAAAGCATGAATGTCTGAGTCAATAATGCGCAGACTCCCCCTCACCTGCGATGAGGTCAGGGGCTTGCAGAGATGCAGTGCATTGCGCATGTCGTACACCTCCCCGCTGCCGAGCACCTTCATCCTGGGCAGCTCCGTGCTGCGCAGGTGTCGCTTCTCCTTTTTTTTACGGCAGGCCAAGCACACGTAGTACTTGATCACGGACGCATTGGGACGCGTGTAGCTGCCGCTGAAGGAGTACTCCCTCGCCTGGGAGTCACGCTCTCTCACGACCAGGAGCGGGTTGCCCCTGCGCGTCTGCCTCCACGAGTAGTTCTCCACCAGCACCACCCCCGCACTGCGCAGCGAGGGAAGAGACATGGTGCAACGACCGGGTCAAAGCGAACGTGGCACTCCCAGTACCGCGGCGCATCTGAAAGACACACTATAACGGGAAAATAATTGTTTTCCAAGAACATGTATTTTTTTTTTTTTAATTTCCCACGAAAAATCATTGCCGACTTGGAAGGCAAAACTCGGTGTCGCGCGCTATGGCCGGCTGGTCGTTTGCACGTTTAAAAACAGTAATAATTAAAGTAGGTAGAGACTTTTAATTTTGTGTGCCGTGAAAGAAGTGCATGTAATTTTTCGTTAGCAATATTTATGCCGCTAAACATAATCTAGGTGCAGGATGTTGAGGTCGCAGCTCGATAAGTCAAAATTAACTGTTGGGCTAGTTGGCTATACACTGTTAAAAATCAAAAGCGCAGACACCAAGAAAAAGAAGAGGGGGACAGGACAGAGCACTTACTCCAACTGAGTGTTTAATGCGTTCCCCGAGAAAGACATAAAAGAAGAATTAGGCATGTGAAGATAGAAAGAGGAGGAAGATTAATGTTACAGATTATAGATGCATTAAAGAAATTAAAATTTAATGTGTCTTCACCCCTTCACACTAGCAAAAAAAAGAAAGAGTGAGATTTTTTTTTGATTGAGCTCATTTTTTTGGCTAGTGTAAAGAGGTGAAGTCACATTTGATTTGAATTTTTTAATGCATCTATAATCTATTACATTAATTTTTCTCCTCTTTCCACCTTCACATGGCGTTTTTTTTTTCTTTTATGTCTTCCTCAAGGTATGCATTGAAGGGTAACTGCAAAGAAAAAAGATTTTTTTTTTAAACAGCCTAATTTGGACGAGCATGTCAAAAAAAAAAAATTTCCACGGAAAACATTTTTTTTACTATATTTATTGTGCAAGACTGATTTTAGTTTGCGGCTATTTTTTCCGTTTTAAATCGCGCGCCACAAAGCTGGTGTTCCATGACGTTTAGCAACCATTGGCTGCTATACTTCTCATTGGCCAAGAGTTTGACTGATAGCTTAGATCTTGGTTGTTAAACCTTTCTTATATGTTGTAATTTCCTGTTGAGCGGCATATTTTTACGTCGAAAGAATAACCCATGTGATGAGTTATTATTGTTTACAAAAGATTTACAAGAAGGGCACTTCCGTTTGGATTCATAGCATAACAAACAAAAGCTTCGCCATTCCTTCATGGCCACCGAAATCTCTGCTCCCGCCTGTCTCGCCTACCTCGACTAGTCGTTTCGCCGAAGTTATCAGTGTTTCGTGTTGACCCAGGTGCTTGAGTGAGACTTCCTGAAGTGAAATAGTGTGTGCTTAGCAGCTGTCGCAGGTGTTAGTGATAGGAAGCGACGCGGGGTTTTGGCTTTCATAGCACGGTTTGTTACTTTCGCTTTCCTCCTTGCTTTCTTAGCGTGCTTTTCTTTTTATTTGCTTGCGCGTGCAAATGTTTATTTTTTTGAAAATGTCAGCTCCTGTAAAGCGGCGCCGTTGCTCTGTGAACTGCTGCAGATGAGTGATCGCGAGAGCGAGCTTTCCAGCAGCCATGTCGCCTCGAAAGGAATGCTATTTGGCTGGAGGCAATCAGGCGTTCGCGTAGCGACAAACGTGTCCAGGTATGTTCTCGTCATTTCACTTTGGAAGCCTTCGAGATTCACACCAGGTGCACCGAAGGTCCGCAATTGAGACACAGCTGTTACGTAAAAAAACCTGGCACAGCCAGGTTATTACGCAACAGCTGTCCGCAGAAGCCTTCGGACGTCCGAATTCTGCTGTTAGCCGACAGACTTTTTTTCTCGGCTTCCGAACCATCTTACATAAAGTTGTTTAAACTAATGTGCACTGTTACCGTAAATCTAGGCTGGTGATTGCGGCTTTGTAGATTATCTTATTCGTTTTGCTGGAGACGCAAACAACGGGCATAACAAAATCTGTTGCATATTCCGCATACCTTGCAAAAGCACTTCCCCAGTCGCCTTGCGAAAAGTGCGAAACAAGGAGTTCGCACCGTCCCGACTTCCCAGTCTTTTACCTGCTTTAGAGGAGTTTGTACCTGCTAGTAGGCATGCCTACTAAAACTGCAACTTGAAACTAGGGGCCGAGCCAGAGAGCAAAGAGACAAAGTTGAGAAAGCTTGCTCGCCTTCCCCAATTTCTGAACTCTCAAGTGATTGTAACGCAATAAATGCACCAACGCCTCTTCCCAAAATAAAAAAAAAAGCACTATGTTCACTACGTAAAAAATGGTCTCAGTTCATGCATCTGTGGGCAGGTAGGAAATCTTGCCCAAATTTATTCATACCGCATGATGAGCGCAACAAACTCGCACGAGATTCCTAGGAAATATCGGTGGTGACTTATGTTTCCCTGAAATTCAGTATAACCGGTCGTTTGCAGGACCAAATCATCTACTCGAGCGGTGTGCGTCATTGTGCGAACGTAGTCCAACAACACAAAGCATAAAAACGGCAGATCTAGGACAACAATTCAGAGTCCATTGTTCAATTAAAACGACGTAATTTTGTTGAAAACGCCCGCAGCTTTTTACTCATGGTATGCGTCGGGGAATCTTCCACATTTTGAGACGGAATGAAGGAAGATTTACTTTTAAAAACACTCGCTGCGTCCTGCCAGACAAGCTTGACTGAATCAGCTGACGACGACTGGACTGAACCCATTGAACCTCAACCACACGACAATCAATTTGAGCTCCATGTTAGTGTGGGTGTCTACTTCCAAGCACCGCACCACACACACCATGAACGTTTCAGTTCTTTGTCTGATTGCCGTGTTGCACCAAACAGAACAAGACCGCCGAAGTCAACGCAGCGCTGTCGTGAACGTTGGCTTGTGGTTGCGCACTGGTGGACCCTGTGACTCCCTTCGCTTTCAAAGCACACACAATAATTACGAATGATACTTTCAGTCTTCCAGGAACATCACAGGGGCACTTCTCCAGTCACGTCTTCGCTACATGTGCTCGCAAACCGCAGAGCTTCTCGACTCCTGTCAAACCAAAACAATACCGGCGCCATGTTTAACGTGCGTTGTTGCCAGATCTTACCGGAAGTCAAGACGCTGCGTCGTTCAACTCTGCAGCCAAGTCAACCCAAGAGTGAAGGGCGGGGCGTACTTCTCCGTGTGGGTCGAAAGAGCGGGAGTTTCAAATGTGGAGAGGTTTTGGCTCTGACTAAATTACGTCCTGTAACGTAAACATTGCTAAAAAAAAAGTTTTGCGGAACATTTGTTTTGTGACATGCTTGTCCCAATAAGGCTGTTTAAAAAAACACTTTTTTCTTTGAAGTTACCCTTTAAAGGGATACTGAACCAAGGAATTTAGTGTCCATAATAAGTGGCGCACATTCTTTCCACGAGCCAGCAGCCGCCGGAGTGCGCGAGCACACGCAACAAAAATGACGTCAAAGACCTCCATTCCCGGTTAAGAGGACAGTGAAATGTATGGGCTTCGGGCCAAAGGAGAATAAAGACAAGTTTTTTTATCTACACAGTGGTGTCTGGCACTAAAGGTAAGCGATTAATTGGTCTAACAAGCATGTAGCTTTCACTTGTAGAGATGAAAAGCCTGTCTTCATTCTCCTTTGGCCCGAAGCCCATGCATTTTACTGCCCTCTGAAGCGCGAATGAAGGCCTTTGACGTCATTTTCGTTATGTGTGCTCACGCACACCGGCGGCTGCGGGCTCGTGGAAAGAATGTGCGCCACTTATTATGGACACTAAATTCTTTGGTTCAGTATCCCATTAAACACTCAGTTCATGTAAGCACTCTGTCCTGTCCCCTGTTCTTTTCCTTGGTGTTTGCACTTTTGATTTTTAAGAGCTTGGTAAGCCCTGCCTTGTGATTACAAGGTGCTTACATCTCTCAGTGGCTGGAAAGATGATTGACATGTAAAAGGTTGGTAGTAAATTTGTATCTCTGTGTCATAATAGTATTTTGATCAATCTTTTTTTTGTTTTGTTTCAGAAGCAACTATTTAAGATAAGAGTCATTCTTGTTTTCAACATTGCTTCTCCCGCTTTGGTTTGAGACATTAACAAACATGGATGCCGGCGTCTGCGGAATACTGAACGAGCTTGGCTCATTGAGCTTGTCAATTTTTATGAGTGCAGGCTGTTTTGAGTTCACAGAGGTGTTTACTTGAAGATCTCATCAGCAGACATACTTCGCAAGCAAACAACTGTCCGTAGCTCAGAATTCAGACGTTACGGCTGCAATGTCCGGAAAGCATCTCCGACCGGTGCGTTTGACACGTCTTTATTCCGCCCCCTTGGTTTCTGCCTGGCGAGATCGTCCCACCAGGCGGAAAAACTGCGGAGTGCCACGACCTTGGCAGCATCGCGGCAGTGGAGAGGGGTATGAATGCAGACGTGTTCTACCGCAGTTTGCTTTGTAGTCGACGAGACTACATAAACCGTGGCAGCCACGAACTGACTTACTCGGGTGCGACTGCGGACGGCTTGCTGCCCAGCCGGTAGGTCCTGGCCTTGCTTCCACGGGTGCAGGTTGCCGGCCCACCTTCGCCCGCCTCCGTGCATCCAGCCGGGTCGGGTCGGTGCGACATCTTACGGAAGCCACCGGGCTGAAAGGCCACGTGCAAAAAGGTCACTCGTTTCATCGTCGAGAGCACCGACAGATGAAATGACCATCACCTAACTGGAAAAAGAAGAATAAACACCATCCACCTTGGCGTCCTTTTGTATTGCAATACACCGTTGAGGCTAACGTAGATTCCGCAGTGCTCCGAAGCGGTCAAAGCTTCGCGTGCGAGTGACGGCTTCGTTTGGCACTTCCTTTGTATAAAAGCATGAGCAAATGAGACGCAAGACGAAGCCACGTGCTTTCGCAGCAGCAGTTAAAAAAAAAATGAAGTGAGTTCATAATAAGCGAATGGGTGAAAGCCAGATTTCTATTTGCCTATGACCTGTTGTGTGCCACCGCCGCACAAGGACCTACTGGTTGTTCTGGGCCATTATGCAAATAAAGTATTATTATCATTATGCTATTATATTTGCAATCTTAATAACAACTAATTCAAGCTACATAAAATAAAATCAACCCACACACGAGGGCAGCATCGTGCAAAACTGCCTCGATTTTGCACCGAAGCCCTTCATCAGCTTACGCATGCATTACCTAATAAATGTCTACTAAATAAGCACTAGAAGGCTGTCGTGACAAACAGGTGCATACTGCAGCTTTACCAGTTTGCGATCACATCAAAAACATTTCCGAAGGTACACGAGGGTACTTGCGAGGGGGGGGGCAGCCAGCTCTTACTCGAGAGGTGTGAAATGAGTGTCGATGCCATCTAAATGAGGACAGACCGTAAAATATTTGTGTTCACTTTTTTTTTCATATCTATCAAATGTTGTACGCAGAATTTGACAAAAAAAAAACGCAGCAACGATCGAGTTTAATATCCTTCTTTCTGGCACAGGACACCACGATTTTTTCAAAACGTTGCCTCATTACTGGATTTTCTTCCTTGCCTTTCCTGTCTTGAAATGACAGGACTAAAGTCGCTGGATCCTGGGGAGAGTAGCGTCCTTGCCCTCCCTGCCTGCTAGCCAAACAGATACTCACAAAAATACAAACAATCAAACTTCACAAAGGTGACGGGCCAATCGGTTGCTATCTGTACGTAGCCGCTGGATTCCAGTGCCCGCTCTGCTAGGAACCAGAGGAGTGTTTCAGGGGTGAAGGTCCCGAGGGTCTAGCCTTGTCCGTTTGGCGTCCGTGCTCACATCGATCTTGCTCGTGCTCGTGAGTTCACGTGCTCGTGTAAAACAAAAAAAAAAAAATGATGAAAAAAAAAAAAATGTTTGCGCAGTCGACAGGATTTGAACCTGTGCGGGGAGACCCCAATGGATTTCTAGTCCATTGCCTTAACCACCCAGCCACGACTGCGGGACGAGTAGGGGGCTCTGAGATGTCGTAGTAACTCAAGAGCTGGGGATGTCATGGATGAAACGTTGCATGTAGCCGCTCAACGTCTACACAGGAGAGGGCACTGCAATCAAGTGCATATATAATCGCGGTAAACTTTGCATGCATTGGCTCAACATTTATAGACGAGAGGGCGCTGCGGTCAAATGCTCAAATGCGTATATAACCACGCTCTATACCACACATTTTCTTTCAGACATGGATGAAAACAAACGAAAGACTCGGCATGCTGCGGTTCAGCGACAAGCACCACCAGAGCTTCGCCCCAATCAACATCATACACCACGTGGAGATGCGGTCATTTTTTATCAAGGCTGTGTCTACGGTGCCATCCGACGGCACTCCAATTGCGCCTATAAGTGCCGTCCAGTCGGATGGCGCGTGTATCACTGGGCGTTGCACTGGGGAGCTCGTTAACATACATACACCCCCCCCCCGCCTGCGGTCACGCCGCTTCGCAGCGACAGTATGCAGCTGCTAATTACAAAACTATTGACCCATTAGGCCCCACCGTACACGCCGCAAAGCGGCGTGTACGACGGGGCCTAATGGGTTGGTTTGCCAGCCGGCAAACCAAGCCGCGCTATACCACATGCACCTCCGGAAACGAAGTCCCATACCATTTCGTTCAGATATATTTCGGCGACACCATTCATTGTTTTCCTGTGTTAATCGTAAAAAAATTAATGTAAATATCACCAAATGCGTCGGCAAAATAAAATGTTTGAGAAAACAAAAACAAAAAAGTAAGCCTGCGCCGGGAATCGAACCTAGGATCACTTGCTTATGAGAGACATCTTGCCACAATGCTGCACTCCGCTTCAAAAAAACTCGTTTTGAGACTTTCGGACGGCACTTGAACGCTCTGCATAAGTGCCGTCAGACGGTACTCCAGACACTACGTTGTATCAAAGCAAGCGGCTGAGCACAGAGCACAGTCACGGTGCGCAACACACGCAGGTGAAACCTGCATTGGCTTAGAGCGTCTTTTCAAAGGCGCGAGCAAAACTGTTTACCTAAAACAAAACATGGCTGCTCCCGCACGGCTCCGCTTTGTTGTTGCCTTTTTGCTATTTTTATGCCTGCGAGCCCTGTTTATCGCTGAAGCTCCGCTGGATAAATGTTCCGGGCACCCGTGGGATCTGGACCGTCGACTCCCCAGCGGGGGGATCTCCACCAGTACCGCCGCCAACCTAGTGCACTGCTCGGTTGCCATTAGGCCTAAAAGCCTGCCACTGCCGTCCGCCCGCCCGCAAGTCGCCTGGCTGCTACTCATTGCCGGAGACGTCTCGCTCAACCCTGGACCGCGGAACCCTGGACCACGCCCCATCTGCCCCCGATGCTGTAAGCCTGTTTACGACAATGCGGCCGCATTACAATGCGACCGATGTGACGCTTGGCTGCATAGGAAGTGCGAACGCCTCGCATTGTCCACGTATCGGCGCTTGTCAAACTGTGTTGAGCCCTGGTACTGCGGCATGTGCCAGCTGCCTTCATTTGCCAGCCTCTTCGAGGCATCGTCGACCACCTCCCGTGACATCCCTACTGCCTTCGACCAAGTGCTCACTTCGCAAGCCGGCCGTGTCAGCACCTCTCGCGGTATGGTTCTCAAATGTTCGCTCTGTGAAGAACAAGCTGCGAGACCTACATACACTCCTGGCAACTTCGCCAGCCACCGTTGTGGCACTATGTGAAACGTGGCTGGATGACTCCATCTACGACAGTCAACTTGCCGACCCCAACCGCTTCGCCGTCTACCGGAAAGATCGCTCACATCGTGGTGGAGGCGTGATGATCGTAGTGCCACGCCAACTTGTGAGCCGCAGACACACCGACCTGGAACGCCCTGACCTGGAGGCTGTGTTTGTAGAGATTGTACACAAGCAGGGAAAAATGCTGCCAGGCTCTGTGTATTGCCCACCTAGCAAGCAAGCAGAAAGCTATGGGCTACTTAATCAGTCTCTTCAGTCTCTCGACCCCAAGGCGTACTCGAACATTTGCATTTCTGGTGACTTCAATGCTCACATTGACTACTCCGACCCATACTTGGGTAGTAATTCAATTACAGTAATTAAATTACTGTAATTTAATTACTCTTCCTGGTAATTTGTAATTGTAATAATTACTTTTAGCCTAAAGAAATTGTAATTGTAATTTAATTACTTTCTAACGTCAGTAATTGCTAAATTTCAGGCACAATTACAATTACTTTTGGAAGATTTTGTGGCGGCGGCGCTTTTCCCCCCTGGCCACGGAGACGACAGCACAGCCAAAGCGACAGGGGACAGAGAGTCTCCCAACCTGCTAAAAAAAATGGAAAAGAGGGATGGGAAAAAAAGGCTGGGATAGAACGGAATGAAGGATTTTGTAGACTGTAAAACGATTTAATGAAAAATTTGAAAGATAATTTGATAAATGAGGGCTACATTCGCGTCCGTTTTCGTTCCTGTCGTAGTTGAATCTGACTCTTCGTCTCGTTTGCTTCCTATTGCTCCCGCTTCTAGGGGTCTTTCTTATTTCTCATTCCCACAGGGGGCATCGGAGGTCGAAGTCGAGCTGGTTGGCTCCGATCACATCATCCGGTCGAGGCGGGGAAATTCGAGGTTCTCCTTACGCGTCTTCGCCGCTAGCATATTCGCTTACATATTTCAGTCAAGTTTGGAACTTTTTTGTTCATGAAATTATTCTCTTTTCTTTATGAGCTTTTCACGTCCTTCTCCTCTATCTCGTATGTTGATACCACTAACAGTAAGTCGTGCTACTCTAACATCGAGGCGAAGAAGCAAAGAAGCAGCAGGTCTCATTAACACGACTCACCCTGCCTTACTTCCAACTGTTGTTGCTACACTGCTCTTCCTTCTCCCAATCCTCGTCTACCTTTTTGTATAAATCTTCATTATTTAGTGTTCGCTCTACCTAACCCTTTCAACCGTTTGTTAGCCTGATTGGACGAGATTCCAAAACTTACAAACCGCGGCTTTAGCTGTAGGGAGCTTGTTTTTGCATTTGTTGTTCGTTGAAGGCTTCTTTTTTTATAGAGGGCTTGGCTTGCACATTGTTTTTACACCTCTATCGTGACCCTCCACGCGTTGTCCTCTCGTCTTGGCCTGTGGAACCGTCCCGAGGCGCGCAGTGCTGCATTGCATTGAGAAGCTGCAACAGTCTTATCTACAATGGAAAAGGAAAGGCTGCCGGGGCCTTGTTGCAAAAAATTCTCTAAACAGATTAGCACCAATGTAAAAAACTATAATCGTGAGGAGCAAACTCTCCGGACCGTTTCTGAAAACAAATTCAATAAACCGAAAGGCGACCTCCAATTTGCGGAAACACTTGCAGGTAGGCAACTTTCTTGTTACTTTGAATAATACTTACAGTTATAAAAAAAATAATAATAATGGCTCGTCTATATCTTCCAGCTGAAACGCGCTCAAGTAAATCGTGAAATCGAGGCGTCCAAGAGGCCGCAGTTTTGGAATAATTCGCGGATTCTAATTTTCGCGACGCGGTGCGGTCGCGATATAGATTCCAATGTGTTTACATTTTTTTTTTCGCGAATTATAGGAGATTCGCGAAATTCGCGAAAATAAAGTCGTTTGCAGTGTATCATGAATTTTTGGAGGTTGTTCTTGCCATGCTAAATTCAAATCGGTCTTCTTTATGAGACGCATAACATCGATACAATCATTGCTATCCTAATGATTAGCTACATGACAATCCTAAATTTATTATTTATCTCAGGAGCTTTTTGGGTGTTACCGTGCACTGAATTAACCCAGAATCCCTGGCAATGGAGTTGCTGCTATTGTGACACTAGTTTTGTGGAAGCGACCACAGTTCGTGTGCTACGGTTACCCACATCCGGCATGTTGCAAGTCCACAGACAGGGATAGGCAGCGAATCATCGTGGCTGAAAAGTTTTCGTAAGTTGTCGTATCCTTTAAATGTTTGACATCGTTTACAAGTTTCTCTTATTAGTCATTTTTACGTGGGTTTTATGATACCAGTACTGTCGCATATTTGTTTCCTTATATTATTTTTAAGTTTATTTTTTCTTGGTTTGACTTGGATACCATTTGCATAAGTTCTAAGGAGATTAACCTCGCACCTGTGAATTTTGTCGCCATTTTTTATGTTTTGAGAATATATGAACGCAGGAGTTCCTTACTCCAAACTATTAAGTTCTATAATCCATTTAACAAATTTCATGAAAGGAAAGTACAATGCGTGACATTTATACAGCGGCCATATAACTCGTTTACAGTTATATGGCCCAATGTGGGGGGTAACTCTCAGAAATAAGTAATTGTAAAGTAATTGCATTACTTTCAAAAAGTAATTTGTAATTGCAATGAACTACTTTTGCGTAGTAGTAATTGTAATTGTAGTTAAACTATTTTTGGAGCTAAGTAATTGTAATTGTAATTAAATTACATTTTGAGAGTAATTTACCCATGTATGCTCCGACCTCACCTCCCCCATCCCCTCGAACCAAACCAATGACCTCCTGCTTGAAATCATGGAGACTTCTGGGTATACCCAGGTGTGCAGTGAGCCTTCATATACCTCTGCGGCAAAGGAGTCCTTCCTCGACTTGGCTTTTGTCAGCAACATGGCACTCACTTCAGAATGTTGTTTGGAGCCCAGCCTTGCTGGTTCAGACCATAGTGCCATTCTCCTCAAGACTGTGTTCTCTGTGCCTAAGTTCGGTCGTTATGCCAGGGAAGTCCAAAATTTCTCTGCGACTGACACGACACATCTGAACAGACTTGGTCACCTTGACCCCTGGTCCATGGTCCCTGACGAGCCCTCGCGAGACATTGGGTATGAAACTTGGTTGGACTTTATGGACGCCATTCAGCGTGACTGTGTTCCTGTGAGATCTGTCTCTGGCTGCAGTAGGTCTCCCTGGATCACTAAGGAAATTATCAGATTCTCCCATCGCAAGAAGCGACTGTTTCGGAAGGCCAAGGTGCAGCGCCGCCCTGAGATCCTTGCCCTCGCTATAGTCGGTTGCAAGCTAAGAACAATCTTTTAGCTCCACCCACAAGCGCATTGCGCCCATCTGAAGTGCCTCCACCGTCGAGAAAGTAGTTCGCTAGCAACGTTGCTTTTCCTTCCTCCAGGAAACGTGTCTTAAACTACTACAATATTTATTTAATTCATTGAGGACATTTAAATAAGTTAGAATACGTTTTTGTCAACGAAATAGCTGTTTAGTAAAGAAAGAAAGTCATGTACAATGCACCGTCTTCCCAATTCATTTTCTGTCCAAGATACTGTCTAACATACCGTCTTCCAGCTCTCAGCAGTGCTAAGCCTTGCGCCCGCTTCGAAATTTTCGTTGGCGATATCGTCGCTGGATTCTCACGTTGTCGCACAAAAACTGCTGCAAACGCAAACCGTTAAGATTTCGTGGCGTAACCTCGGGCACGTAAAACACGGTGCAAAAAAGCAGAATAATTGTCACGAGAAACTAGCGTCGCGTTGCTAAGGCCAGCAGCCATGTTGAGCTTTTTTTTTTTTTTTTTTCAAAAGGATTGCGATTGGTCCACGGAATCGTGACGTCATTAAAACGATTGGCTGGCGTTTCTCGGCGTAGGATTACATTTTCCTCTGAGAGGCATTTCCGATTTTTTCTTAGCTTGCAACCGACTATAGACAAGCTCAAAAAGAATTGAAAAAACTCGTCCACCTCTCACACCGACAGTATGTGCAGAGAATTGCCGAAAAGGCTGCCCGCTCCCCCCAAACTGTTCTGGGCCTACATTAACAGCCAAAGAAAATCGTCCGCCATGCCCGAATTCACTTGTGACGGCAACATTTTACAAAGCCCATATGACATTGCTGAGCTTTTCAACGATCATTTTTCCTCTGCGTGGACACTGCCACAGGACTGCTTAAAGTATGCAACGTTCAACACAGTTCCTGGATCTCCTTCCTTTACCACACCTACCATCAGGGAAGACGACACCATGAGGGAATTACTTCGGATCAAGCCCACACAGTGCGCTGGGCCTGATGGACTTCACCCGGCGCTCCTTAGTGCCTGCTCCACCTCGATTTGTCCTGTCCTTACTAGAATGTTCGGAAGCCTTCTTTCTAGCAGCTCCGTCCCACGACAATGGAAGACGGCACACGTCACTCCAATTCACAAGGGCAGCGGTGTACCACTCTCTACTGTGTCCTCTTATCGACCAATATCTTCCACATCCATAATCTGCCGCACAATGAAGCGTATTCTCAATGCCAAAATCCTTGACTATCTGGAGTCCGAAGCACTACTATCACCACACCAATTCGGCTTTCGTAAGAACCGCAGTTCTGAACTCGCTCTCGCCACCGCTGTCAACACACTCAGCAATAGCTTGGATGGCAGAATCCCCTGCGAAGTTGTCCAGATAGATTTCAAACAGGCTTTCGACAAGGTAGACTATAGCCTACTCCTTCAGAAAATCCGACGCCTAGGATTTAAAGGAAGCTGTTTTGACTGGATGTCAAACTTTCTGAGTGGTCGTCGCCAACGGGTTGTCTATCACAGAGCTTCCTCCACCTGGTCTGATGTACTCTCGGGCATACCACAGGGCAGTGTTTTGGGACAAACCTTTTTCAACATCTGTATAAATGACATCACCGTCAACCTGGTCTCCAAACCCCTGCTCTACGCCGACGACTTGACCCTGATTATGCCGGTAGCTCGTCCCAGCGTTGACTACCCACGCCTGCAAGAAGACCTCAACGCTGTCGTCCGGTGGTCTCGCATGAACCGCTTGCCTCTGAACGAGGCAAAGTGTACCTCAATGCTTGTTCACCACCATCAGCAGCAGCCTTCCCACCAAGCTCCCAACCTTCCCGGGACCCCCTAGCGTCGGGTTGCTGCCATAAGGCTGCTTGGTGTAACCCTTGACAGCAAGTTGCGCTTCACTAACCATATCAGCAGTGTTCTATCCAAAGCCCGAAGGATCGGCTTTGCTTTGCGGGTATCCGACACTAACCATATCAGCAGTGTTCTATCCAAAGCCCGAAGGATGCTCGGCTTTGCTTTGCGGGTATCCAGGGGAATGGGCCCACAAACTCTGAAACACCTCTTCACTGCACTGGTGCTCCCCCACCTAGAGTATTGCAGTTCTATTTGGGATCCTGCGCAAGTACACTTAGTAGCTGCTCTGGAGAGTGTTCAGCGACGAGCAGCATACGCCAGCCTTCGCCAGCAGTCCCCGCTGGTACCCCCCTTATCGGGATATCGGAACAGCCCAACTGCTGCGCGCGGTTCACTGGACCCCATTGTCCACTCGTCGCAAAGTCTACTCGATGCGACTCCTGGCTCTGTTCTCCAATTTGACGAAAAATCGCTGGCTGCCTCTTTTGCAAGTGCGGAAAACCCGTACAGGGACCCTACAGCCCCTTCTATCTCGCACAGAGCGTCATAGAGGCTCTTTCCTGGTGCGGTCAGTAGACCTATGGCGCTCACTGCCCTGTGAACTGACGGACAATCTCCCCACAAATAAGGATGAATGTAGGACGTTCTGCAGTGCCATCGCCAGACACCTGCGTGCTGAATGAACCGAAAGTGTAATGTAGCATCCCGGTTTGCCCTGGGGTGGGTTGTGGCAAAGGCTGTGGACCATCGAGCAGGTTGGTGTTGCAGAGCGCCCTACGTGACCACTGACTGTAGGGTGCAGTGGGGCGCCTGCGCCGCTGGCTGGTTTTGGGGCCTCCGCGGTGTCGGCCACGACTTACTATAGGGATTTCCCAGTCCTCCTTTTCCTTTATATTTTTTTTTTTCCTTTTGGTGCTGCAGGCCACTGGCATGAACCCTCGGTCTTTCTGCTCTCACCGGCATCTCTTTCTGAGTGCAAATAAATATTATCATTATCATTATTAGAGCTTTTCACGAATTCCCATTCCTCCATTTCGTCTTTCGCGGCATTCGCACGGTCACGTGTCCAAAAGAAAGCCACCCTCGCTAATAAACGGGCGACTAACTTCCAAGCAGCAGAAAAAGAAAGTTGAATAGGACGGCTGTTTTGATGAACCCGAGACGGGGGGAAAAAAGACAAGGACGGAAACACAACTAAAAATGACAAGCCTCAAAACAAGCTTGGTCCTGAGATAAGTGCCTGAACGCGTGAAAAAAACGGGACTAAAAAAAAATTATGAAAACAGAAAGCAAAGCGAAGTACGAATGTTCTATGCTCTTCTTGTGCATTGGCACAAACATTAAGTTGATTAAGTCGGCGGGCCTAAGTGCTTCATTGCTATGTGAAAGCACGTGGACACGAGGGCGAAATCGTCACCGGACAACAAAGCACGATTGACGGTAGCGAGAGCAGCAACACAGAAGTGACAAGCGGGTCCATATCACATTGACAAGCTGAGACATGAGCCCATTAGACGCTGTAAACAAAAAAAAAAAGGGCATCGAAAAAACATACTAACCGCCAGCAAGGTCTTTGGATCGAAGGTGAGAAAGTTTGCCGGTCGTTATCAAAACTGACCAAAACAGAACGAACCTGGCGACACGCCAACACAGCCCAGACGCCCAGACATTCACTGTGGTCAGGGTTGCCACTGGGTTTGGAGTCAATGTAGCCAAATCACGTGCAGAAAGTAGCCAAAAGTAGCCATTCTATTCGAAATTTCGCCAAGAAGTCGCCACGCCAAATATGTACAATATAAAGGTGATAAAGGTATTAAAAACAAGAAAAAAATAGTCAACACTATACTAGCAGTCTTGAGTTTACTGCACACACGTGCCAGCCGTACTCGGACGTAAATTGCGTAAATGTTCAGAAGTTCACAAGGGTGAGGGTGAAGCGCTTCAAACGCTTCAATTTAATATCAAACACTGAGGCGAAGTTCTAGTACAGGGGTGGCTAAGCTGCGACTCGCGAGCCGCATGCGGCTCTTTGCGTGCAAAAGTGCGGCTCGCGGTTCCCTCCCCACCCAACCTCCCCCCCTCCCCCCCCCCCCCCCCCCCCCCAAAAAAAAAAGAGAAATGGAACGCGTTTTAAATGGAAAGACAGGTTGCGGTTTGATAGTCTTGTGCTACTGCTACCTTACGTACAGTTGGACTGCTTTTGACTTGGATAGATTTAAAGTAGTTCAAGTTTCGTTTATTGCTCTAAACAAAAGTTTGCCCCCCCCCCCCCCCCCCGTGTCTCTTGGAAGTTTCGTGGGTTTGTTTGCGGCTCTTAGGCCGGGTCAGCCTGGCCACCCCTGTTCTAGTAGATGGTGCTGGCCCCAGAAGAGTTTGCAGTCATTTTCTGGAGCACTTCATCTGGGACCACGCATCGAGATGATGTTTTCTGCTGCAGTCGGAGGCCAAACTTTATTCTTGGGGTGGACTCCTGAAGGTCAAGCTTCATCTTATTGCGAAGTTCCGTTTTGGTCAGCGACGTGGGGGACATTTGAGACTGGAAGCGTCAGAATCTTGACGGCGGCCCGCGATTACTTTGGGAAAGGGCATATAGCGGCAGCATCCCTGAAAACCAGTACCAAAAGCTTAACGCAGTGCGTCGCGTTTGTGGGAAAAACAGGCCACAGTAGTCGGATCTCCGTTTCCAGCTCATTCCTAGACATGCTGAAAAGGTGAGAAGACAAACTAAAAATTTCCCGGCAAGCATTGGGACCCATTACAACCTCCAGGCTGATTGCTTGAAGCCTGCGGAGTGCAGAAGCTGCGTTAGGAATGCGCGTTTGCAGTTGACTGGCCATTTTCTACAAAAACGAAAGCATCGTACTCGAATGTAAAGTTGGTCCCTGCACAAGGTCCGCTTGTGCAGGGTCCAGGTAAATGCTCTCAGTGTTTCTTTATTTTTTTTTCAGTCAGCATGCTCGTTTCCAGCTTTTAAAGATACATGAACACAGCTTGCAGAACGGGCACGCTTTGGCCCGGAAACATGTCTGCGCGATACTCCTGAGAGCCGCAACGGGCCGCAGAAAGTAGCCAAAAATTCGCCAAATCGCCATGCGTAATTTTCGGTAGCCATGCGCCCCCAAAAGTAGCCAATTTGGCGAAAAGTAGCCACCAGTGGCAACCCTGACTGTGGTGGCGGCACCCAAGTACCGGAAGTCCAGATCACCGGAATTGCTTCACTCCCAACGTTCCCCTCGGAAGGGTAGCTCTACGGATTAAAGTACCCCGCTTTTGCTTCCAAATTAATTTAGCATGCAAAAATAAAACCATTCTTTTTCATCTAATTGAAGTTAATCGCTGGCCGTCCTGGGTGTCGCAGTACCACTCATGGCATCATACATAGTGGCATCAAAGGACAAGGCACAAGCTTCAAGACATACGTCAAGAGCTTTCACAGACGAATTAAAAAAATTAAAAAAAAAAAAATAGCAAGATGGCGGCTTCGTGAATGTTTGTTGTGTTGTGTTCCGAAAAACCTCCGGTGTAGTCCTTGTGCTCGCTTTATACGCCCACATTCTTTAACTTGTTGCAACAGACGGTCGACCGTACGATCTCGCGTCGCGTCCAACGCCGACCGATTCGCGTTGCTGGATTTCAGACGACCGCCTTCCCCAGTCTAGCGCCCATGCACCGCTCCAAGCTTGCCATCTTCTGTCCTTTCACGCGGGCTGTCTCCTTTGTAGGTGATCCCGGAGTTAGGAGTATGCCCGGCGCTCTGCTGCGGACAGCTAGTTAATAACTTGGCGGCCCCACAAAAGACGGTACGTTGTGTTTGTCGGACTCGTTCTCACGTTCCTCTCGTGCCGTCCCCGTCTCAAATCGGCGATCATCCCGGGGCTTTTGCATGTGTCCCTCGATTGACGTCGGTTCCGGGGGCTCTCGATCAAGGTACGCAGGCAGCCTGCCTTCGGAGATTGCTTTTGGGCTCTGTCGTGCACCACGATAGCGACGGTATCTTCTAGTCCCGCAACTGCACTCGATCTTGTCGGCGCCAGGGCAACAACAGTCGTACAGGGCCGATCTGCGGACCCCTGAGCTACTCCGATCGGCTGCGTTTGTTTTAGTGCGCCTGAAAACGTCCGAATGTACGAGGCAAGCAGCACTGTTCTTTTTCGTGTCGGCATCCTGTCCTTGGTTCTCGTTTTTTCCTCGCAATTCTCGGTAGGAATGTTGACTCTCCGTCCGCACGCCGTTCCATTTCGCGCCCTGTAAAAGACCGAGCGGTGCAGTTACATCTGTCAGGCTGACGTCTCGATCCCGGCACTACCGGATCTAAAGCGGTGTACTAAGCCAAGTGGATTGCCCAATTCATTTTGGGCACGAATGGCGATCACTGATGCTCCCTGTGGGGAATCGTCCCTTTTTCGGGTAATTTTTTGTCTTCATTCTTTGGCAGAAATGTCTGCATTGATACGGGAGATTCTGATATTGTGGTGTGGTCAGCTAATGTTTAGTTGAAACTATATATCCACAAATACAACTTTTACGGACAACCGGCAGATGTTACAGGCAATGCCGCAAAAGCGAATCAAAGCTGAGACGTGATGTTGGCCATGACTTCCAAGACACAGCTACGATAGGAAAGATGTTATTGTAACGAAATTCCTGATATTATCAGCAATGTCCATTACAATTTATGTATTAGGGCTGCTGATCTAGATGATTCCACAGGGCTCGAGCGGGAGAAGTGAAATGCGCTCAAATATGAGCGAGGCAAAACGGGAGTATGCCAACAAGGCAGTAAGCCAACAGCATGTTAAACAAATTTTGGCAATGGATCCTTGTAGCTTCTAGAAAATGTAATTTAAAAAATTCAGAAAACTTCTTTCTAGTTTTGGGGTTACATCTGTACCAATTGATAATATAATATGACGGCGACTTATTGCGGAGAGTTTGTGTAACTGAGGTTTTGGGGGCACACATCAATAGATCCTCGGGTAATCCGGTTAGTTGCTGGGGCATGCCAGATGCTCTTAGACGGCTTGATACGTAAACCCCCTCCTCAATATTTTTTTACCCTTTTATCTTGAGACAGCATCCTAGTTGATGCAGTATGTTACATTCAGATATTTCTCTATTTGATAGTCAACTTCAAAACAAACTAAAACATATGACTGCACTTTGCTGCTCACTTTAGTACAACTGATTGGTGTGTAAAACATATACCTCTGTGAGCATTGAGTTACTGAACGGCTCCTCAAACGGGTAGTGATTCCTTTTCGTGCCATCGGGTTGCACTAGTTTTTGTTCACAACTATACCCCGTTTCACCTTACGACTGACCACGGCGGATGCTACAAGCCATCGGAGCCAATTTGAGGCTATGGGACTATTACGTGACCTTGGAGAGAGGGCACAGTAATGTGCAGAGAGCGCATCATGTGCAGTTTTGGCTGCAACGGAGATCCTGATGGGCGTCTCTGCTCTCCCCTCCACCAGGGGATGGAGGAGGCGGGCGGCCGCCGCAGCTGGGTCCAGCTGCGTCAGGCGGTGCGCCAGGCACGCTGCCGCCTGTACGGCCTGGCACCCCGCCTTCCCACAAGCCTTTCTTTCGGCCGGGGGCGCCTCTACTTCCTCAGTCCGCTAGCCGGAGGACGCGAGAGCAGTCTGCACTACGTTGACCTGCCCTCCCCGACTGCGGGAGCGGAGGAAGCCCCGCTGCTCGCCTGGAAGCCCCTGCTGGAGCCCAAATTCCACGTGGTGCATCCGCCGGGCCGGCTGTCACGGGAGGAGCAGCTGCAGTGGGAGCGGCGCCGCCTCATGGTCTGGGGCATCACTGCCTTCGACCAGCAGGACGGGCGTTTCGTCTTCCCCGCCGGCGGGTCCCTCTTCTACTGCGACGACGCACCCGACAAGGTGAGGGGCGGCCAAGGTCTAAGATGTATGTGGGTGTAAACACCGCGTGTGTCGCAGCTGCCAGATAAAGTCCTCTCCTCGCCTTAGTTGCTACAGATGGCTCCTCGATGTGCGGCTAATGGCAGAGCTGTGTATACAGAGAGTTTGGTCAATGGGAGGCACGGGCAGAGCCAGGGCGTGCGGCAGACTCGGAAAGAGGGCTTGGCATGCTGTCTTGACCAACCAGAAGCCAAAAAGAATCCCCTACCGGTGGTAGCGAGAAACAGTTCTGATCAAAGTTGCCAACTTCGCCATGCACGTGGCAATATGAGCCTGGGAAAGAAGCAGTAGAGACTCTGGGCTATTTGCAAAATTCCTCAAAGGGCCATGCAGATGCCGTACGAAATGGGCCTTTTGGGATCTTCATATCCTCTCATACAAAAGACAGGAAGAGGATCAAGGTCAATCTCACTCCCGCTGCGTGTTGTGGGACCCTTGCTATAAAGCCCCTTCCTGTTGTGCATCATGACACCTATAGGGCACACTTCACGTTTTGGAAATGGCCTTTTCATGCTAGAGTGTAGGCACAACGAGCAAAGTTCTGTTAACCAGCCAGTTCAGTCAATTTCCGTTCCTCCTTTTTCTACCCCACATCAGAGAGTACCTGCCACAGACGTGCCAATACTTTTCCTGCAAATAAATAAAGTGGGGAATCTCGATACAGCCAAGCACCCTACGTACTAATGGTCTCTCGTTGGGCCGAGATTCGGACAGGCTTAAGTGATCAAGCACTGCGGACACCGGGCGATTCCGGTGGCGTCCCGAGGTGCCTGGCTACAACCCCTCTCTCTTTCCATGCGTGCAGCCCCCGCCCTACTTCCCGGTAGAGCTCGGCTCGGGCCTGTCGTGTGCCCGGCTCAACTCGCAGCTGTGTCCCTGCAACCGGGACCTGGTGGCCTTCGTGGCCAGTGGCGACCTCTGGGTGCACCACATTGCCTCGGGCTGCGAGGCCAGGCTCACCTACTGCCGCAAAGGTGGGTTGGACGCCCCTGGCTGAGGCGCCTAGCTTGCAGGTCCCAGCTCGAGCCACCGAGTGTTTTGTAATGTCTCTTTGAGCTGGAAACCTTTATTTGCAACCCCCGTGTTCGTAGCTCGGTTGTAATGGTCTACCACCCTTCTCCAAACAAGCTCTCAACCCTTTAAAAAAAAACGAGCAGGGCACGTTGTTGGGAGCAGTCTCCTTTTGCGGTCCACCGAAGAATGCACTAACGTTTGCTTACCGTGCTGTCAAGAAAATGATTTTTTCAGTATGAAGCCCTGGCCTCAAAATTTGTGGTAGGCCCTGTTTTGATATAGCGAATTACGGTATATATCGAACTAAGAATGTATGTCCGACGGAGTTCGTTATAAATGGGTTTGACTGCAGCATCTCTCAAACAGTATAATAGAAGAACTATATCGTAGTTAAGAGGCATGCAAACATCAGTTAACTTTTTGCTTATAAAAGAGTGTGTCTTTTATAAATAAACATTCTTCACGGAGCGTACTACAGCGTTACTGAGACCAAAATTCGCGTTCAGCATGGGGGAAAACAAACCCGGCACTCGAAGGGTTAATTTATCGAACAAGGAGGGGCCACTGCGTGGTCTCAAGCTTCCTGGGAGGGTTGGCCTTTTTGTCCAGCTTTGAGGTTGTTGGTGGGGAAGTAGGAAGGAAGGGAGGAGGTTGTGGGGTGTGTGAGCATTGGGACAGTCCCACAGGTAGTGTATGTTGGAGAGGTAGCTGGCACAGTGTAAGCATACCGGTTGGCCGGCACGTTCTTCGAGGAAGCAGATGCAGAGTGGAGAATCGAGCCAGTTAGGCTTTCTGGTTGGCTGATGGGGGTCATCTTGATGCCGAGAGTAGAGAGGATGTATACGTTTGGCACGGGCAGTCTGACCAGATGGTGAACTACAGCTGGTCAAAAGGTAATAGGCTGGTTGGTTTTCGGGAAGGCTCTTTACATGAAATAGTCCCTAATTTAGTCAGCGAGAGGATGGCGATGGCTCGTTTGCCCGTCGGCAAAGAGGCTCTGGTAGCTTTGGCCACCTTGTCTCTATTACACTGGGCCACCATTTTAAAGCTGTTGACTGCAGTACCACAATGTGGTTCTGAAGCAAAGCATGGGAGCTCTGGCATTCTGAGAACATTCGGTGGCTCTAGTTCTAGCAGTTAACGGGAACTCCCAGTTAACAGCTCCTGAACAGGTTTGCAAGTTATCTCATTTCGAAGACTAGTCTGGAACCTTGGGCAGGCCTTGTAGGTCTTCCAGACCAGACAGTGCGTGCAGAAACAGCAAAAATGGGGCGTGCAGAGGCTCAACTTACATGCATGGATACGACGGCTTTTCCATTCCATGTTTGCAGAAAGCTAATGCACTCTTGTAACTGGGTCTTTCTGTCTTGTGCGATTTACTTCAAATGGGTTTAGTCGATCTGGCTTGCACGGTTTCCACTAAATGATGCGGAGCAGCTATGAGAGTGACACATCCGGGTAAAAGCCCTTTTACTACCCAATTTGAGGAGGGCTAACAACAAAAGGTACTAAAACTTTTGCAACTTTTGAAGGTCTCGGACTCAGAAATGCCTGAAGAGCTTATAATGGTACAGCCAGTTGATTTTAAATACCTATACAAAGAGTTTAATGTTTCCAAACCCTTTCGAACCCAAGCTTCGAGCGGTGTGGGAATTCTCTGGCTTCAATGTTAGGGTGAAGAATGACCTTCCAAACTAAGGCAGGGTCGACATCTTCTCAAAAGATTGCCCACCGGTTAGTTAGTGTGCCAGTGTTCTGACTAAGGGCTGCCCTAAGCAAACCGAGCTCCCTCTGGGCTGACTGTGCAAGTGCTTCCTTGGCTGCAGATGGGGCGAGCGTGTCGGAGAGTCCAGTGAGCGTGGGCATTCCTTCCTACGTCACTCAGGAGGAGTTCAATCGCTACATGGGCTTCTGGTGGTGCCCTGTGAGCAACAGAGGTGAGTGCCCTATCCTCATCTTCGTGCTCGGTGCCCCTGAACCTGTGACAGCGACTGGTGTGCAAAGCTGAGCCACCTTCCGTGAGGAATATTCACCGATGTTTGTTTGCAAACAAGCTCACTACCACCCCCTATCGGTGTACCCCTGCGCGCTTCCGGTTTTCCTCTTCTTTTCCAATTGTCTCTACTCCTTTTGTTATTTGCACTACTTTGTACAATGCACTAATGTTCTTACAAACATACTACACAAACTTCTCCGAAGGATACTCTTCTTATCCGACCGCTGTGCGTAGCTGAAGAATAAATAAATACACTACCGGAAGTCTACTGGGGCACCAAATATGTACTGTGGCGCCCTCGTGGTATCCACTCCCACCGAATGTGGTGAATAGCCTTTCCAACAGGCACCCTGCCATCTGGCGGCAGCCAAGCAGGCTTCAACCGGAGCATTCTGAACTACATTGCCAGAATCAGTGAAAACCTTGGGCGGCGTATGTCTGCCTCTTCATCAACTTCATTATTCATTGTCTGTTGGTGCAACGCTGAGGTTTGACTGTAGGCAGGGTGGCGAGTATGGGTTCTGAAAGGGGGCCTGTCAGAATGAGTGCCATCGCAAAGCATCTCTGCAAGGGTGCTTATGCACATTTGCAAATAGTTGCACTTGGAAAAATGGTCTGGTCACCCTGGGTCCTATTTCAATACTGCAGAGCTTTGCAATATGGCCACTGCTGTGCCACTGCTAACCGGAAACCTTAGATGTGTATCACTATGTCCTGATCTTGTTAAAGCGTGTCTGCGTGCTGCTTGTCCCAGAACCGTGAAGTAAACTGTGCCGAATAGAAATATTTCACTGAGGCCACGTTGCTGCGAGGAAAGGTTTTCCAGTTGTTGCCGATACACTTCGTGGAGAGTGCGCAACATGTTTTAAATGTAGCTCTCGAGCGACTTTGACCCGCATGCATTGAAACTGGCAACTGTCGGGAATTAATCTTGTAAGTTGCGTAGCCCGTGAACCCCGTACTGTGGTGCCTCAGTGTGATGCTCGCTTGTTGGCGCATTTTGACCGACCTCTTGAAGCACTTTTCTCGGCACAAAATGATTGCCACAGCGTGCGCAACGTTCCGTGTTTTTTTGTGCCTTTCTACACACATTGCGACTACTGACCAGTTTGTTGTTCCCAGGGGGCAGCACCTACCAGATACTTTACGAGCAAGTGGATGAGAGCGAGGTGGAAGTGGTGCACCTGCCTTCCTTCGGGGACGACGGCAGCATGGAGGAGTACCGTTTTCCCCGGGCCGGAACGCTCAATGCTCGGTCAACCCTGCGGCTGGCGCAGTTCTCCCTGGATGGCACCGGACAGGTGGGTGGCAAAATCGCCACGAGTCTTCGTGCTGCAGTCGGCTCTCGTTAATTCGACCCCGACGGGGCATGCAAAATCGGTTCAAATTATCCAAAGATCGGATTAAAAGAGACAGTGGAAAAACTGCCCAAGCCGGAGTCACTTTAATTGGAAGCAGTTAGTGATGCCTTTTTCGCCGTTTACGCCTGAAACATTCATTGAACGGCATGCTCCAAAGGGCACCGACATTTTTGAGCGCACTTTCAACCGCACTCGGCCGTTCGGTTGGGGTGCTTTCGACACCGTCCTCTTCTTGCTTCCATCTTTTGCGCCCATCCTAAGGCCGGTCACATTGACTACAATGTCATCGTCCGTAAGCTGTCCGCAGACTTGTACGCCGTTGTCCACGTTTACAAAGTCTCGATCCAAGACACCACCCAAGGCAAGGAGCAAACCAGCCTTTGGTAGAAGACAGCTTCATGTCGGCGTCACTGTTTTCGGCGATCTCCTTTTTTAATAGATCTCTCTTGACAACAACCCAAAGAATGGCCAAGTTCGTACCGATGGACAGCGAGGTGTACTTCTCGTGCGATACCGTACGCAATCGATGCCGCAATACACTTTAGCTTGAGCATATGGCAAAGCTGCATCCCGTGGCTGGTTCAGTCAAAAACGCACAGATTGCTCTGACACTCTCTAGTGCGGCCTTTGCACTTCCTGTACAATTTCCACAAATGAGCTTGCAAAGGCTTTCGGCGCTTCCATGCAGAATGCTGCACAGCCGAGCTACACACTCCTCACCGCCGACGTTGGACGGCGTGAGTTGGCTTTGTCGTGGTTGCGCAACTGCACAAACGAAGCAAAAACGCTCCTTTGCGTAACGACCCCAAGAAATCGCACCCCAAGTTTAGAGAAAAAGCACCGTTACATACATTGTCATTGGTCTACCGCCTCCCAAAAGCTCTCAGAGGAAAAGAAAAAATGAAAAGAGGAGAGACAAGGAAAAGAGGAAGTCTTTTAAAAGGGGAAAAAAAGGAAGAGCGGCGCTACCAGCTCCTAACAAAAGTAAAAAAACAAATCTCCTGTCTCGCGGTGGTGTCATGATGTGGCTTTGCAGCGTGTGTGTGTGCATTTCCGCGTGGGTCGGATTGAACGGTGAGAAGTCCTCACGCATCCAAATTATGTAATTTCTTCCTCCATAGAAATGTATCGGCGCCTGCCAGAACCTGTGAAAACGACCGAAATAAACAAAGAATCAAATAAACTAAGGTCGAAATAAACCCGGTCCTGCACTATAAGCGGTTACGTTGTAAGTGGTCTATACTGTATAAAGCTAGAGACGCGCGACTGCGCTTGTTTGATCCATACATAGTGAGACGGGTGGGACATACGATTGTAGATACCTTAACATGCAATAAATAAGGTATGCCATTCAGATTTGTTTTTTTCCTTACTTTGTCTCACTCTAGAACAGTTCGAAAGTGAAATTTTTTTTATGAAAAAAGTTAAGTTTACCTAAGTTTGACGGGTTTTGTTTCTAATCTAGCATTGCTGAAAGGCAGCTCAAAGTTTGCCTAACTTTGTTCGGTATTTTGAAGTATGTCATACCACTAGAAAAGTCTGCGGCATCCAGAATTCCGATTTTTACCGAACTGGCTTTTCAACAAGGAGATTCTCCTGTATACATTAGATTATAGTTTATTCCTAATGGAGCCACCTTTAAGTGAGCTGCACAGCATGTTTCCAGCTCAACTTTCGAGTTTTCCTTTAAAAAATCTAGGGATGCGCAAATGTTTTGTCTGTGTCCCTTTCAATACTGTGTAACCACTTCACCTAGGGTTAGAGATTATTAAAAGACTTTAGGTATTTGAGGGGCCCCTGAGATTGCCCTGGAGGCTTCTCTCCTAACCTGACATTCTCAAATCCTCCAAATGGTTTCTCGTTTATAGTTCCCCGATGCACAAGTTCTCAAACTAGATTCCTAGAAACCCAGGGGTTTTCCCAAATACCCTCGGAGGTTCCCCGAGTTCCTAAATTTCCCCGACAATTTCTGCCCCTCTGTGAAGTGGTTTTCTTTCTGTTTAAGCACTACTTTAGTAGATCTCAACGGTGTACCAATGCGTAACTATGAACCAACCACTCCCTGATATTGGCATTATCGTTTCGAGGGCCCGTAAGCTTCTGTGGCGCATGATTGGACCAATGCCCTAATGCAGGGGTTCCCAAACTTTTTCGTCCCAGGGAACCGCAGCAAACCTTAAAAAGTCCCAAGGAACCCCCCCCCCCCCCCCCCTTGTTGCCAACTGATCATACTGGGCAATAAAAGCGTTCAGGTAATGAACAAGAGTTTATTGCACTGACAGAATAAGACCAAAAGGAGTACTACAGACAGAATAAAAAGGCAGGGGGGTTAACCTGGGGCACAGTGTAAAATATATATATACATATTAGTGCGAAGGGTGAGGTTGCTTTGTCCGCAACATAACTCAATTAATGGCTCAGGCCGTAAATAGTTAAACTAGGGGAAAGGGGGGGGGGGGGGGGGGCACTGCAATTTGGTTGCTCGCTGAACTCATGAGACCAGCTCGCGGAACCCAGTTTGAGAACCCCCTCCCTAACGTGTGGCATGCTCCTTTGCCCAGATTGGGGGCATCCAGCTGCTTTCACTGGTGGAGCCCCTGTCTTCGGCGTGCACCGCTTCCGAGTACCTGCTGCGGGCCGGATGGACTCCCGACGGCTCTTGGTGAGGGATGTGGGGCGACTGCGGACAGACCGCTTGAAGGGGTCTGCTGCCCGTTGCACTGTGCTCACCGGCGGTTTAAACGCAGGGTGTGGCTTATTACGTTTGCGCTTCTCATTTCGCAATTTGTCCTTCGACGTTCCTATCGACCGGTGTTGCAACCTATTTGGCTGCGGAACAATGGCGACGTGCTCGGGGCTCGCCACTACCGCCAAAGCAGCCGACGAGCGAAGCGATCATCTCAAGCGTGTCAGATGCACAGAGTATGATTTTTTTACTATAAATAGCCCCAGCAGGGCGAAACGCAATGGGAACACAACATTTGTGGTTCTTTAAAAACGTAACAGATGGCAACACCTTCCAGGGTATGCGCGCATTATTGCGTTTGGCGAGAACTTTCAAACACGTAATCGCCGCCTTGTGCGTACGGTAATGGTACTTCGTCGAAGGGTTAAATTGAAAGCTCTAGCAATACGTTAATATTCTGTGCGAGAAAGTTTTTGTCCTCCTCTGACCGCCCGTCCCTTGTTCCGACACGCACTGTGGAGCGCCTGAGAAGTGTGTGTCCCTTCTGCCTTCCCGACGCAGTGGCTGGGCACAAATGCTGGACCGCCGCCAGCAGCACCTGCAGCTCCTGCTGCTTCCCGTGGGCTGCTTCCAGCCCGAGGGAGAGAACCCCGGCTCTGCGGACATCGGCCCGCAAGTCCTCTGGGAGGAGACCTCGCACGTCTGGATTAACGTTAGTTGCACTCTCTTCTTTCCTCATCCTTGAACAATGGGAAAAGGGGAATCATCTACAATAGAACCTATTTGTGTACAGCGGAGCCTCGTTGATAAGTTTTTTGGATGCACATAGCAACCGACAACACTTTTGCGGGCCTGTAAATGAGACGGGCAGCGATTTATTTCATAAGGGCTTTGGCAGTAGTAAAGAACTTTCATGTTCGTTAAAATATCTAACTTTTTTGTTTATATTTTTGTTTTATATTAAACTTTGTCTCTCTAAAACTGTGCAGTACGGCCAAAGCAACAGTGGAGAGAGTGTATCCCGACCAGTTCAAGAGGAGAGAGAGGAGGAACGGGGGAATACCTCCTCTCCCATTGCTCCTTTCCCTCCTCTTGTCCTCGTGAACAGATTGGCATGCACTCTCTCCCTCTGTAGCTTTGGCTGGACTGCACGGTTTTAGTGAGACGGATATAGGGTTGATCTATTTGCAACTCCAACTGTCTATAGGTGGCGCCACTCGTTTTTCAAAATGGCAGTTATAATCAGGGTTGGAGGTGCATGCTGGTATGCCAGTTGCTGAGCTTGTCTAGTGTGCCGACTTCACTGAGCGACACAAATTATTCCCGCTTATACAAGGAAACCGGGGTGTTACCAGCGCAGGTCACTTCTTTATCTTGAAAACAAAACCTGTGTTTAGCGTAATATTTATGCCAGGAAGCACGTTTCAAATTCAGGCATGAAATTGAAACTAGTATCTTCTATTTTGGATAAATTTCCGGATATAGGTGCTCACTTTGATTTCTCTCCTAACTCAAGATGTGTCTCGCAGTGTAATTCTTGAGCTAAAGAAATTGTTCACGGAAACTTTAATTTGTGACGTACGTGTCCAATCCAGGCACTTAAAAATATTTTGGAGAGTTTGGTGTCCCTCTAAAGACGGGGTCTTTCATGCAATTCAGAGATAACACAGTATATTGTATTTGTTCAAAAAATCTGCTCTTATATGTGTGTTTTTTCTGCTTTTTCTCACTCAGCTGGTTGTCATGTGAAATAATGACCTGCAGGCCCTTCAATGGGTTTTTTGGCATTTAGGTGATTACTACTAGCTTTAGCATTTTTCCCAGCACAAGAATAACAGAGTAAATTTAAATTTTACAAAATAATGCCACGGGCGATGAGTTTAGAATATGTTCACAAAATATATAAATTAAGGAAAGCTGTTCCTACTACGAAGGAAAAAACAATCAAAAACGTAATTCGAGTGAGACAGCAGAAATGTGTGTGTTTTCAAGGCAATGCATGACACATAGGCCTTTGTATTGCATCCAGTGTTTATGTCTCTCTAGATAACAATGTCAGTTTTTCATATGCTGAAAATAAAACAAAATGAGTCTTTCCTGTAAAGGCTTTTATAGCTAAATGGTATATTTTTAAGATTGTGGCATTTATTGGGGGCCTATTTTATGTTTCACGATAATTAGGCGAACTGTGGAGGCTACATCCACTGCGACCCAATAAGAGCGTCAGATCGAGGCCCGTGACGCTACTTCGCGGGGCGTGTGTGTCTATGCACCAAATGCAAGGCCCAGAAAAACCGGCTTTCGTCTGCCGGCCAAGGGTCGTCTGCTGCGAAACCAACCAACTTCGGATGAACCTCCACCTTTGCAACATTTCTGTCCACTAGAATAGCGAGCTCTTTGAGAACAGTTCATGAGACAACCATACGCTCAATTTAGCCGCGAATCTGTGACGGCTGCTAATGCCAGGACACAGTACGGTGTTTTGAGTGGAAATGGCTGATTACATGGCTGCGATTGCCAATGGCCACGGTGCTACAAGGAGAGAAAAAAATCGGGGGCAGATACAGATGTGGCATCACTCTTTTTGGTTTAAGTATAATTAAAATTCGTAAATTTGTGATTATTCATTCCTTATTTTTCATATCTTGTCGATAGAGATGAAATTGCGCGAGTTCAACTGCTGTTAAAAGAAAGAGAAGCCTAGAACTACTTTTTGTCGCAGACGGCGTTGTGCTGTGGCGGTAATGAGGCCCCCGTGGCTTCGACCATGGAGTGTTATCACGTGCCTTTAGCCTCCACAGCTCGCCAAGTTAACGTTAAACGGAGTATAGTAGATTACCGCAATTTCTATTAATTATAATACAATTAAGATACATAGTTTTTAAGCTCTAATATAATTTGTTGCTTATGATCTAATTTTAAACACACAAACAACTATGGCAATTCAAAGTTAGCAAACTATTAACACTGGTGCCAATTGCAAAATTTTGAATTAACAATGTATAAAATAAAAATAGTCTAAAATCGATGAAAACATTCTAGCTAGTCTGAGAAATCTATGTATATTTACATTAATTGTTGGTAAAGCATACGGTGCTATCAAAGTCGTTACTTCTGAACATCAGCAAAACTTTCAAATTAGCTGCGCCAACCCTTCCAAACCAAATGCCCCAAATACAACAAAAAAAAGGGGGGGATTCTGTTTTTTTTTTTTTTTTTTTTAACTTTCCAGAACATTTATTTTCTTTCATTCTTACGCACCATCGTTTTGCCAATCTCAGCCTCTCCAGTTCGAAGGAATGCCAACCAGCTTGCACATTTGCTTACTGCAGCACGTTTCGTTGGCGTCGGGAAACCGGTGAAACAGTCGTGAGTTTTAGTATTGTGAATACGAGCGAATGCGAGCACTGTGTGTTTGCGTTGGCGCTGCATGTTCCACACTGCGCGTGCACGGAGCTCAAAATTGCGGTCTTGGATTGGCACATGGCTACGGCGTGCATTCGCAATGGGGAGCACACAAACGCAGTGTTCACATTTGCTCTTATGCGCAATATTGAAACTCTCAAGTAAGGTACAATCCCGTACCAGCTGCAGCACTACGTTGGGACAGTGAAGAGTTATTTGCATTCAGAAATGACTGTTGGCGAAGCACGATAGCGAGCAGTTCTGCCGTGCCCCCCGAGCAGGAGAACCGCTCATCGAGCTAACTTAATACCCCAGTCACGCGAACAAAAAGGTGCGCATTGGTTTCACTCCCGTCGACACAAGACGCTCGAAAGACCCGGCATTGTTATTAAGCGTGCCCCGACTACATTGTTTAAGTCGTCGTAACGCCGGGACAGTCGTATGGCCACAGCCGAGCCGACTGCATTTCCAGCTGAACCCTGTCGGCAGCTCTGCTTTTCTTAACATTCTTCACGTCTTCATAGGATTCGACGGTCTTCGGAGTTTATTTTTGGGGAGCGTGGGAACCTTTTTTTCCGTGGAAAGCCTCTTTTGGGTGGTGTCAGACACGTATCCACCCTAAAGCCGGAGTCACACTGCTTACGCATCCTACAAAAAACACGGTGTTTGCTGCACACATGATGGCAGAATTATCTGCATGCTTCGAACCCGTCTGCAGACGGATTTTTCACGACCGGTGTGACAGGACCATCTTTTTGAGGATGAAATGCGCCTCGGACAGTGTCTGCTCACTGTTTTTCATGTTACGCATTAGCGGTGTGACTGCGGCTTGAGCGGGCGCGTGTCGGAGGCAGGGCGTTGAAACGGGAGCCCTCGTTCGCACCCAGGTACACGATGTGCTGCACTTCTTGAGGAGCGAGCAGCCCCAGACGGTCCGCCTGCTCTGGGCAAGCGAGGAGTCCGGCTTCCGCCACCTGTACCTGCTCTGCCTGCACCTTCGGGGCGAGTCGAGTGAGCTCTTCTCCGGTGACTCTGCGACCACGAGTTTAAATCCCAGTTCAGGTGCCCCCAATTTGTGTTGGGGACTTGAGGCTCTGTTATACTCCAACGTCGAATGCAGCATAGCGCAAAACACGCACATTTCATTGGCCGACGAAAGGGGACTCGATATATGCAACCAATCAGTATCCGTATGCACTGCGCTATGCAGTGTTTTCTACGCTCAACGTCTGAGTATAAAAGAGCCGTTACTGCGGTGAAAGCGCCGTAGGCTAAGGTTACGATTGCACTTTGGAAGGTCCTTGGGCGGACAAAATTAATCTTTGGTCCTTCGCTCTAGCATGCCAGATGCACTTTTAATGCGAAAGCATTATATGGTCCCATTACGCGAAAATCCGGCGGCGGCGGCGGCATGATTGAGCGATGGTACCAAAAGTGGCCAACGGTGCAAGGAGTAAAAATACACCAAAAATGCTCGGATTGACGTCAAATTTTCAGGGTTGTTCCAGTAAACAAAGTAATTGATGGTTTGGAAATTAAAACTTGGTACATTTCGATCCAGGTGTTAATTGAACCCGTGCCTCCGGGGTGCGAGACAAGCACGCTTCCTCAACTTAATGAGTGCTCTACTGTCCTGGCTGACTAAAAAATGTGCCTAGTGCATGCGTCATTTCTCGCGGCACGTCGCAGCCATCTGGCTGACCAAAGGTGTGGCCACAACAAAAATATTGTGAAAGAGTTGAAATACTTCTCAACATACATCACCGACCACGAGGCAATGGCCCTCTCGATCGACCCCATCCCTACCACCGCCGACACCACCGCAACCATTACGACGCGAAGATTACACGCCAGACATACATACCTGATGACGAAGACATTGTCGCAACAGAAGATGACATAATGATGACAGACCTACCATTAGACATAGATAATCGCAGAAGAATCTGGAGTTGGGCAAGTTGGTACATCTTAGATTCGGAAAGCGCCAGAAAACAAGGACAACAGAAGGAATAGACTAAACGCGCTACTGTCAACTGAATTTACATATTTGTTGGCATGCTTTTTTGTGCATGCTTCCACCTTGCGTGACTTGTTATTCACCCTTGGACATAATCTGGATAACTTCGACGGTGCTGTAAACACTACGGGAACGCCGAAACGCCCGGCTATCTTTTTGAGATTGTGGGACATTCTGTGAATGTACGGCAAAACCACCACTTTCTATTTCTGGCGCTTTGTTTTCTGGAGTTTTCTGAATCTTAGATAATCGCATAGCTTGAAATAAAATTCATTGTTCTGCAGCAAAATGGTCCGAATGTTTCCAGTCTGTGGCCAACGTATACGCAAACACACACACCGAACCAGTAGAAAAAACTGTAATGCATGTCGGAAACATCAATCGAGAACATTTCACCAAAGGGACTCTAATGCTTTCGCATTTCCTCACATAATCTTAAGTGTCGCGGCTGAATTTTTATTTATTTCTCTTTGGAATGTAAGCTTTTCAAATTTCTTTTTCTTTTTTTTTCTTTTTTAGTGACTCGAGATAGGATAAGGGTAGAATGACGGCTCAACAGAAGAGGCCCGCGTCTGCTTTTGCAATCAGCGACACAGATGTTTGGCCGGAGGCGCTGCAAGCTGGAAAAGTATGATCCGCAAATGAAAAGGGGGGAAAGCAGGACTCATCCTCTCTCCTGACAGCCATGGTCAGCAAGCCGACCCCAAAGAATTTGCATTGAGTTCCTTCGAACGTGATATTTGTGTTTATTGAACTCTGGGCTCAAAATCAGAAGTGCTCTTTTTGTCTCCCTTTGCCAAATGCTAAGCAGGGAGGGGAAGATTTTCAGGCCCGTTGAAGATTGTGTTGCCTTAAGGAGGAAACAGCCGTGAGGCATTGTCACATGCGTCGTCCCGTGTTCCAGGGTCCGACCGAGTGATTTCGAAAGTCCAGCTCACAGGCGGCGACTGGGAGGTCTCTGAAAAAGATGTGAGTGTCCACACGAGCAGCCTCATCTTCCCGCCACTTGTCTGACGGAGTCCCATTTTCATTCACCAGGTTTGGGTCGACGAAGTGAGGCGCCTGGTCTACTTTATCGGGCTCAAAGACACACCGCTCGAACGCCACCTGTGAGCAACTTTCTTTCCCGCTTTCACTTTTAACAGAGAATTTCATGCTCCGCAAATCGTTTTCAGTGGATCTCTTGCACGAGTGATTGATGTTTGGGCTGTAACAAACTCGTAATACACTGGGCTTTTTATGGGAGTGTCAGTGCTCCTTTAATATGTATTTATATATTTTCTGTCAGTCTGTATTACAGTGATGTTCTAAACTGTATGTAAGAGTTATTTGTCTTCGTGTCCTGCTTCCATGTGTATATTACAGAGTGATCTGAGGCAGGGGCTGGCCGGCCAACATTTTTAATTTACTCTATATTTTAAATTATTTTGAGATGTGACTAGCTGAATGTCTAAAATAAAAAAAATAAAAAATCCACAAAGTTTCTTTGCAACAAAACGAAATGTAATGCAAAACGTTATTTATTGAGACGAGCTCGACTGCCACATTTGCAGGCGCTGCGGTTTTGATTAACGAAGTACTTAGATGATGAGGCATCCAAGAAATATTGAACTCACAAATATAAAGCTTTTTACAAAAGTCATTTAGTGTAACCCTCAGGGTCATTGGAAATTACAGAGAGTTCCAATTAATGGAAGCTTGGCCAATGAGAGAATGACAATGCATTTGTTTTGAGCATGACGGCCCCAACCTTATTGCGGTGTTATTTGTGGGATCATTTTGGACCAACATTCAGTGTAATTCTGTTATGTCTATTTGAAGGAATTGATGTTGCTGCATAAGCACGGAGTATGGATTCTCCAAACTGGTTTCCCCTGAGTACTCTCAGGTTTTCTCCGAACTTCCCTCGGCCGTCTCCTCCCCTACACAGAGTGTTTTTCCTCTTCAAGCACTATTTTAGAAGATCTGAGCCACCCACTGATGTATATAACTATGAGCCAATCACTCCTCAGTATCCGAGTTATTGTTTAAAGGGCCAGTAGGCGTCCGCGCCGCTTAATTGTGTCAATTTCAAGACCTGGAAGGGTCAGTCGAGAGAAGTAGGGGTTTCCTTAGAATGAAAAGCTCAAAAATCTACGAGACAAAGCATAGTCGCCGTTCGGCTCTTTGTGTTTTCATATTTTTAATTGATTTTTGAGGTTGTTAGGACCAGTGGTTTCACATCGTACCTTTTGTTTTTCCAGGTATGTTGTCAGCATGGATCGTCCACTGCAAGTCACACGACTAACAACGACTGGTTATTCGCACACAATCTACATGAACAAGGTCAGGGGCATTCAGTGATGCTCAGCACCGCTTCTCGGTTTTTGCAGTGTTTGTGCTGGAGCGTTCATGTGACCTCTGACCAGCACTGTTGTCAACTCCATACAATTCTGTGCGGGGCTTAGCATCCGTTAATGGTTTCCATTAAACAACAGGCATGTGATGTAGCAATTGCTTTTTGTATAATTGGACAGCTTGTCGCAATGGCATATGAGTAAATGTGAGGCCACAGACTTCTTGGATTTAACGAGGTACAGTAGTTGCAAGCTGACCTGCCACGATGCTATTTTAGAAATAACATTTGAGCCTTATACATGGCTATTGCTATTTTAAAGTTTTAGTACCTTTGGTAGTGCCTGGTCTCAAGCGACTTGCTATTGCTACTATTTTCAAAACCGAATACTACTGCTACAGCTAATTTCGTGCCGAGTGACTTACAATTTATAAATATTGCATGCTGATCTAAACAGGCATTTGCAGAAGATTTTGAGTTTTAAGAAAGGAAGGAATTATGTTAAAGTAACTAGTCATGTGCAAATACTAGTGGATTTTGAGTTTGGAGCGAATTCGAAGTGAATAGTGGTTCTGGCTTAATATTTTCGAGTAGTTTCTCAGTCTCTCACTACCGTGCAGCATGCTTAAACGAAAATTCATCTGAACTCGTGAAGGTTGTCACCAACCTTCCACTTGTCCACTTTTAAGCTCAGTCAATTTTAATATAATGTAAACTACTTAATTTTCGCAAGGATCTAATTTTCGCAAATTTCACGAATCGCCTACAATTCGCAAAAGATAGGTCCCGCGAGCAATTACGGTAAAATGTAAACACATTGGAATCTATGTGGAGATCTCACCACGTCGCGAAAATTAGAACCCGCGAAATATTTAAATACTTCTTCACCTTTGACCAAAACACAAAATATTGAGCCCGCGAAAAATAAGTCGTTTAGAGTAACTATATTACCACTGGCATGTAAACAAGAGATTTGTCGCAGCTATCCTAATCAAGGAGGTTTATAAATATGCTTACTGTATGCAAATACTCTTCCTTCTATCTCAAATTTGACAACAAAAACACAAGCACTAGTAATGAATGTGGGCTATCAAGACATTGCTGCGACACTACCCAGGAAAAATAAATTTCTGCAAAAACAGTTGATTTTGAAAAATGCCATATTTACATCCACCAGCAGCTAGAGAGTATTCCTAGAAAGTTTCATTTGTTTACACTCTTAGGTTATTTTTTTATAAATTATTTTCGGTCTGCCGATGCTAAACAAAAGGCACAGGTTCGAGCACTCTGAACATGTATGCATTTGGTAACGGGACAAAAGGAAAGGCTCTGTCATTGTTTTCTACTTTGGGGATGTATTTTATAAAAGATAAGATTTTGTCACCAACATTAAAGGCAAAAAAAGTTATTAGATTTTTTAGCGCAATGTTAGCATAAAAAAAAAACTTTTTGGCATTTTTTCTTTTTACTGTTGCACTTTTTAGGCATTTTGCTGCATATCTAGTGAAGAAAAATGTTGGGTATTGGATTAATTTTTTAACAATAGTTTTTTTAAACAATGTCAGTCTGTTCCTGATAAAAACTACTATAATTTCTTTTACAATTTATGTACACAGATAAAACTTTGCACTGCATTTTGCCTCACAACTGCCAGTATATACTGTATATTTCATTCATATTAAGCAAAGGTTCAGAAGTTGACCTTTTTGGGTAGTGTACTCCCTTAACATATAGACAATTGGCACCTTAACTGGTGCCCCATCTGTGCAAGCATGTGCAGCTTGCGCATGAACATAGCTTTGGCAAGCCTGAAATTGTGCGGGCTTGTCTGCACAAGCAGAGACATGGCGGCGGCCAGGCGAGTTAGCCCTGTTGAGTGCACTTCTCATTGAGCACCTGTGCACTGCGGGGAAGCAATACCCACGGAGCTCGCGAGGTCCTCCTGTATTGCTTCCCCACAGTGCTCGCTGAGAAGGGCCCTCAACAAGGCTAACCCTAAACAATGTCAGTGTGTTCACTTGGAAAGTGATGAACACTTTGAAAAGTATCATTGTTGCAGTTCACCTCGAAGCGAATTTCGAAATGGCGTATTATTCGAAACTACTATTTGAATATTCGCACAACATTAAAGTAATTAACCATTTTTCAAAAGGTTTTTCTTTTCTGCGGTAGAAAGGCATCACTTTCTAGAAAAAATTATTCATGCAGAAGTAGTTAACCTCGAAGCTAAATGATGAAACAGTCATGCTACTATATGTACCATACTTCATATGGCAAGTTCCAAACTGCTATGCAACTGGTGCATCAATGAATCAAAGCTGATACTGTATTTACTTGATAAGAGATGCACTATTCATAAATAATGGAAGTGTGACTACTGTTTTGCTAAGCACACATACAGCCAATCGTCACTCTCTGCGTGAGAAATGTGACAAATAGCGAGAGTTAGAAAATAGTTCTCAGTGAAATAGCGATCTGTGCAAATTGCATTTTCGCATGAGTATGTTATCCTGTAAGTCGCTGGGCAATAATTTTCTATCCGTGTGCACCGCGAGAAAGTGGATGCACAGACTTTGTTCACGAACAGTGTGTGTAGGTATTAATTGAGTAAATATGGTATTTCACCGACAAGCGGCCAAGAGCGTTCATATGGCGGTTCACTCTCCACTTGGAAGTTTGAGAATCAAGGGGGTTCAGCCGACCCAGAAAGTTGGCTGCACAGCATTTCCATGCAAAGGTGGCTATTTGGGATATAGGTTCTGTCTACTCTTCGTGCTGCTGATGATGGAGAGATACTGGCAGTGGAGAAGGTGCGTGCGTTATAGGGACAAAACAAAACCAACGAAGCAACATTTTGGGTGCATGCCGTTCCAAACATTGTGTAGCAGTCGGGAAATTGCGCAAAAAAGACGAGGGAGAATGAAATGTGTACTTCGCTCGTTCTTTCTCTCTTATCCCTCCGTCAGACGTACCTTGTCTTCCTTTGTTTCTCATTCCAAAACATGCGGAGGTGGTCATAGGTTGCGGGAAGAATTTGAGAAGAAACCATCCGGAAGCACAAGAGTGGCAGCTGATGTCTCGCTGACAGATTTAGCTGCTTTAGGGCTCCAGGCCTTAGCTGAAGAAGCTATGATCACTGAAAATGTAGGAACAGAAGGGAAGTGCTTTAGTTGTCCTGCCCCCAGCACGAGCTTGCTACCTTCTACACGAAGTCAAAGCAAGGCGGAAGGCATGAAGCTCGCTCTGGAGGCTTGGTGTTCGAAAGATGCGACCTGCTGTTCTCACTGCGTCGGTGACTATAGGTGTCTGCAAAATGACGACTGGCCCTCCATGTTCCAGAAGTCACGTTTCTTCCATTCTAATGTCTCACGGAAGCTGTCGGCTAGAGACTTTGCTCCGCCGCTTTTGCATCGTTGCCTCTTTCCCTTACGGGCATGCCAGTCCCTTCGGCGTGCGGCGTTCTGGACGCCGTGTCTGCGTTGCCGTTGGCTACCGGGACGTGAGGGGTTTTGAGCAGCCAGGCTCGTGTTTCTTCCCCAGGACCTGTCCATGTTTGTGACAGTGCAGAGTAGCCTGAGCCAGCCACCTTCAAGCGGACTCTACGAGCTCAGGTACTCCGAAGAGGCTGGTCTTGCACCTTCCCCGCACCTGGTGGCTGTGCTTCTGGAACCCCCGCGTGAGTGACACCCTGCCATTGTTCCCAGATTACTATGTATCCGACGCAAAAAACTACCGTAAAATCCCGAGAGATAACCCACCTAACGTCAAGAGCAAATCAGGTGAAAATATGGAGCGGCCTAACTTTCGGTGTACAATGAAGAAAATTTTAAAACATTACTATTTTTAGGTCATGTTCCTTTCAAGCTTGTTATGGTGGCGAGGGGCAACGGAGAAAAGATGTCTGTACTTCCCAGCTAGCAACGTTCGCTTATATTCCGCCATAGCTAACTAGCCGCATTTACGCCGAGGTCATCATCGACCCCAATACTACTATTACTAGGAGTCGGGTACCTTTCGGTGTTTAAAACAAAAAGGCAAATCATGCCAAAAATAGGGGTGGGCTATCTTTCAGGGGTGGGGCATCTCAAAATTTTACGGTAGGCTCCAGGAAATTCGGTAGAATACGCTACGCCCCCGCTCTCTTTCTTCTATACTTGTTCAAATGGCTGTTTCTTTTTTTTATACTTTAACATACTGCTACATCGGTAGTGGGAAAGTTGCACCAGTTAAATATTGCTGCTGCAGCTTTTGCCAATGCAATCAGACTTGGCAGGAAAACAGTTTTCTAGAGTGCATCTACTCCCCTCTTGTGTGCATGAGGTGGCATCGGTTGATTGTCGACTTTTAGAAGTCGGAGTGATAGTGTCGCGCTTGGCCATTGTTTCAAGAATTCTGTGGTAACACTTTCTTCATGATCTTGTCGTCAGTTTGTTTCCTTAAACCTATGACGCACTTCGATTTAGACTGCTTTCTTCTTTGTGCAAGGTGGGACATGGATCGTTGCAGTGATACTCGAAAACATATATTCTTGCTTAAAGGGACAATGAATGCAATTTCGGACATCTTTTTGGCGACTCAACTGGGTTCCAGGTACGTCTCAGGCCACGTTGCCCAAATTTCAGCCGAAACCGGCGCTTGTGTGCCGCACAAATCAATTATACAGTCGCGGTAATAATCATTCCGGGATTGACTGGGGCGACGCCCCGAGAGCTGCGGGAGAAGCCAGGAGAAGCGGAGCTCACTTAACCGATGCGGTGCCAAGAAGCGCAACATCACAAGAGACGCGTCAGCGATTGGTCGAAACGAGAGATGTGCCCTCAGTCACGTTTTGGTTCGCAATTTTTAAAAATACTGTTCTAATTTCCGCTTGAATAACCATGAAAAGTATAAATCAAACCGGAAATGATTACTAAACCGTAAATAAAGCAGCATACCGTAATTGTTTTTTTCTTTGCCACGCTGGACGCGAAACGGCCAACGAGCAACTATGGCACTTCGGCATGCGGGCCGCTCATTACCGGCTGGGCGGTCTCCCTCGGGTGATGGCGGAGGCCGCCGCACACATACTCCCGTTCCGTTTGTGTTGGGTCACTGAACGGAAGCTCGAACTCGCTCGCGAGAGCGGCACTGCCGTCCATGTTGACAGATTCGACGAAACGACCGCGCCACCGCGCTGCTATAACCCACCGCGGTAACCAGAGTCTCGATCTCCTAAATACTACCGACACCGACTATTCACACTTGACGTCACTCCACACGTCACCTCCGTTTTCGGAGGACCAGAAACAAGAATGGAGATTGTTCAGTTCCAGTTGCTTTGCTTCTTTCGTAGGCACAGAAATACGCTTCACAAATGTCTAAAAAAATTTGGGCAACATGCTATGTTCCCAAGAAGCATAAAAACACCATTTAAAAAAATCAAAGAAAATTGTCTTCATTGTCCCTTTCAACTCTGAGCTCTCTCTCGCAAAAGCTTGTCAGAATGGACTTTGTTTCAGTCGAGACCAGCTTACGTCCAGTGCGATCATCCCTTCGGTGTTGTGGTTCAGGGCTATGCGGGGTGTTGAGAAAGCAGCATCGACTCTGCTTGTTGTAAGATGCTCTATTTGCGATAAACACCAAGCACAAGAGGCACACTGATATTTTCCCACGTCTATTTCCACACACAAACAGGCTGGTTGAGTTGCCAACTTGTCCAAAGCCAAGTGGGATGATCAAGATGGTTGAGTAATTCATCTCGCCGTTCCTCTTCCCCCCTTAAAAAACCCTGAAAAGAAAAAGAAAATGTTTTTTTTAACAGTCTTGTTAAAACACGTGTCAAAAAATTAATTGTACGCATAAAACAATTTTTTAGAGCAATATTGACGGCACAAGACGCCATTTGGTCGGCAGTCACCTCCTTTCCACTTGTTTTCTCTCTGCATTTCGGACACGTGGAGGACCGGCTTCGCATTCACGATTGAGATGGTCATTCTAGAATGACCCGTGACGTCATAAACTTCGCCCCGCAGAAATTCAAAAATAAATCTCTCGTCGTCAATATTGCCCTAAATTTTTTTTTCCCGTAAAATTTTTTTTGGACATGCGTGTCCCTATTAGATTGTTTAAAAAAACTTATTTTCTTTTTTCTTTTTAGGGGCCCTTTAAGGGTAGACATGGGTCTTTGAAGCCAAAAAAACAAAAAAAAGTTGTGTTTTAGAAAATGGTGATTTTGACATTACAGCTATTTTTCTTTTGATCTGCCAAGTTTCTTGTTTTGAAGAAGAATATTTGAGCCTTAAAATCACATTATAATATCTGTGTGGGCCAAAAATTCCACTGAAGCTGATGCTAAAACAACACTTTCTAATAACGCAAATATTGGACTTCTTGCGAATTTTCAGGGGGAGATCTCAGCATCTAGGGCAGAGAGAAATAAAACTTTTTTAGCAACATGTAGCTAAATATGCAAAGCATGCAACGTCGGAAGCACATTTCTTAGTATACCGTGTAGGAAAAATTTTAACTGAACTACTGTTTTACTGCTTGGTAGCCATGCATTGAGCACTGAATTTCAATGTGTTGTAAAGTCACAAATAATGGTTCAATCTAAAAATGGCTTCCAGCATTGCATTCTTCATACTTTTTGGTATGTGACGATATGTTAAAGCATTTTTTTAGAGGAATAGCTTTTCACTATTGTTTCTGGAAGCAATGTCTGTTTAATTATAATTAACCTGAGAACTAATCAACTAATTACAAAAAATTACAGTTATTTGAAATCAGCACAAAAGCCTGAACAAGCCTGTGCTGTTTCATTCGGCTTGACAAAAAATATAAGGAAGAAAGCTTCAAGACCAATGTTCACCCTTAAAAAAAGAGAATGACTGTATTTCGAGATTGCATTCACTCCACCGATGTGCTCACCTTCTAAACATAGACTATAGTTGCTGTCATTCGTGGTTTTGGACCTCTTTGTTTGTGGAATCCGTTCGGACTGTCACCTGCAATAATTAGGGGAAGTTTGAAACTGCGATGGAATTACCGTTACCTACGCAGATACCCTTTCACCGAAGGCTTTGGTCATTTTAGAATGTTAGACGTCGACAGCGGCCCTAGAACCACCTCTCTTCCTCGGACCAGGGGTGGAGCCCGGTCAGCAGGAGCCCGAGCTGTTCAGCCACGTCCTGTCGTCTGGCCACACCGTGTACGGCATGCTGTTCAAGCCGCCTCAGCTGGAAGCCGGCCGCAAGTACCCCACCGTGCTGACCATCTATGGCGGGCCTGAGGTCCAGCTGGTCACCAACTCGTTCAAGGGCATGCGGTGAGCTCCCGTCTCGAGCGGACGTTTTTTCCAGAGTCCGCGGAAGTTCCGTTCTTGCTTCGTTGTGTGGGCGCCCCAGGTTTTTCGTGCACAACATGTAAACTAAAGATTGGTTTCTCAACATATTGCACTGCAATTTACTTCAGAGGTGCAAGCAGGTGGTGCAAGTCTACTGTGAAAAAATCAAGAAATAAACTTACATTGTTTAAAAGAAGAGAAAAAAAAAAACTGTTCTGGGCAATCTATGCCACCAATTGCTCGCTGTATAGAGGTGGGAGCATGTCTTGTTCTAATGACTCTCATGGCAGGTCTGTTAAAATACTGAGGAGAGGGTATTGCTTGATATTGAACTACCGTAATATCCCGAGTCATCGCCCATCCCCGAGCCATCGCCCACCCCATTTTTTGGGCCAATATCGATTTCCGAAAAAACACCGAGTCATCGCCCACCCCTTCAAATACCCCAGCGCGGAGTCGGCGATCCGCGAACACTCATCCTACCCGAATGACGCGGCCGCGGACCTTACAGTTGAAGGACGTCCGTGACAAAGTAAAACGAAGGAGGGAAAGACACTTCTTTTTGTTTACGAATTTCCTCCGTGAGTGACCCCAAAGTGGTCGTGTATCCGTGCAAAAAGAAAAACGACGGAGATAACAAAATAAGAGTTTGTTAATGTAACCGCGGAGTGTTAGGTCAAAGTCTGTCTCCGCCGAAGTAAGGTCACCGCGAACCCGCTCCTTCTTCCCGCCCGTCGCGACCGCGGTTGTGCAATATTTTAGGCAATTCTAACGCGTAAATAAAGCTTTGCTGGAACGCCCTACACAGACGTACACAGACACCAAACAAGAAAGTTGCGCAAGAGCTTGCAATTGACAAGGCGCCCGACTTGGCCCGACGCCAAAGTATTTGCCAACGCGACCGCCGGCTTTCCCGCTTTCCCAGCATTGCTCTTGGTCGCTTCTTTGGTCCGCTCGCTCGCTCGCTCGTTGCGCCTGGTCGATTTTTCTATTTTCTTGTAGACTTTTCTTTCTCTTTTTTTTACTAACTAGGAGAACATAGTGGTGACAATCTTTCACGGAACAAACGTTCCCCCTATATGCAGATCGGCGGTGTTTCTAGCGCGTATGCAAGCACCGGACTTCGCTATAGTAAAATATTCTTTCGTGAGCATTTTTTTCTATAAAACAATGAAACTAAATCGAGTTTTGAGTTTGATGTATCTCTTCTGCATCATCGCTACCGTATTTACCCGAAAATAGGTCGACCACGAGAATAGGTCGACCCCTATTTATTGAGCCCACCGAGAATAAAAAAAAATAATTCAAATATAGGTCGACCTTTCTTTTCTTTTTTTTTTTTAAGGAACAGGGGAAAGTTAGGGCAAAAGAAACAAACCTTTATTTACAGCACTCTCAGCTAAATCACAGGGCGATGTCAAAAACTTATTCATCGTCAGAACTTCCGGACATATCATCGTCCGAAGCTTCGTCAGCTTGGTAGACATATCCTCACAAATTGGCAACAATACTGACAATACCTCACTGACACCGTTGTAAAATGACGACAAGAAGAAACGAAAGAAGGTGGAGACGGGCGAGCAACGAAAGACCAAATACAAAGACATGAGCAACGCTGCGAGCCCCGTGAGCAACACGCTACCCGCCAAAAAAAAACAAACTAAAGTACCTCCAAATTTTTCTTTCTTTTTTTTTTTTTTTTTCGTGCGCGTTTGCGACGGAGAGGAATGGAGCGCATAGGAGGGCAAAGTGCATGGCGCATCGCGTTCCTCTCTCTCCCCTTCCCCCTTGCCCAGCGAGGGGAACGCTACAGGCATGATGGCGAAACCCGACGCCGAGGGTATGTGCGCGAGAGCCGTAGCGGACACGGGCTGTCGGCTGCTGCTGTTCGGTTGTTTTTGTGCATCAAAAGCTTTTTGAAACAAGAAGCCGCGCGGCTCTACCGCCACGCCGGCTAGGTGATTGATAGCTCCATATCCTCTGTAGGGTTTCAAATTTTGGTCGCGAATTAGGTCGAAATTTTTTGGTCACGATTATAGGTCGACCCTTAATTTTTGACAACATTTCCGAAAAAAAAAAGGTCGACCTATATTCGAATAAATACGGTAGATACGCAGAGAAAAATAGGCGGTTTTTTCCGCTTTTTTTCAAGTGTTTGTGCTCACCCACCGAGACATGGCCCACCCCACTTTTTTAATGGATTTCAGGCGGTAGGGGGGTGGGCGATGACTCGGGATATTACGGTAGTATAACTTTGTCCCAGTAAGAGCTCTCCTGACATATAGCAAGCAGATTTAGAAATCCCCTCGATTAGGATGGCTGCGACAAATTTGTCGGTTACATGTGACAGTTTATATAGTTATATTAAAATTAACTGAGCTGATAAGTGGACAATTGGAAGCTCAGGAACGACCTTCACGAGTTCAGCTAGGTTTTCGCTTAATGAAGCATGGGGCAGCAATGAAGGGCTTGGAGAAACTATTCAATTTGAAAACATTCGGCCAAAACCTCCATTCGCTTCGAACTGAAAATCCCCTATTCACACATGCCTAATTTATTTTGGGATGCATAGAACGTGTGTGTGAAGCTCCTGTTTTTAGACTACTGCTCATACTGGGAGGGCAAGACTGAGCATTGATTGCACCAATGTGGTAGTATTTCCTCCGTGGCAGGATGTAAAAACGTCTTGTTCTCGTGGACAGGCATTTACGACAGCACCTCCTAGCGTCCGAAAACTATGTGGTGGTGGTGGTGGACTGCAGAGGATCCAGGCATCGTGGGGTGGAGTTTGAGAGCTACATCAAAGGGAGGATGGTGAGTGAGCAGGGGCCACCCTGTGTTACCCACTCTGGTGACTGAAGCTGTGGTGCTACGTTAAATCTGTTCTGTGACAGCACATGCTCCGAAGGTCTTAAAGAAACACAAAAGCCTTTTACAATTTTTTTTTTTTTTTCTGCACATTTGAATGCGTATTTAAATGTAAGAAAATATACCTAAAAAAGCCGAAATCAAAATTGGTTGCACAATCGCTTCTAACTCAAAATCTGTTTCGCGATGTGAATATTGCATTAAAATATTATCTTCTTGGGAGGCAACCCTAATATGGTGACGGTAGATGTTCTGCCGAGGCACGTAAAAGGAATATATTTGGGGTTCGATATTCCTTCAATACAACCTAGTTGTCTAGGAAATGGCTAGTATATGTCATTCCATAGCTTTTCTCTGACTCGTGGCAGCAGAGAAAAGCTATGGAGGCGGTGTTTGACATGTGGTTTGCGAGGTTTGGGCATAGCATAATGTCTTTGGTAGTTTAAAAAGGTTGCCATTCAGGACTACTATTTCGCATGAAACTGACCGAGTCGGACTTTGCAGGCTGTGTAAGGTTCAGCTGGAAAGTGTTTGAAATGAACTGACTTTTCTACTTAATAAATTACCCTATATATACCGTAAACAACCTAATTTTTGTGAGGACCTAGTTTTCACGAACTTCATGAATCGGCTACAATTCGCGAAAAATAGGTCCCGCGAACAATTCCGGTAAAATGTAAACACATCGGAATTTATATTGAGATCCCACCGCATCGCAAAAATTAGAATTCACAAATTATTCCCAAAACTTCAGCTTTGACCTAAATCGTGAAATATTGAACCCGTGAAAAATAAGTTGTTTACAGTATATATATATATATACAGTGTAGACCGCATATAACGTATGTCGCGGGAGTCGCGAAAATCCGCACTATAAGCGGTACCGCGCTATAATCAAAACATCAATTTTTCAGGCCAAAATACATGCCATGAGACAACTTACCTTTGTAAAAGAATTTATTTTATGTTAGCTGAAAAATAAAGCTTAGTTTGAGGAAAGCCTTTATTTCACCAGACTAGTACACTTCTCTCTCAAGTGTGTCACACATTTTGAAAGAAATGAGCGACTTTTGCCTAGCGCAGCCTTTTAACGGCGTCGCGGGTTGCGGACTGACGTTGCAAGCAATCAGGATTGCTAACCCTAATCACTTTTCTCCGGTGATGAAAACGCATGAAAATTCGCATCCTTTATATGGTACGTGCCAGTAATACCTTCAACTTGAGCACAGGCATGAAATGCTCCAAATAAGAAATCCGGGCGATGTTCAAAAACACAAATGCTTAGAAATCACCACTGTAGTCGAAGTAAACAAACACGACGACACGGGCGTTTCTGCCGTCTTGAGAGTGCCGCCACGACATCGCCGCACGAGTAGGTGGATCTTCCCTTCTAGTACATGCCGGGTTATCATAGCGACACACAACGAAAATTCACAGTCAAGGATAGCGCTTTTACGCGCAACGACGAGCTTCCACCACGCCGTCCACGCCGACCACTGATCTCTATGACAATTGCTGGATCGCGCTTCCCCACACCGAAAATGAGGCCACCGTCGGCCACCTTACGAGATATGCTCTAGCACTGTCAAGCCTAGACAGTTACCATGATTACCATGTGTAGGTCACGTGAAAACAGAGGCAAAGGTCACGTGACCGCCGCCTTGACAACGCTTCAGCGGAACTCGTAAGATGGCCGACCGGTCGCCTGAATCGAACAGTGAACTCGAAGCGGGGAAGTGCGATCAAACAATTGTCATTGAGATCAGTGACGCCGACGATCACAACCGACGCCATGTTTGCGGATGGAAGAAGCCGGCCCGCGACCGGCATGCAACACGCGCGAACACTTCTCCTCGACCTGCGATTGGTCTATTGTTGCGGTTGTTTCCAACGCAGCGGAGAGACGCACACACGTGAACGACAAGTGTGCGTGTCCCTCCGTTGCTATGGCAACTGAAGCCTCTCTCTTCGCTTCTCCCCGCTTCTTCGAGCCGTGCTTCGAGCCACCCACCTTGCCCTGCGAATGCCGCTTGCGGCTAGCGCCGTTATCTAGTGTCGCACAAAGAAGCGTGCTCGCTGCGCCGGTCGGTCGGCGCGGTCGGCGAACTGTTCCAGAAACCGCACTATAACCGGTATTTCCCTTCGAGCGCCTGCATTTTAAGTGGTATGTAATTACATAGAGTTCTATGGGAGGCGAACCGGTGGTTTAAAAAAGCCGCATCATACCCGGTCCTGCACCATAAGCGGTTACGTTGTAAGTGGTCTATACTGTATATATATATACACACATTTTATTATGCGAGTGTTATCTTTTAGAAACCCTCCCACCCTGTGCACATTTTGCATTTGGAATTAAATCTTGGTAACTCTTTTTTGCTCCATGGGAAAAAGTGATGTTTTGAGGGATGGACAAAACATTGTAAGAACTAATCAGCATATGTCTCATCATGATACATCAAAATGTTGCCAATAAGCTGCTCTTCAGAGGAGAAAGGTTACAATACGCATGAAAAAATATTTTCAGATTTAATTGTTGAACTTGCAATTTAAGCAAAAATGAGAACATAAAGTAAAACATTTGCAACTATACTTTGTGTCACTAGTTGTGTGCAATGCAGGCGAAGGCAGCGCAAAGCAAAGAGAGAAAATGTGAGCACAGGAAAGGCGGGACGGGAGAGGAGGGCAATGGAGGGTGCAGACAGAAAGGGGAAGCATTAGGAAAGTTTGAGAGGAGAGGAGGAGCTAGTGCTTGCCCTAACTCCCCTTGCCTGGCGTTGCCTTCACCTGCACTGCACGCAATTAGTGACGCTGAGTAGTATAATACCAAATCCTACTTGTGCAGACATCCGCCAACCCGTTGTGTGGCCTCGCTTGTGATAGAGTCCCTGGGCCTGCCTTTCAGGCACGGAATGTACCTATATAGGTGTGGACACTGCGTACGTCACAGCTGCCAGATAAAGCCCTCTTACTTGTTTAGGTTGCGAGCGGCACCACCAGATTACTCTCTGATTAGCGACTAGTGGTAGCCTGTCAGGTTTTCTGTGCTTCTCTATGGGATTTGTTTTTAAAGACCTTTTCTGAATGTGCCACGTCATGTAGAACTTGGCACTGTGCTACGCACCGAGCTTAGACAGAGCTTTGTCATTGATTCTGGTTTTATGCCTCAACGGCGGCAAGAACAGTTTTAGGTACGCATTGAAGCGGAGAGATATCTGGTGCTTTTTTTTAAGCTGGCGTCTGTCGAGGTCAGAGCAAGTGTGCCAAGCGGAAAGTGCATGGGCAGAGGTGCCATGGCAACGAGATAACTTTTGTCTTTCTTTGTTGTTTCTCTTTTCCCCGGTTGCGCTTTCTGACCGGCAGAGATGCTGTCGAAACAGAGAAATGGAGTGCGTGCTAATGGTACTTTATCTGCTCGATCGCGTCGCAGCATTTTCCGTGCTGTGTGTTCGCACCTATATTCTCACACCATGCTTTCAGGGCACCGTGGAGATTGCCGACCAGGTGGAGGTGCTCCAGTGGTTGGCCGAGTCGACGGGATACATCGACCTGGAACGGATTGGCATCCATGGCTGGTCGTACGGTGAGTGAAGGGCACCCTTTCCTCCGGCTCCTCGCCTCTCCGGTTGGGAGTCAAGTTGGGGGTCAAGTCAGGTATACCTTTACGAAAACAATATCGAGGTTCCAGCACTTTTACATCCATTTGAAACGATTGTTTGGAAATTTGACCTCTGCTTTCTCAGTCACGCCCAATGTCGTTGGCGGAGCTGCACCTCTATATCTATATCTAATTTTGCGTACTTCTTGAGAGACATTTTTATTTTGACACTTGACACTTCAGTAGACCTTATCAGAAGTCGGAACATTCTACGACACTCTCAATAAATTCAATATATTTCCGCATCGACAGAGGTGGATAGGAAAACATGATGGCCTAAGTCAAGTTACCTCGAATTCAAAAATCGAAGGCGACATATATGGACCAACTTGTTAGAGTCAGTTCCCTGCTTTCTGCTCTACATTTTTGGAAGAAGTTTGTGCAGTGATAAGTATAATCACTGAAAGAAAAAAGTTAAAGCCGTTTACCACTCCCTGTAACGCCGAATTGGAGCGCAGCTCTTGAGGAGGAGGAGGGAAGGGTACTGAGGGCCACGGTTTCTCGGGGGTCACGTGACATAGGGGAAAGGGTCACACATGACCCCCCCCCCCCCCCCCCCGAGGGCACGTGACCTTGTTGGGGTCACGTGACCTCAGGGGAGGGGGTCCACGCGGAGGGGGAGTCACGTGACCTCAAAAAGGGGTCACGTGACCTCAAAAGGGGGTCACGTGACCTCGGGGAGGGGTCACGTGACCAATATTTCCCCGCTAGATTTAGCGGGGAAATTTTTCCACTAGGTTTAGTGGGGAAATTTTTTCCGCTAGATTTAGCGAGGAAGTTTTTCCGCTAGATTTAGCGGGGAAATTTTTCCGCTAGATTTAGCGGGAAATTTTTCCGCTAGATCTAGCGGGGAAGTTTTTAGCTAGATTTGGCGGGGAAATTTTTCCGACAGATTTAGCGGGGAATTTTTTCCGCCAGATTTAGCGGGGAAGTTTTTCCGCTAAATTTAGCGGGGAAATTTTTTCCGCTAGATTTAGCGGGAAATTTTTCCGATAGATCTAGCGGGGAAGTTTTTAGCTAGATTTGGCGGGGAAATTTTTCCGCCAGATCTAGCGGGGAATTTTTTCCGCCAGATTTAGCGGGGAAGTTTTTCCGCTAAATTTAGCGAAATTTTTTCCGCTAAATTTAGCGGGGAAATTTTTCCGCTAGATTTAGCGGGGAAAATTTTCCGCTAGATTTAGCGGGGAAATTTTTCCGCTAGATTTAGCGGAGAAATTTTTTCCGCTAGATTTAGCGGGGAAAATTTTCCGCTAGATCTAGCGGGGAAGTTTTTCCGCTAGATTTAGCGCTCGGAAATTTTTCCGCCAGATATAGCGGGGAATTTTTTCCGCTAGATTTAGCGGGGAAGTTTTTCCGCTAGATTTAGCGGGGAAAATTTTCCGCTAGATCTAGCGGGGAAGTTTTTCCGCTAAATTTAGCGGTGAAATTTTTTCCGCTAGATTTAGCGGGGAAATTTTTTCCGCTAAATTTAGCGGGGGAAATTTTTCCGCTAGATCTAGCGGGGAAATTTTTTCCGCTAGATTTAGCGGGGAAAATTTTCCGCTAGATCTAGCGGGGAAGTTTTTCCGCTAGATTTAGCGGGGAAATTTTTCCGCTAGATCTAGCGGGGAAATTTTTTCCGCTAGATTTAGCGGAGAAAATTTTCCGCTAGATCTAGCGGGGAAGTTTTTCCGCTAGATTTAGCGGGGAAATTTTTCCGCTAGATTTAGCGGGGAAATTTACCCATAATGCACCGCGCGGTTACTCCGACGGCGACTGCGACGCCGCTCAAGCCGGGAACGGGCGCCTAAGAGCTGCGCTCTAAAAACCTCAAAGGCTATGAAGGGCAGAGTGTATGAAGGCCATGGGAGTGAAAGGGCATACATGGTGCCACGCATGAGACAGGAATGCCTCCAGCCCGGGACCAGGCGGGTCCACGGAGCAGAGCAAGAGACGTGCGCACAGATCGGAGGTTGGAGCAAGGCCAGCGTTATCTCGCTGGTCGTGAAACGTGACAAAGCGGTACAGAGATTTGAGACTTGATGCATGGCTGATGACGCCTGTGGTTGAGTGGCACCATCTATTAGCGGTAACACATGACACGACCCGCAGGCACCGTCTGCCTAACAATGGCATACTGGAGTTCGCTTTTTCTGGTGTGGAGATTGTGCGTATAAAGCTGCCTAGATTCTCTAATGCCAGCGTTGGAGCTTCGGGTTGGGGTCTGGGCGGAGTGGACAGACTAACTTTTGAAAAGGATCTATTCAGTCTAAACGCCCATTCACGTACATTCATCTGATAAGGTCAGAGTATTTCTTGTAATCCCTTACGACGAGAGAATGCACTGGCACCAGCTATGAGGTGACCCTGGAGCTGCATTTCACTAGAGCAATGGTTTTTTGATATTTGCGAGATCAAATGTACATAGTATATATAAAAAATGGCATTATATAATATTGTCAAACAACTTTTAAGCAAAAAAAAAAAAATTATATGAAAAAAAAAAGAAAAGAAAAAATATATGGCAAATTGCTGGGCAATTGTGTTGCTTACGTGAAGCAATTGTGTTGCGTACGTGAAGCACCACAAACGTTTATATCATCGTTTAGCACACGACTAGCGTCTTCAGCCAGATGCCTACATTCACAGTGCTCTTGATCAGATAATTCAATGCGTGACATGTGTACACTTGAAATGTAAAACCTGGTGATCTCCCAGAACCTTCTAACCCACTCTCCCATTCCCACCTCGCCTCCTATCCTGCCTCTCCTCCTTACTCCAGGCCTGGTCACAATCAGCATCGAGCACTGCACTCCTCCTCTCCCACTCGTCAGCCAATCAGTGTCGAGCCTTTCGGCCACGCTTTTATCCAGGCTTAACTTTTGGGCTTCACAAAATGCCAAACACCTAGCCAAAGGACCTTTCACGTTGATATACGGAAACTGCAAGTGTTTTACGGTTACCCGATGGATGGTTTAAGTTTGTTCTCTCGTCGTAACAGAGCTTAAGAGGTTTCAAGATCCACGGTTGTAAGCAGTCGGTAGTGTGTGGACTAGAGTCACTGTATGGGTTCCCAGAATAACAAAACTCCGAAGGTTCCTTTTCGAACCGTGGCGCGGCGCTGAAATTGAAACCATGGCGCCACCATCCTGGGTCTACGCGTCGACGGGGGTATGAAGGCAAAGTGACATGCATTGGAGCGTGTTGAAAAACGTTTATTTAAACTGGTCGATGGGCTACACGAAAGCTTCTGAAGTGCTGTGAGTAGCTTCCGTAGATAATTAACATTACATTACATAATTTGCTCTCTCACCCTTTTTTGCTTGGTTGCGATGACAAGTCCAGCGCCAAGAGTCGTAGGGACTGCGCTCTGTTTGAGGAGCTTTCTGCCATCGGCTCTGTGCGTTTCGAATTGAGACTCTTCAAAGTGATCCTAGAAGTCATTGTAATAAAAAGATGCAGCATGTTGAGGCAATCTGAACGGAAAACACTGCAATCTAAATGCTATTCAGAACCATTTCACGAAACTACGAAAGTAGCGAGAATATAAACTGCATGAAAGCAAATTTTCCCAGAGCCACAAGGACCCGCTTTCGCTCGGTACGTCACTCCAAGACGCAACCGCATGCACGCGACCTTCGATGGATTAGCAAAATTTGCTACACATCTAAAATTGAGCGACGCGATATGCGACAGCGAGAGATCTCACCCAACACCGGCTTAAGCTTAGCTCGTCGCTGACGAAATCGCAAGAGCGTCGCTCGTGCGAACCCAAACACAGTTGACGCTTGTTCGACTGTGAGGCAACGAGCGATACACGGAATGAACCTGCTGTAATCGGCTCTCGCCTCACAAAGTTTGCTTTTTGTGGTGGGCTCGAAATCTTTCCATTTTATTATTGCCAGCCAAGCCTTCTTCCTCTGTCTTGCAGTTGCGTTCTTTCCAAACGGGATCCGCAAGAGTCTCTTTCCATCCTCCGACCTGCTGCTGCACCCTAAAGTGCAACGAGCAGGCGTTGCGCCACTAAGTACACAACCTCCTTGCTTTTGACGTCAGTAACCGCGTAAAAAAGACTGTGCGTAAACGCACATTCAATGAGCAACAGGCTTGCATGTGTGCAGCTGTTTGCTGGACCCAAGATGGTGGCGATTAGAGCCGCTTAAAGCACTGATGGAGGTGAGTCTAGCAGTGCTTGTGTCACGTGATCGCTATCGTCCAATGATGTTCACCAAGCCAAAACATGATCGGCTAGAGTGAGTATGTTGTCGGCGAAACGCAAAAATAAAAGGAATGCGTTACTGTGGGAACCCATACAGTGACTCTAGTGTGGACCATGCTTAAAACCTAGCCGCCTAGCACCTCGTTCACTAGCGCAACAGGGTGTGGCATGCTGCAACTGCTCCTCCGTGCGGCCGCCGAACCGACGGCCGGGTTCCCCGCAGGAGGCTACCTGTCCCTAATGGGGCTGGCTCAAAGGCCAGACATCTTCCGGGTGGCTGTGGCTGGGGCCCCTGTCACATCGTGGAGCCTTTACGACACGGGCTACACGGAACGCTACATGGACACCCCCGCCCACAATGCCGCGGGGTACATCAGGGGATCCGTGCTCTCCTACGTCAACCAGTTCCCCACCGAGTGAGTGCCGGCGTTCTAGCTCTGAGCGCTTCCGTGTCCGAGTTTGAGATGTTGCCTCAATAGAGCATGCAATCAGCAATGCTCTTGAAATGGGGACTTCTCTTGCTGTGCCCTTGGCAGCATCAAAGCAGACTACAATACTATGAAGGCTCGTTTTCGGAGTCACTGCTGCAGCAAAAACTGCGGCTCCTTGATCACAAGTAGTCTTACGCAGCATCGTATTTTGTGTTACCACTGCCTCTGTCGCAGTATTTGGGGAAAGGAATCATTTTTTTTGTGTGAGGAACTCTGAAAGCAGTGTACTTTTTTTTTTTTGTATAAACTGCTGCTGTAGTGTCTTGCAGGTGACTGGGATTTACCGATGTTCCATTTGCAGGCAGAACAGGTTGCTCATAGTCCACGGCCTGATGGATGAGAATGTGCACTTCACCCACACAAGCCAGCTAGTCAGTGCTCTGGTGAAGGCAGGCAAGCCATACCAGCTGCAGGTGAGCTCATGTCTACCTTGTTTCTGGGGCATGATTTGTTTTTACAGAAGTCAAGGTGAGGTCCAGGGGTGGTTGTAGTGGAACGGGATGGTTAAAAGTGGCCTTATGGCTTTTGTAACATGACTTTGTTAACATGGCTCGTAAACACAACTTTGTAAACATGGCTTTGTATACATGGTTGCAAAACATGGTTTGGGACACTTTGCAAACATGGCTCAGGTGATTATGCCAGCTAGTGCAAACGTGACATGGATGCTTTTTCACATTGTGCGTCAGGCTAGCAATAAACACAAAATTTTACCATCTTAGTTTGTGCTTCGCACTGCCATATCCCAGTATCTTGGTACCCAGAAAAGCAGCTTTTCAGTCACGAAAGGAATCCAGAAGGTGTCCAACAATGGCTCAATTGTGCTTACTGCGTCGTGCTCCATACAATTTCCGTAGCCTAAATCCCTAAGATATAAAGCCATCACGAGGAAATAAACGAGCCTGCACGAAAATATTTGAGTAAATGCAATATCTCTTAGTTGGATGGTAGTGGAGACTGGTTTGCACACTCATGACCGAGTGCCTCAACTAGAATCTCTTAAGACGAAATGGCGCAATGCTTTCACCTATTGGGTAGCTGTGGAACCCTTGGCATTTCCGTATGTTTCTCTCTTTTTTTTGCACATTATTCTTTCTCTTTTTAGCCCGAAAATCTTTTGACAATATTATAAATTACGATTTCTCATAAATAGTACATACATTCGATCTCATAAATACCGCAAAACCTTCGCTCTAACAAGATGCAATTCTAGGGTTGCCTCACAGATGGCGCCAGCATGTCGGTGCGTTCTCTCGTCGTAAGAGATCACAGGAACTCGGTCATAAGCAAACGCGAGCGCGCAAACAGACCTTTACGGGCCACTAATCGCGATTAGGCCCGACCGGATGGAAACTGTCGGGGCCACCCTGACCGATCCGGCGATGGGCGCAGGTGTACCCCGCCGAGCGACACAGCCTGCGCCACCTGGACACGAGCGAGCACTACGAGACCACGCTACTCAGCTTCCTGCAAGACCACCTGTGAGCGGGTCACACCCGTCGTTGCGGAGGCCCCTGGGGCCGTCCCTCGCCCCGCCGTCCCCGGCCTCGACGCGCGGGGGTGTATGCGTGGTGGTCGGGCTGGCCTCCCGTTGAAACGGGTGTCGTGTCTCGGACGCGGGGCGTCACCCCTCCGGCTCTCGAAGCGTCCCCCCGCTTCTCTCGACGACAAACTTGCCCGTGCGCCCGCCAAAAAGCCGTCGGAATGCCGCCCCCGACCCCCACAGACCGGAACGGTGCCGCACGCACGTCCCGCTAGTCACTGAGCGGCACTACACCGTTTCTGGAACTCTCTGGAGAAAAAAAAGAATTGCGTAGTTTTCGTTTCTTGACTCGGGAAGTGTATAGGAAGTATGGATCCAGCTAGACACTCTATCCGGGATGCTGTGCTGTGAAAAGCGAACGAAATGTTCTTGTAGCATCCTTCGAAGCTTCCACTAAAAGTGCCCAGGCCATGGAGCGTGCCGAGAGTCGCCGACAATTCTGACGCGACGACGCAATGTCCTCGAGACCAGACGCCCGGCATGCTTGCTTGGCAGAATATCGCTTTGCATGTTCGGTGGCATTACTACGGCTATCTCGGCTGGTTTTGTAACTGGTCGGTGGAATTAAAAGTGGCTTTCTTTAGGGGATACGATCCTCTAGAATGTTGCCTCGATTGGCCTCTCGGAGTGTTGGTGTGGGTGGTGTGTCGGCAGTTTATTCTTTTCGGTATCTGGAAATTAGTACAGACTTCATCAATCCAGAAATTGGGTTCGGATGCGAGATACTACTTCTGGCTGTGTGGTCTGCTTCGGCAGCTTTTCTTTCACGATGACTGTGATTCAGATCGGAGGCATTTGGTCACCTGTATGTATGTTCTGCAAAATATATATGAGTGTATGAACAAGAAATACAAACAATGCTTTAGTACTGTGCCTTTCACTTTTCCTGTGGTTGGGACGGGTGTCACCCCGTGTTCGATGAATTTTAATAGTTTTGCCTGGACGTAGGCCATCTATATGCCGAGTGCAGACCAACTCGCATATTTTTGTGCCAAGTTTTCAGGCTATTATTGCCTGCATAGAAGCAGGGGGAATAAAGTTTTGGGGGGATGGGAGGGAAGAAATTTATGTTTTTGTAAAATCATGCAGGCTATCTCTTTGCCCTCGTCAGAAAAAGAGAAAAAATAACCGTTTCACCGAAGAATCTGTTTTTTTTTGGCTCGGGACGATTCTGAAAAGAGATGCAGCGTCACGGACGAAACCTGCATCCTTTTTCTGCTAAATTTAACGGACAAGTTTCTCCACTAAATATAGCAGACAATGTTTCCGTTAGAGCCTTTTTTAATCTCCAAACTCGAAGGGCGCGGATTTTTCGTTCATGGGAGTTTGACCAGAGCCTAGGCATTTTTTTAACGGAGTGCAAGTTTGCGTAGTTTGAAAGCATCGTTCTCAGAATTTACGAAGAAAACTTTGACCTTTGAACTTGGGCTCTCTTCTAACGCAAATAACTCTGGCAGCCAGGTATTGTTCCCTTCAGCACCATTCGTGATGTGCAAGGCTATTTATAACTAGGTTTTCGTGCTTTCTGGGTTTATTTTTATTTTTTTATTTCAGGGGTTTATTTTTTCTCACAGATTTTTTTGTGCTTTTCTATATCATTATTAAGTGTTGGACAAGCAAAACGGGGAGTTGAAAAAAAGAGGACAGCACACAGGCATGGGATCCTCCCACCTCTAGGGAACATGCACATGGCCCGAATATTTGCGGAACGTCCCAATACCGATGAGAGAGGGAAACAAGATAAAGGGCGTGATTCCCAAAGGAAGAATTGGCCTTGTGGGTAGTTCAGTGGCGGTTGTGTTCCTCATCAGCACGCGATAAAGTTGCAGATAAATACCTCCTCCCGTGAAACTTTGAGTTTTCCTATTCAAGGGCTGCTGCAGTTTGAGGTTTTTTCAGTTTTTTTTTTTGATACTGAAACAACCGGCTCGAGCGTTATTTTTCGGCTGGGGTTTATCGGTATGTACACCGATCCCCCATTTCTAAAGGCCGACCTGTCTCAGCTCAGAACGTGGAGCGAAAGCTTGCGCTGCGGGACTTCCTGGGTTCTTACCCCACCCCCTGCCTGTTATGATCTGGATGTGCTTTGTACAGGCACGTGTTTGTGTAATCACTACTGTGTGGTGCACGTTAAACACCTCAGGTTAGCGGTCGTACTGCACTGGCTAAATTTCTTATCTAGAACTGAGAGACAGGTCACTCGTTGAGGCATATCAACTTCATGGCTGTCTAAACATACAAGCAACACAATTTTTTACCCTGTTCCTAAGACATGATGTGTAAAGTCAACTTGCAGTCCTAAAAATATTGTGCAGTTGCTATAAGCAGCCTACTTGAGACAATGGTAAAGACATCCTTATAAGAAAATTGGATCTTCAAAATAAAGACGTTCTTTATAAGTTATTTACGGACTAAACTTGACCACTTGGATTTTGATTAGTTTCTCTTATATTAAAGGCCTGAAAGTAATAGGCGAGCTGGTAAATCTTAAACACAACATAATCGTAACGAGAAAAGAAAGAAAAGGCACAAAAAGGATACACGCACATTGTCTTAGAGATGGTGTGTGTGTGTCCTTATAAGTCTGCACCGTTTACGAACAAGCCTTTGTTTGCCCTCACCAGGTGCACCAGATTCGCTTGAGGGGAAGTGCATGCGCTGGCAGCAGCGCCCTCTCAGCGGCATGACATCATTGCCCTGTGGCGATTTATGCTTTGTAGTCCTGGGTTCTAGTTAAGTTTATCAATAATGACACAGTCCTTCATTCTAGCTACGAGCAGATCTAGATAATTTCAAAGGCCTCGTACATTCTGTGATCATGATGTCACGAATAGGACTTCTAATTTGAACATGATTTACTATTAGCAGCTTTATGCCATGCCTTTGTCGATTTTTTTTTCCTTAGATTTTTCAAGGCTGCAGAAAAGTAAGCGTACCAGAGCATACGATTCACAGATGGAGCTATAAGAGCCCTATGTAGCTATCTGTAACAAGTAATATTACAACAAAATGTCAAACTGTTATAGCCCTTTAGAAACTGAATGGGCAATCGACATAAAAAGTAAAAAAGATGAAAAATTTAAAGACATTCACAATTCCCTGTATTGCCGAATTAGAGCGCAGCTCTTGAGGAGGAGGGGAAGGTACAGAGAGGAGGGTATGCCCCTGCTCCTCGTTCTTACCCTCCTCTCCTGCTCCCCTCCCTATTAGCGGGAAGTTTTGGCTAAATTTTTTGTTAAATTTAGCGTAAAAAATTTCCCACTAAATTTAGCGGGAAACTTTCGGCTAGATTTAGCGGGAAACTTTCGGCTAGATTTAGCGGGAAACTTTTTCCACTAAATTTATCAGGCAAATTTCCTATAAATTTAGCAGGGAACTTTTCCCACTAAATTTAGGGGGAATTTTTTTTTCTGCTAAATTTAGCGGGGAATTTCGTATGCTAAATTTAGCAAGGAATTTTTTTTTTTTTTTTGCTAAATTTAGTGGGGAACTTTTTGCACTCAATTTTTCGGGGAATTATTTCCTCTAAGTATAGCAGGAAATTTTTTTCTGCTAAATATAGCAGGGAATTTTTTTAATGCTAAATTTAGCAAGGAATTTTTTTTTTAACTAAAGGGCACTTCTGGTAAATGTTTAGGGGAATATTTTTTGCTAAATTTGGTGGGGAAAGTTTGCTAAATTTATCAAGGAATTTTTTCTGCTAAATTTAGCAGGGAAATTTTTGGGCTAAACTTAGCCGGAAATTTTTCCACTAAATTTAGCCGGGAAAATTCTCAGCTAAATTTAGGGGGGAATTTTTCCCACTATATTTAGTGGGACCATTTTTACCGCTAAATTTAGCAAGAAATGTTCCTCTAAAGTTAGCGGGGAATTTTTTCCGCTAAATTTTTGGGGGAAATTCTTCCGCTAATTTTAGCGGGGAATTTTTCCCGCTAAATTTGGCGTGGAGTTTTTTTCTGCTAAATTTAGCGTGAAATTTCTTCCCCTAATTTTAGCGGGGACATTTTTTTTTTGCTAAATTTCGTGGAGAATTTTTTCCACTACATTTTCTGCTAAATGTAGTGGGGAATTTTTTCCGCTGAATTTAGCAGGGAAATTTTTCTGCTAAATTTAGCGGAAAAAATAGTGTGCAAATTCTTTACTAGGTTGAAATCGAAAACTGCTTTTGCGTCATATTCTTAGTTCTTGAGTTTCTTCTAATGGACCAAAGATTTAGGAGGGGATTTTTTTCGATAAATTTAGCGTGAAATTTCTTCCCCTAATTTTAGCGGGGACATTTTTTTTTTGCTAAATTTCGTGGAGAATTTTTTCCACTACATTTTCTGCTAAATGTAGTGGGGAATTTTTTCCGCTGAATTTAGCGGGGAAATTTTTCTGCTAAATTTAGCGGAAAAAATAGTGTGCAAATTCTTTACTAGGTTGAAATCGAAAACTGCTTTTGCGTCATATTCTTAGTTCTTGAGTTTCTTCTAATGGACCAAAGATTTAGGAGGAAATTTTTTTCTGCTAAATTTAGCGTGAAATTTCTTCCCCTAATTTTAGCGGGGACATTTTTTTTTGCTAAATTTCGTGGAGAATTTTTTCCACTACATTTTCTGCTAAATGTAGTGGGGAATTTTTTCCGCTGAATTTAGCGGGGAAATTGTTTTGCTAAATTTAGCGGAAAAAATAGTGTGCAAATTCTTTACTAGGTTGAAATCGAAAACTGCTTTTGCGTCATATTCTTAGTTCTTGAGTTTCTTCTAATGGACCAAAGATTTAGGAGGGGATTTTTTTCGATAAATTTAGCGGGGAGTTTTTTTGGCTAAAGATAGCGGGGAAACTTTTTCTTCTAAATTTAGCGGAGAAATTTCTCCGTTAAATTTAGGGGGAATTTTTCCGACAAAATTTGCGGAGAACTTTTCCCGTTAATTTTAGCTTTGAGTTTTTTTCACTAATCTTAACGGGGAATTTTTTTCTGCTAATTTTAGCGGTGAAATTTTTCCGCTAAATTTGGCGTGAAATTTTTTCTGCTAAACTTAGTGGGAAAAATTTTCCCACTACATGTTCTGCTAAATTTAGTCGGGAACTTTTTGCGGGAAATTTTTTCCACTAAATTTAGCAGAAAAATTGTGGGCAAATTCTTCATTAGGATGAAATCGAAAACCGTTTTTTGTGATATTTTCAGTTCTCGAGTTTCTTAATTCTAATTTACCAAAGATGGATTTTTAGATTTGGGATACTGTCACAGCTCTCGCATTTAGGAGCTGCACGAGGCTGAGATACCGTCCACATAACAAAGACACTTTTTACGTGGTTTTTGAGACTACTGTACGAGCACCAAACTTTCAAAAATATGTTTTTTTGTATTTTATTTATTTTTGTAAAAGATTCTGAACCTGGCCTCTGTGACTATAATTTACCTTCTTTGGATTATCATAGCTTTTGTTATATTCAGTTATAATACATAAATTATATATCAAATGAAAGCTGAAACTACATATTTAACAAGTACAGTATCGCTATAGTCAAATTTATCTTAGCAAAAAACGCCTTGATTTCGAGAGGAAACTCTACAAGTACAAATTTGAAAATTAATTTTCTCAAACAAGCCTTTCTTAATTTTTGAATGACATATTTTTAGAATGGTTAGAAGCATATAATACATCGTTGTGATACATGATTTGGACATATAAATCCATGCATTAAGAGACTATTTGAAGTTCTATTTTAAGATGCGGACTAGGTCGTAGCATTTTTTTTTCTGCCACGGCAATTATTTTTTGGCAATTATAATGTTGGTTGGTTTCAATTTAATTAATAATTGAGCATTTTTATGTATAGTATATGAAAGCTTTCACACACGCCCTGCTGTTTACTTAAATATAA